TCAAATTTTATCATATTTGTTGAGTTACGTAAATGTAGCACAAATGGGGGAGAAGAGGAATGCATATAGGACATTGGTGGGAAAGCCAGAAGGAAAGAGACCACTGGGAAGACCAAGGCGTAGGTGGGTGGACAGTATTAAAATGGATCTTAGAGAAATAGGGTGGGATGGTATGGATTGGATTGATCTGGCTCCGGATAAGGACCAGTGGATGGTTCTTGTGAACACGGTAATAAACTTCCGGGTTCCATAAAATGCTGGGAAATTCTTGAGTAGCTGCAGATTTGGCGGCTCCTCAAGAAGGGCTCAGCTCCATAAGTAAGTATTTTTTTAATTGCTAGTGGGGTGGGACTAAGTCCCTTGTACTGCGGCCACTTCTGGCCTATTGTACCAGCCCCAGATGATAGGTGAGGGTGATTGTGGAATGAAGATTGGCAGGGGAAACCGAAGTACTCGGAGAAAACCTGCCCCAGCGCCACTTTGTCCACCACAAATCCCACTTGACCAGACCCCGGGATCGAACCCGGGCAGCCGTGGTGGGAAGCCAGCGACTGACCGCTTGAGCTATGGTGTGGCTAAGTAAGTAAGTAAGTAAATTGAGTTACGCAAATCTTTATCTAATATTTATGATATCACTTCCTAAATAAAATAATAAGATCACTCACTCATGGAGCTGAGCCCTGCATGCGGAGTCGTCTATTGTGCAAATACTCAAGCACTTCCCAGCATTTTATGGAACTCTAAAGTTCATCACCGTGTTCAGAAGAGCCCTCCACTGGTCCCTATCCTGAACCAGATATACCATCCCATCCTATCTCTCTAAGACCCATTTCAATATTGTCCTCCTACCTACGTCTTGGTCTTCCCAGTTTTCTCTTCCCTCTGGCTTTCCCACTAATATCCTATATGAATTCCTCTAAAATAAATAAGACACTGCTCTAATATGTTGTTATCAATCATTATTTTAGTTCAATCCGGAAATATGCCTTTGAACTACATAACGTTTCTCTCTTGATTGAAATGTCCGGATTATTAATTTAACCAATTCTCCGTAAATTGTGAATTGAGCGCTATAAGTTACCCTCACTGTCATGTATTAAATTTGGTCGCCGAGGGACATTAATGATGATAAATTATTTAGGCTAATAGCGTTAAATTTGCCTCTAACGTTAGTTACAATGACATCTAACTACATTAACTTCTTTCCACTTTGGAGACCTGACATAAATGGGCAGAAAGTATCTCTTAGGGAGTTGATACGTAGTGGATGGAACTTGCTCAGGACATGAAATATTGTCAGACTTAAGTTCTGAGGCCGATTAAATTTCGGGTTACGTAACAATGACAATATCTTGATAATTTACTAATTATCAACTTCCCTTGGACTACGCAGCCTCTCAACTCCGCCTCCTGAAACTGAGGACGTATGCCGGTAAGCTTGTTTCCAGGGGATGTAGCTACAAAGTAGCAAAGCGTCTTCATATGGTTCTTTTAGCTAATGAAATAGTACTTTCGAATTCAATCATAACCATACGCCACTAGGTATTGGTAGTTTAATATTAATGTCACGTGTAGGGGGTAACTTATAAGACGGCAATATTATAAGCATCCTGTTACACTCACACAATATATATGAGACAAACTCCGTCTTAAGTGCAACAATTTAATTGTAGTTCTTTCTTCTTCCCTTCCTCCACACTACATGTTTCGGCCCTAAATGTCCATCATCAGGTGTGTATTCTTACGTAGCTGCTACACTGCCCGTAGTTTAAAATTTAAAATCACTAGTCTTTCCTGTTGTATGTATGTATAAAATCTTTGTTAACCTACACGCGTCAATTTGATTTATTATACATACATACAACAGGAAAGACTGGTGATTTTAAATTTTAAACTACGGGCAGTGTAGCAGCTACGTAAGAATACACACCTGATGATGGCCATTTAGGGCCGAAACATGTAGTGTGGAGGAAGGGAAGAAGAAAGAACTACAATTAAATTGTTGCACTTAAGACGGAGTTTGTCTCATATATATTATAAGACGGCATTTGGATTGGATTTATTGCACCTTTTTACATTTACATAGTTCGGGACTACAGGTAATTACAGCGCTATCACTATTCTATACACACATTCCAATTCATCATTCCACACACACACTAGGATACTCAGTCTTTACTAGTCGCATCCTGGCAACGGATTTATCACAGTCTTACTCTAACTTCCAATCACACGTGTGAGGTCTTGCCATTTATGCAGCTGGCAATTCCGAAGACTCGACTCGACTAGACTCGACTACTCTCGATTACTATTGTATACTCCATTGTACTCAGCTTCTATTCTGCTTCTGTCCTGCCGAACACTTCTTACAACCGCTTTACACGGATCCCACGGAAAACATTGTCTTCTGTTGTAAAGAATGCGTGTTTACTGCTCCGTTACCTAGCAGTGGGTGTCTTATTGTTGAATGCTTGTGCTGTGGGAATGTGTTTACCGACCCGTTGCCTACCAATGGGTATACACGTCATAATAATAATAATAATAATAATAATAATAATAATAATAATAATTCAATTCGTGTTTATTTACGTGCAAACTTAACAGCACAGAGGCCAATTTCAAAGCTAGCACGAATTGAGAAATACACAACAACAACAAAATTGAAAAACAAAATACAAAAACGATAGTCTATATTAATTACACAGTTAGCATGAATAAAGATACAGAAGCAAACATACACAGACAAAGCCACAGTGTGAGAATCTGAGTTTCAAATAGAGCAGCATACAATAATAGTAATAATAACGAAATTAATAAAAATAATGATAATAGTAGTTTAATTAGTTCAGTATAAAATATGTTTCATCAACAGAGTTTTTGGTTCAAAGACGTCAACGTCCCTACAGACAACATTAGCAGCAGGAGCGCAGCTAGCAGAGGGGCAATTTTTACTAACAGAACAGACATTGAACACAGGAAAGTCTCCGATATATCGAACAGGGACCCGAAGGCGAACAATTTCCAAAGCAATAATAATAATAATAATAATAATAATAACTTGTCCTTAAGTTCCTTATTCTGACTCTTTTCAATTTTTTCCTATAAACTTCGTCTTACTCCGTGGGTACGATATCATCATACACGTACATCCCTGACCATAAACCTTCGGATTTTCAACTGTTTCGATCCACCAATGATACTTCTGAAGGCCGTTGTTTTGCCAGCTACTGTGGTGTTTAGTGAGATGGTGCACACGTAGATTTCCACTCGGTTGAAAATATATTTTTGTTAATGGCATGTCTGGACCGCCTCTGTGAGCTAGTTGTCAGCGTTCCAGGCTACAGATCCCGAGGTCCCGGGTTAGATTCCCGGCGCTACCAGATTTTCAGAGAAGTAGTGAGTCTGGAACAGGGTCCACTCAGCCTCGAGAGCATAATTGAGGAGCTAATTGAAGGAAATAGCGGCTCCGGTCTAGAAAACCGAGATTAACGGCCGTGGGGAACCGTTGCGCTGACCACGTGATACCCTCTATCCGCTAAAGTTGAAACTAACTTCACCGACAAGCGACGGTCGCTCGGTCGGTATACTTCGCGCTGGCACTCGAACACGGGATATCTGGATCTGTAGCCAGGAACTCTGACCACTAGACCACAGAGGCGGTCCAGTATTATAGACAACTTAGAAGAATTGTTCTTGCCTCTTCTTCGCTTGGAATAGGGATGCTTTTTTGCCTGCTATTATCGCAATATATGGGCCTGTCCGAAGAAGGGGTAACTTTCAAATCAAGATATTAAATTAGGCTTATACTAGCATAATTAAAATGGGCAAGATTCAATTTCGTATCTTTGGATGTTTTCTGTTAAATCCATGGCAGGAAACAGAGAAAACTTACATTTGTAAATATATTACGGTAAATGTGAGTAAACCGGCACCTATGAGTAATAGCCGGTAATTATACACAATTACTATGAACAGTGGCAAATGTGATATATCTTGTGATAATTACATTTACTGATAATTATGATTTACCGGTGAAAGTGATATTGTCACGAGATTTAACATATTTACCTCTGCATTTAGTAATTCTTTATAAGTACCGGATATTAATCGTAATTATAATTTACTTAGTTTTGACGTGGCCGATCACAATGGCCGCTCGTCTAAGGCATGAACTGTCTTCGCTCGCTCGGACGCTGGAATCATGGGTTCGGATCTGTTTCCTGTGAGGTACGAACTGAATTCTTATATACTATTCTTATACATTGTCGTTCACAGTAGCCGAGCGGTCTAAGGCATGAACTGTCTTCGCTCGCTCGGACGCTGGAATCATGGTTTCCAGTCCCACTCAAAGCATGGATGTCTTTGTGCGTTTATTCTGTGTTTGTGTGTAAAACGAACTCCGCATGAAAAAGGAAGAGACGGGCTGCAAGAAGAAAATCAAAATAGAAAATAATACAAGAAAACGGAACGAGAAAAGGAGAAAATGAACACAAGAAATAGAAAGAATAACACGAAGCAGTGTGATGAGGGTTCAGGCCCTGACATAGCTCAAGCGGTTAGTCGCTGGCTTCCCACCGCGGCGGCCCGGGATCAATCCCGGGTCTGGTCAAGTGGGATTTGTGGTGGACAAAGTGGTGCTGGGGTGGGTTTCCTCTAAGTACTTCGGTTTCCCCTGCCAGTCTTCATTCCACCAAATTCTCCATCATCATAATCACCCGGGCAGGTACAATAGGCCAATCAGTGGCCGCCGTGCCGATTGGATCCAGCTGGACTCCACCCCCCACTAAGCGAAATTAAATTAACACCACCGATTAAATTTAAAGGATTTTGAAATTGCAGCTCACTGCATGGATACCAAAAGAACAAGGGCGTTCTTACAAAATTATTTTCCTGTAGCATAGTAAACAGACAAGTGAAGAGATGTGTGCAATTTTTATGTAATGTTAATCTGTTCTCTATTGAATTAATTGACTAACATGTGTCTGGTTTGTTGTTTTCAGTTACCCCTAATTTTCATACATCTTCTCGAGGCGTCTGAGACAGCAACATAACAAAAAAGAAACAGCAAAAATGGCTGAGAAGACATCCCCAAGTTATTTGTTGCAGCTTAAGGCAACGATAATCAGGAATCTTCTTCTTAAGAAACGAGAAAAGCGAAAGACTATTGCTGTAAGTGTTAGTGTGTTGTCTCATGTGCAACTGCAGATCTTCAATAAAAAGTAATTGTGCACAAAACAAACTTATGTTTTCTATATCACGTGAGATTACTAAACTTACCAGAAGCCCAGACTAATCATGTCATCAATATATATTCTTGTATGGGTTGTATACCATTTTCATCATCTGATAACAGAAAGTCTTGGGTTACACACTGTGTACTAATACAGATATTTGACAGTTCAATTCTTAATTGATTTGTCAGTATTCTTTTAGGTCACAGATATTAACTCTCAAATGTTTAGTGTCAGAATCGCATCCTGGAAATTTGTTAATTGGTATTTTTTTTTAATTGCTAGTGGGGTGGGACTAAGTCCCTTGTACTGCGGTCACTTCTGACCTATTGTACCAGCCCCAGATGATAGGTGAGGGTGATTGTGGAGCAATTGGTGGAATGAAGATTGGCAGGGGAAACTGAAGTACTCGGAGAAAACCTGCCCCAGCGCCACTTTGTCCACCACAAATCCCACTAGACCAGACCTGGGATCGAACCCGGGCCGCCGCGGTGGGAAGCCAGCGAATAACAGCTTGAACTATGGCTTGACCCTGTTAATTGGTAACTCACTACTCAGTTAAACCTGATATCTGCATCATTTCCTATGGAAAATTTATGTCTTGTTTATTTTTTATGAAAAACAGCTGTCATCAATTCTTCTGCAAAATTTTTATTGATTTTTAAGATATTAATGTCTGTTACAAGATATTTATGTGACAAATGAAAGATCTGGAAACCTGTTCTGTTCACACATTCTATGAACATACTGTGAGTATGAAATTTATGGCTGCAGCACAGAATTTCCATTTTATCTGTAGCTCATTCAGTCATTCACTGTATCAGGCATGTGCGGCTGTGACCCAGGTTTTTATATTTATTTATTTATTTCAAAACAACTTCTAAAATTTTTCTTCAAAAATAAGATCATGTCATATATTCTCAGATTTTTATTTTACAAAAGAAGAGTTAGAAGGTGTAAATTGCATTCATCTGGCTCAGTAGTGGGACCAGTGGTATGCTTTTGTGAATGTGATAATGAACCTTCAGATTAAAAAAAAAAGGTGTGGACTTTATTGAATAGTTTAGCAACTATTAGCTTCTCAAGAAAACTTTGCTTTAAGGAGTTAGTGAATTAAAATAAACTTATGCAATTTGACTTACACAGTGTTTCTGGGAAGTGAGAATTGAGGGATTTTCCTAATGCATTTGCACTCCCAATCACCAAGACAGTAAAGTAGTGGCTGGTGGTAGGAGAAATTTCCAATACCAAGAAGTCTGGGAGACTGATGTTGCTGTAAGGCAATAATATTGATGTTCTTGACAGTTTTGCTATTGTTATCAGTCCCAATAAATTCAACACATCTGATTCATATTTATGGGTAAAGCTGAATACTCATATCTTACCATCCCTCATCCTTCATCAATTCTGGAATATTTGCTAGCATCACAATAAAAGAAATTCCTGCAGCTACATGGATATGATGCTGTGGTTAGATCGCTGTAGATATACCCATGTCTGTGAGTAACTATTCTATGAAATGAAGCATTCCAAATCAGAATTAAGGTACAGACATATGGAGGGACAGTACTATCTTCTGGGATGTAATGTGTGTAGCCTGGTAGAAATTAAACGCTGAAGATGGAGGTAGTATATACCTGTGAAACATCAGTGAACTTCTACTAGACTACACAACATTATATCCAAGAAGGCAGTACCTCTCACAGCTACTGCTATGAGAACCTCAACTGCAGAACATGGATGGACATTTCAGAACTGGGTGAAAAGTTTCCAGCAGCAACATCAAAGTTAATATTAAAATTACGTCATAAGAGGTTAAACAGTTCTGTCCAGTGTGATGGTCTTGTGGGATCTAATGCTGTATACTTTGGTATATTATCTGCAAAATTAAAAATTGTCACATCTCAGAAGGCCATAATTCTGGTATTCATTACTCTGTGAATCTCAAATTTCACCAAAGTGGCCACTGGAGGCATAACAAAAGACAAGCAGTGCCAGATATCACACAAGGTAGAGTGCTAATTTAGTAACTATCCCATCAGCCATTTAGTTAAGTTAGTTATTAAATAATAAAATCTTATCTGATCAGCCATGTCAATGTGGAGCTGGCAACACTGTCTCTGTCTTCATCTTTGGGGGTTGATGTGATGAGTGTTGTGTGAACATGCTGTATTTATGCACAGAGCTGTTGTCTGTCCCAGCCTCATCTGCATGGGGAACAGAGGGCAACAACAGCTGATGTCACAAGTAAGATACTGAATTTTAAACAACTGATTAGTTATTTTTCAATAAGCATGAAAATTTGCTGTGTAAGTCAAAGAGAAATGTGAATTTGCCCATTTGCTTATTAATTAATCATTATGTCATGAAGATGTATGGGACAGTGGTACAGCTGTGCACATTTTTAACTCCTTGGCATGAAATGAAGGTGAGTGGTGAGTTACACGTCCCACTCACTTTACTCCTCCAGAAAGGGCCCCTGGTATTCATTATGTAGGAAGCTGGTTGGGCTCACAAATAAGTCTTGATGCTGTGATGAAGAGAAATATCTCTGCCCCAACAGAAATCAAAGCCTGATTCTCCTGTCATCCAACCTGTATCCTAGTCACTATACTAACAGAGCTACTCAGGTTATTTTTGCAATACAAGTCTCATATATAAGGTACATTATATATGTAAACTATTACATTGTTTTATAATGATAAATCAAATGCTAAAGCAGTTTAATTTTAGTAATATATACAGCTATGACTGACTGATGTGTCTGACAGAAAAAGAAAAGGAAATGATGCATGGAATGAGACCACTGAATTGTTTGTACTTACATAGGATAATTGAAGCAGTCTGAAAATCTTACCTTGGTTTTAAATTAAGTTGAACAACATTAAATATGAAATTCACTATAAAGTATGCTTTCAGGTTTTCTATTTCAACTAATGTTTCTGCTGTTATGCTTGTTAAAGATTATGGGAGATTACAGTCTCTTTGTGTTGTTAGAAAGTGTTTCTGCCGTTGTATTCTAGTCATGATCACTGCATTATTGTCTGCAGGAAGTGTTTCTGCCACTGTATACACTAGGAATTCTGATTGTAATCAAGATCATAATACCAAACCCAAACTTTCCTGTTATGAGCACCCCACGGGGAGAGGCAGTCCTATTTGAACACTTCCAGCAATTTAAGAACCACACCATTGCCATTGTACCAAACTCTACTGAGACACAGGTAAGCATATCACATTTATCAATAATGGGTTCATGTGGTAATACATTGATTACACAAGAGCTAAAAAGGCTGAAAAAATGTGGCCTGTGAAAAAAATATTTCTGGTCAAATGTGAAGCACAAATATTAATAATATGGACCTTTATCAGTTTTCTTTCTATTTTAAATTTTATTGAGAACAAAGTAAATGAACATGTTTGAAGTTCTATAAAATAAATAAATTTTAAACTCTAATTTTATAATTTACATAGAGGGATATAATCTGGCAGATATAAGAACACAGACTGAGGGTATTTGAGAACAGAGTCCTGAAGAGAATATGTTGTTCAGAGATGGATTAAATAATAAGAGATTGGAGAAAATTGTATAATGAGGGGCTTCATAACTTGTGCTCTTTGTCTAATATAATTAGAATGATCAAGTCAAAGAGGATGATGTGGACAAGGAATATAGTATGAATGGAGGAAAAAAAATGCATACAGGATTTTGGTGGGAAAACCAGAAGGAAGGAAATAACCAAGAAGACCCAGATGTAGGCGGTAGGAACATATTCAAATGGATCTTGCAAAAATGAGATGGAGTGGTATGGACTGGATAAACCTGACTCAGGACAGAGACCAGTGGCGGGTTCTTGTGAATGTAGTACTAAATCTTCAGGTTCTGTAAAATGTTGGGTAATTCTTGAATAGCTAAGTGACTGTTGGCTTCCCAAGAAGGACCCAGCTTCATGGTGTTAGTTAGTTATGTGCTACTGTACTCATATAATCATACGATTGCCATAAGTTTCCTGTCATATTTGGCAATATGTTGTGTTATGTTTTCATGTCATCTCATCAGTAGTATTCATAAAATTACCTTCCCTCTAGGCTTCTATATTATAATCTGGTTTGGTATTCTGTTGATTTACCATCTTCTTTTATATTGTTTCCACATATATCAGCAATTTTATACACATTTAATGAGTGAATCTATAATTCAATTAAGACATTATAGAAGTGTGAACATATTTCAGTTGTGTAATAATGTTAATATGAAATTTCTGCCCTGCTAATAATGATGTTCCCATCACAGCGCTTCCTGGAGAGTGTGAATCAGCTATGGTTGACGATGCACCTCGACCCAGGACTCCATCCAATCAGCTTCATGATGTTTGACACACATGATGATCTGCTTACAGCTTATTGGAAGGAGCCAACATCTATCCCTATTGCTGTCATCTTTGAAACAGACGATCCTGTCAAAGGAAGTTTAAAGTAAGTACTCCTTTATCTCAGAAGATCAGTATAGATTAATCTCTGTGCTGTATTACCAGCAGTTTTCTATGATAGGATCCATGGCCTCTGTTTTCGAAAATTCAGAATGTCTAAAAAATATCTACAAATTTATTGTGTCATATTTTTTAGTACAGTAGGTTTTTGGGTCATTCACCAGTGTGACAAAAAATTCTGAACTATTTTATGCCATAAATATTACAGATTTGTTAGGTTAATGGCATATCATTATAAATGACAGCTGAAGCAGACAGGTGCAAAGAGAAAGTGTTAAGGCATGTTTGATATAACAGTAATGGTCTTATAGAAGAGTAGCTTTGTATGAGATTTTGCTTATAATTTCCAAAATAGGACGACAGATTTTTTTTTGAAATTTACATTGGAAGTTTGTGCAATGATAATTGTGTTGTGAAAGTCCACAGTGAAAGAGTGAAGATGAGTTACTTGAGAAAGACAGTAGACAGTAACCAAGATGTAGCAAGATCCATTATACCAAATCCACTATAGCAAACCAAATTATAGTTTTGTTCAGTATTCATTCTTCATCAGTAATCTGTCAGATTACTCATATACTCAGTATATGAGTATTTAAAATCAAACAAGTCAAAATTTGGAGATACAATGAATGTAACATTTTTGGTTGTACCAGAATATGAAATGTAATCAGGAGGACAGAAAATGGCATTAGACTTTTTGTGCCAACACAATGAATCATTACATTTTAACCTCGTTGTTTTGTCAACATGACACTTAAAAGATGTAATTATGTGTTGTATTAGATAAGAATTTGCCCAACACAAATCTAAGAGTGCAGGGTTTTTACTGTCTGGTTTACATAACCTGTTTAGGCTTTCCTTTGGAATTCTAATCAGCATTTGAAAGCAGAGGACTAACAAGTGTTTAATATATTACAGCTAACTAACTAATAGATTAACAGATTGACTAACTGACTACCTACCCACCTACCTAATTCGGTAACTCCAAGGGCTTGCCTAATTGAGAAGCTAACAGTCACTCTTTAATCAAAGAATTCTCTCTCTTAAGGAAACTCAGGGTCCATTACTGTGTTAATAAGGGAAAATATGAAAAACAGAATAAATAAACTGTAAGGTATTTATTTACATCATAGCAAGCATATAAAAGTAAAAAAAAAAGTAAAGCTTTCCCTGTACCAGTTGAGGTGCTACGCTACAAGCTGGAATGTCAGAGGTTCAAATCCTGATGAGGTCACTGGATTTTTTTCAGTTGACCTAATCCTTCCAGCCACACTAGGCCCTGGGGTTTACTCAGCCTCTAACAGAAATGAGTACCAGGAATTAATTAAATAATTTTCCTGGGGAGTAAAGCGTGGCCGGTGCGTAAGGCTGACAACCTTACCACCATCTTCGAGCCGATTGTCTAGATAGTGTGGGACCCTCAACGTCTCACAACCCTATGGGCCTTCACGGCCTGTTACAGGGATAGCTTTACTTTATTTACTTACTTACTTATCCCGTACCAGGCCGTGAAGACCCATAGGGTTGTGAGACATTGAGGGTCTCACACTATCTAGACAATTGGCTCAAAAATGGCGGTAAGGTTGTCAGCCTTATGCGCCGGCCGTGCTTTACTCCTGAGGAAAATAGTAAGGATATAAGGTGTACTAAATATTATGGTCTTCATTGATGAAAAATAATTCTGCTTTCATTTTACAAAAACATTTTTTAAATGCTATTTATCAAACAGTCCTAAACCCAGTAGTTTTTCAGAACACTCATGTACAACTGGATCGTACGGTATGTGATAATTTTTCTGCCTGGTCAGGGCTATTGCACACCTCATGTGAGCAGTAATGATTGAATATGGAGTACTGATGGAATGATGATTAACAGGAATTGAAGCAAAGAAATTAAGAGGAAAACTTGATTTCTTTCATCATGGACCTCAGAAAAGTCACCGGGAATTGAATCTGATTCTCCATGAGAATTCAGCATCTAACTGATTGAGCTGTGGCATATGTAATCATACTAACTCTGCCAATCGATATGCAGAGTTAAATATGTATGATTAGAAATTAAAATTCATAGATGTAATTCCATCATTCAGTATAATATTATATTTAAGCATCCTGTTGCACTCCATACGATAAATGATATAAACTCTGTCTCAAGTGCAAACAATATATTTTGTGTCTTTGATCTTGCTCCCTACACTACATGTTTCGGCCTCAGACGGCCATCATCAGGTGTATAACACTCACGTCGCTGTCACACTGCACCCAGTTCAAAATTTAACATCTAAAACACTCTCCCTGTCATTATCAACTTCTACTTCGTTGATAGCTGTCCACCCGTAGATTACTTCACACACGTTAATTTTGAGTTTATCGTAATAGCACCATAATAAAATCTTTAGTTCTAATTTTAAACCTTTAAATTCTTGTCCAAATTTTAAAATTTGTTAAAATTGTTAGGGTTGTTCGCCCTGTGTTTGAAGTGCTGCAGCGGCTAGTTCTTGTTTCCACACTGTATAGGTGTTATCCTGTGTAGTCTTTCTGTGTGCGTGCCGCTGCTATTCTTTACTACGTGTGCTTGAGACAATTTACTACTATTACTTTTACAACGGCAAATATATTCTCATTCAGTTGGCTACAGTGTTTAGATTCCTAATTCCAAGTTTTATCAGAATCCACTGTATAGTTGAATTAATGAAATATATGGCTTGACAGACATAACCTGCCAATTATATATTCATTTTATACTTTTTATATGTTTTGTGTAAAGAATGTATAAAAATGAGAAAACTTTCATCAAGGTACAAGTATATTTCCACTCCCAATTTGTTTTATGCTTTTAGGTGTTGTACTCTAACTTCTGTAGATTCATAGCATGATCCAGCCAACTGATCTTTGCAGGTAGTTAAGGAAGGAAGGCAGATCAAAGGCCGAAATATATTCAAACTGAATGTTGAGGAAATTACTCTCTCCTCATGAGATGTTAGCCAGGGGCTGTTTTGTATAACTACGGTTATTATGTAATTAGTCTATCTCTGACTTGACTTGAGGAATGGAACCATGGAACTGCCAAAACAAGACAGGTGTTGTTGTTGTTGTAATGGTGGCGTTTCTGTGAGCTTCCCTTAACCTCTTTCCCCAGCAAATTACATTATGTTCTTCATTACATGGAAGAACAAGTATATTTCAATTACAAATTAATATGAAATATAAAGGTACAAGATTATCTGTCATTACAGCCTGCAACAGAATTCAAATATAACAATTTATAAAACGAAATCTTTTAAAAAATATTAAAATCTAAGTAAGTTGGATCGAAAGGAATGAAAGAGTGAAATCAATGATGATGTTAAGGGCAGAATAAAGTCACGATGTTCTTGATGTTGTACACTTTCCTTTTAAACTCTTTCCAGACTAATTAAAACCTAAATACATAAAACTATAATTTTATCTATCCTTTCTTTTGTAGGCCTGAACATTTCTTAATCTGAGATGGAAGTAGAAATTAGAAGTGAATTTTTTTTTTTCTCTCATGGTGGTAACTATAAAGAATACTGCTTTTTTGGATTTGACGCCAGATAGTTTGGTCTATTAGTAAATAAGTTATGACCTGTGATGAAAGAGAACAGGAGATTGTTGTTTTTGTTGTTTCTGTCTTCAAGATATGGAGGCAGCGGACTCTTCTGAAATACTGGTAATGATCAGTCTGCAAGAATATGCTGCATCATGTTCTGGAAGACAATAATCTTCAAAATTTGAAGTGCTTTTTGTTGAACCATCTTACATTGAGATAAATGTTGACGTTATTGTGTACTTTAACACCCTAGAGCCATAACAAATAGCAAGCAATGTGTCATGTAGTGGTTCATGGGCAGGAAATGTTAGATGTTATGACATGTTTTGCAGAGGTTTGAATCTGGATTGATGCCAACTTTAAGGAGGTCAGTGCCTACAGACTGTGGCTTGACTCAGTACATAACAGCCAGCCTGTGTGATACACTGGGAAATACATACCTGTATTCTGTGAACTTACTTTCCATGATTTCTCTTATTCATCTAAAATACATTCACAAACAGTAGAGCAGCAAGGCCATGGTTACTTTTTGAACACCTAATTCATTGTCCTAGTTGTTGTTTAGCAAAATTGTATATTAAATTAATTTAAATTAGAAGGGAAAGGCATTGATGCTGCTAGGAACATTTCGAGTGTATTTGTGTTTGAGGGCGGGGGGNGGTGTGGGGGGGGGAGTCAGAAAATTTGCATACAGATTTAAGTTTAAGTTATGTAAAAATAATTTTACCGATCACCCCAGAGTTGCGGATCTCTATACTGAGAAATAAAGGACACCATGTTTGAAAATCATTTTAATTTTTGGTCTTAATATTTGGTTCTTACTTCTTTCTTTAATGTTTATTTTTCCCCCAAACTCCCAGTTCAGTTCAGAGGCCTGGCTCCTCCTTTTGAACACACATGGGGAAACAATATATATTAGAAAAAGCCCCTACATATCAAATACACAGATGCGCACACAGTTCAGGTTGGAATGGTGTACAGCAATTGAGTATACATTTGAGTATTTTTCAAATGTATGCTCAGCAAAACCACACTTCTCAGTGTCCTTCATGTTCATTTATTGCAAGTAAGAATTAATTTATTGTTTTTTTTTTTCGTATCCATTTTTTAGTGATTTATAATGGCAGAAATCTGCCAGAAATTTGTCTGTTGTTGAGAGGCAATTAGGAACCGAACTATGTACTCATATTACTTTCACTTGCATTTCAGTAAATATACACCATATAAAATTATGGTAAACAAACATGTTTTTTTTGTAAAAGATGTATTCTATGCCAAATATTACTTTCTAATATAATGTGACATTTTGTAATTTTTTTTTTTTTTTTCCAGTTAAGCTTCATGAAAAACAAGGCAACTGCCCAGTATTTCCTAGAGATAATTTGAAGTTGGACAAATACAACACATTTGTCTTCATATATATAAATTGCATAGAACTATAACTTTTGAATAAATACTGAATGTCACAGGATACAAATCTAAATGGCTAATTAGATTAAGATTGTAGTCTTCTGGGACATAACAACTTGTCGAGAGTAATGGTCTGGTTGGTGTATACCTATCAAAAGACTATACAGTGTAATATACCACTGTACCGCTGTTATGAGACACTAAAAATTCATGACAGATTAGATCCCTTTATTTGTGTTTTAAGAATCATTGTTAACTATCTATGGAAGTCTTCAGCACAGTGTACAGATTGCAGTAAAATGTGAGTAATATTTTTAGGTATGAAATCAGGACAAATCCTTCTTTTGTGGTAACGCCCTCAACAACAGAACTGTACTCATCACCAGCATCATGTCGAGAGAGTGAAGGCCACTGGAGTGGAGTGTTCCCTATAGAAACTGGGGAGAGCTGTCCAGTGAACCAATATTATTACTCTGGTTTTGTGGCAATCCAAGCTCTCTTTGATTTCACCAAGATCAGGGTGAGTTTAAAACTATCTTGCAGTACATCCAGTACATAAAACGTATAATGTATATTGAATGAGAATTTAAAACATTTTGCATTATTGTTGAAGGGGTCCAAAAATGTTAGATATGAAGAAATTAAATTGCAGTAGTAAACAAGAGTAAATTTTCCCAGCACAATATTTGAAATGAATTTATTATCACCTACATAAACAATAACAATGAAACATTAACTTATAATGAAACATTCCCACGTGGTTCCTTATTAAGGTGAAATAGTTTTTTAGTTACCTATGCCTTGAATCGAACCTGGGTCTCCTACTCTTTATGTAGATACTGTATGTCCAATTTATATTCCAGTTGTCTTTGGTGACAACACACAGAAATTATTACAACTCACATTCATTTTCTAATATCAGAAGATATTCCTGAATTTTTCTTGGTAAGTGCTATTAGGAAAATTTGGAACAGAACACCTTAAAATTTTGTATATATACTTCTATATTATGATACATTGTACATGATTACAAGACACAATTTTTACTCTTTGTACCCTTCTTTAAAAGAATGACTATGTGACCTTTGTAGCCTGAAAGGAAAATGTTGGTGAACCAGACTCATTAGGATAGCTCTTACGCCTCCACAATTCCTGTAAGAGAAGGTTCCTTATCAGTGCAATAGAAATTAAGGAAAGCCTAGCACAAAGTGAGGAATGCAGTGAAGCAGCTGAGCTAGTAAACTAAACTGTGTCACGGAATCCTCAGTTCTCAGTGGTTCAAATTTCAAAAAAACTAATTAATGACAGCTCCACTTTTTCCATTGTCTAATTTTAAATTGAGAAAATTGGACTTATATTTATTCTCATTTACAAGATTTTTTTTATACAAAGGAAGTTAAAACTGTTACCAGTATATACAAAGTGAACGAGAAAATTACAAGGCATTAAGTTAATAATAATTTATATTTGTTTACAGTTGGATTCAGGTCAAATGAACATTGAAGTGCCACACATCATGCTTGAATTATTTCCAAAGAAGGCATACACTGGAGGTGAGTGAATATCAATATAAACAGATGGACTAGTTGATGTCATAATATTGAGTTATTCCTTCTTTGCACCTTAAGAAAATTCAAATCATATTCCTCAAGAAAATGTTTATGGACCTTGAGGTTACTTCCAGATATTGGGAGCCAGGAAGGAAATCTAGTTTACTGCATTTTTCTTTGCAGATTTCCCTTTAATTAAAATTATTAAATTACAGCTAGAATGTATTGATTAATATAGTCATGTGATTGACTATAGACGGGTTTTGAACTGGTAACTGGATTTACTGGACACATTTTCAGCTTATGGCTACACTTTACAGATTGCTGCACACAAAGACTGGTGTTCTCAGTCAAGGTCTTCACTGCGTTGCTTGGTAATGTTTGCCAACAGCGGATGTTCCTCTGCTTCCAAGTCCATGTGTTTGCAGGCTGGCAATTATCTTACACCAACCTCCTACTCTTCTGAATTCTGTCTCTAGACTGACTGCTCAAGCTCTACTTGGACTGACTGCTAATGGCAGCTTGCCCTCAGCATGGACACACCGAGAATGTGGCTTCCAACAGCTCTTCTGTTGTTGCCTACATGTCTGTTGCAGGCAATGGCTGTCTCTGCTGGCTTCAGAATTCTGGTTTTCAGAAGACGTGCCACAATATAATGTACCATACACAATAGATAACTTGAGTAACTCTATTTAACCAGCTCCTTGAAACAGAGATCTTCTTGAAATGTTAATAGTCACTCAGATAGTCATGAAATTTCTCACCTATTATGTAACCTGAAATTTCATTGCTGTGCTCACAAGAGATCATAACTCAATCCTGTTGTGTGCCAGATGCATCCATTCAACATCCTCGCACACTGTATTTTAGACTTATTTTAACTGTTTGCTTACCACGAGCCAATTAGACTGTCTCATTGCACTTGCATCAGAACTTCCACGTCTGAAGAGACTGAATCGTTAATTAATTATTACAACATTTCCTTCAATAGATGGCATCAAATGTGAATTACTGATTATCAGAGGAGAGAATAGGCTTTCACAAGATCTATATCTATGGACATTAGGAGGTAATTTGAGAAAGTATTGGCAGTTTTTTCTGTGCAATTGCATTTACTCCAAAGCCATCCTGGAATTTCTAGCATATAATTCTGTGGCATGATTTGGTAGTAAAATGGCTAATATACTCCAGCTAGACCTTGGTCTCAAGAATGGTTTTTCTTCTGAGGTATATTATCATCTTTAGGTGAGAAGTACAGCTCCTCATTATGTAATTTTTCTCAGTTATCCTGTTACTCTTTCCTCTATTTTGTGTTCAATGTGCAAGTTCAGAGCCAGGTCTGTTAATTTAATTCTTACTATTCTTGCAGACTGGATGGTGGCATTCCGAGTTCTGATTCCATTATACATGGTAATGGCGTTATCACAGTTCATAACATATTTACTCATCCTTATTGTTGGAGAGAAGGAAAAGAAAATAAAAGAAGGCATGAAGATAATGGGACTTCGTGATTCTGTATTCTGGTGAGTAAATTTTTGACATCTATTTTGGAGTATCTTATACAATGTCTTTGATTAAACATTTGTATACTTACAATGATCTATAGTTAGTATCATGGAATACTGTTAAATAGTTTCATAATGAAGATGGTAGAGAAACAAATTATTTTAGAATTCATGATTTAGGCTGAAAGTCCATGATTCCTATTTATTCTAATGTGACCATGAACTGACCACCAACTAGATCTATTGGTCCTCAAGCTCAGTGTTTGGGAACTTTCAATAAGAACAAAGGGTAAAATTTATTCTTAGCAATTTTGCGTATGTAACTTTGGTATTTAATTATTACTAGGGTCAGATTAACTAGGGGTGAAGGCACAGTTGCACCTGAGCCCTGATGATAATTTCTCGTCTTTGTAGTAAAATGTGTTTATCTAAAGCTCTTATTTTAATTCAGCTACCAATCCTTTATTATGCCACTCATATTCAAGTACCCTGCAAGCCTGTGACGATCACAGTGATATGAGAAGAGTCTCTTACACCCACATGTGCCAGAGACTCAGAATAAGTGAATGTGGCATTGATTATTGCAGCCACAACTCTATTATTGGAAAGCTAACTACATTACAGATATCTCAATGTAGGAGCCAGAAAACATTCTTCCTTGTTTTTGTTAAATATTCACAGTATGGAAAATGTTTCATATAAATATTGTAGATTTTAAAAGAGATCTGTATCTCATTTCTTGCATCAATGTTCATATGATGAATTATTTTTTAAAACAACATATTCACTTAGAGCTTGATTCAAAATATTTGTTATATTATATACCTTTTAGTGTTTTTAGTCCTTCAAATGCCGAGTCCTGTTAAAATTAATTCAGCAGTTTCAGAAATGAAATTTTCAGGCAAACAAGACACATCTTTGTCCATACAGGGCCTACTTTCACTTCATGTACTTTGTGTGGAGAAGGCATGTGATTCTGAAGCCATGACCTAAAGTTTGGAGCCCTACTGTGACAGTAACATGCCATATCATGACAGGCTTAAATGTGCTTGCTCTGTTGATTGCTTTATGTGTTCCATTGTGCTTATATATGTACGCACAGGTTGTCCTGGTTTATCATATACGGGATATTTGTGCTGTTTCTGACCATCGTCAGTTCGATCCTGCTGTTCACGTTGAGAGTGTTCCAGCACACCAACTTCCTGCTCATCTTCCTGCTAATCCTGTTGTATGGTCTCTCCATCATCATGTTTGGCTTCCTGCTCACCCCCTTCTTCGACAAGGCACGGGTAAGTGAACCTGCTTTATATTGCCGCTTACAGCTGAAGTGTTGGTCATGTAGAGACCGTTTCTTTGTTTTTCTTTTGTTCTGTGTATACTGAGGATTAATGGGAGGCATTCAGTAAAGCTGCTGGATAAAGTAGTTTCAATAGCAGTTTTCCCAGTATACAGCTTGAATAAGTTCTGAACCTTTCATAATGTACTAATTAAATACATTTCTTTTTGTGGCTATGCATCACGTATTTCTGAAACCACATTATTTTGTGTCCTCTGTGTTAATCAAAATTTATGTAGAAACTGTACTCACATGCGCATGAATAATTATTTTATTTGTCATACATTCTGAGTTGCTGTATAATCATTCTCACTTCTATCGTATAATCTAATTGGCATGTAATTTAATAGTGTGTGTAGTTGTCTAATCATCCCTACTTCTCTCATACATTCTGTGTACATAGTTTGATCAATCATCTTAATTTCTTTCGTAGAGTCTGTAGCTGTGTAATCATCTTCACTCCTCCCATGGAGTCCAAGTGACCTCTTTAATACACTCTGAATGGTATGTGTGATCATCCCAATTCATTTAGTACAATCTGAGTAATCGTACAGTCATCCTCACTTCTTTCATAGTCTTTGTAGTTGTGTAATCCATTTAACCACACAGAAACATTTGAAGTGAAATGTGCATCATGAATCTTTTTCAAAATTATTATTAAAGTAACATATCTGATTTCAAGAATACACTGTTTTTACTTATAGTGATATCTGTTTCAGACATTCAAATGAAGTGTTGAGCTCAGTTCCTGAGTCTGGTGTGGGTAAAGGAGAATATACAGCCCTTAAGTTTATTTTCTTGACACATCATACGTATTTCTTTTTCCTTTAAAACAGTGAATTTTTATATTATTATGTGAATGAATATGTTAGGCACATGTGATGATAACGTCTGCATTTCAAGATGAGAATCTAGAAAAATGTCTAGGATCAAGGCAGAAATTTTCTCTAGCAGACCATTGATTTCACTGTAATCATAAATTTCAACACTAGCCACTTTTACACAATGATCTGAGACATACATATAATTATCCCTGTTGATATCAGATCCTATTTGAGTATAATTTTTGTAATCATTAAATTAAAAATAAATCAATTCTAGGGCCATGTCCTTTTTTAACATGGCCAATAAAAGAGAGAGAGAGAAATATTGTGTTGGCAGGTTAATTCATGCTGCAATTGTCATCTGTAATGATTCTGACGGTGTGAGTGTTTTGCATAGTACTTTGCAAAACAAAAGCACTTATCTAAAAATTCACAAACTATGAGACTAAAAAATCAATTTTTGTATAAAAATTGAGATTTTCTTTCTTTATTAAGTTTCTTAAATTTGACACTTGTGCATGCTTGGAATCTATCTCCATTTATCAGAATTTTATAAAAATCCTTTTCTGGTTGCATCTTGTTTCAGACTGCTGGCATTCTTGGAAACTTTGCAGTGAACATCATGAGTTTACTGTACTTCATACAAGTGTTTGTTGATGACTCAAGTTCTGTGGCCTTCTGGCTTGTCTCCCTCTTGAATTCATCAGGATTTGCCCTTGCCATGGACAAGGTAAATATTTTATGAGAATAGTTATACCAGGAAGGACATTGGAATTAAATTTTAAAGGAAACATAATAAACTCTCTGCTTTAAGAATTATCTCTCTTTAGGGTATGCATTTGCAGCTATTCACAGTTACTGAAATTCAGTCTAATTCTAAGGTCACTTCTCACAGAAGGGATAATAATTTAAGATTTTGATGAAGTGAGCACTTAAGAGTTGATAATGATGATTTCCTTCTCAGATATAATGATGCTGTTAATATCAAGACTATGCAGCATAGTGCACATAAGATTTCAGTGCAGGGGTTGCAGTCTTAAGATTACATATATGTTACTAACAGGTTAGCTAGGTGGTAGTGGGAGAATACCAGGGGATATGGGTTCTGCTGGCTGTAAAACGAACTTAGACGTCTACATGAGAAAATAAAAATAATTGTACTGTTAAATGGTTTACTAAGATTTCTTTCAGTATTTTAATATATGTGTATTTATACTTGCAACTTTCTCACCCTGGAGGTACAACATATCTGCATATACTCTTCCTCTCTGGCTCTGTTCCTTGTCAAAAGAGAATGTAATTTGGAGATTGTGTTGTCATTTGTACATTATCTGTTATCAATTAAACGTTCTGTTAAGAATTAAACATATAATATAACAAAGGATAAGAAAAAACATGATAAGGAGCGTCATAATTTATGAAGAAAGCAGTTTTCTGGGATTTGGCACCGTGTATATGTGGTGTTAACCGACGTTTCGGACTGCTTTTACCGGTTCTCACGGTCTCTTCGCTTGCAGATTTCTTATATTTTTTTTCTTCTACCCTGAAGATGGAGGCGATACCTTCCTCCGAAACGTCGGTTAACACCACATATACACGGTGCCAAATCCCAGAAAACTGCTTTCTTCATAGTCACCGCCGTGAAAGCCTCAAATCTGACATAATTTATGTTTGTTCCATGAATTAAAATGAGCTGGATGGGATATGTAGCACAAGGGGAAAATGAGAAATGATTGCAGAATTATATTATAATAATCTTCGATTTACTCTTGACTTACTTCATTCTGCTTTCAATACCTCATTACATGTATAGAATATGATAGTATTAATACATTTGCTGGAGGGTCTGAGGAAACTCATGAAAAGGCTTACTCAAGACAATTGGCCTTTGGGCTAAGATTTGAACTCATGACCTCTTGAGTATGAACAAGGTATGCTTTACACCTGACCACAGCATTTGTTACCTTGGCATAGGCAGGTGAATAATATTAAAATTAATCTTGCAGAAAAAACATGAGATAATGTGAGCTGGTTTTATTGGGCTCGGGCTAGAGTAAATTCACTAGCTTCTGTGGTAGTGTGACAATACACCCTTATCCACTGAATACTGTCAGTTTCTGAAGGAAGACCTTTTTATATGTACATAATAAAAGATGTAATAATTGAAGTTCTTTTGGTTTGATGCTGAGACTTCCCTATAATGTTAAAGTACATAATTAAGTAAATATTCTGATAGCTCTGTATCATGTCTCTCTCATGTCACTTCCAGGCATTAGTGCTGGACTTGTCAGGGGATGGCGTGAGTTTTGACAATCTCTGGTCAGGTCCTGGGATTCCATTTGGGGGCAGCCTAATCATGATGTCACTGGATATTGTTCTATATGGTCTTCTTGCCTACTACTTGGATTGTGTTATTCCCAGTAAGTTACAATTTTTTACAAAAAATCCATGTTTAATGAATCACTGTGGGGACACCTTTTGTACACAAAATGAATTTGTTCACTAAATTCGGGTAATGGAAACTTATATTAATAATTTCTTCATCTTATATGATATAATGTATAAACATTATAACATAATTCTTTTACAAGAGTAGATAAAACACTTCATGCAGAAATAAATACAACTACATAAAATTTTTCTTTTTAAAATATTTATTTGTCAAAGAATATAAAGTACATTAGAAACAGTTTGTTCTCCTTGGAAGTCCAGAAACTTGACTGTTATACTAAGAAATTATTCAAAGAATTTCTGAAATCATGTCATATAAAGAAATTAAATTTGTGTAATATTCTTCTTGGAAATTATTTTAAGACATTTGATTGCATCAGTAAGATTTGTTTCCTATGACGGTTTTTGGGCTATAGGTTTGTTTTACTTAAATACATTTGGCTTGATTTTCAGGTGAATATGGCACCAAGAGATCGCCATGGTTCTGTTTCACTCCTGGATTTTGGTGCTCCAGGAAATCTGCCCCACGAGTAAGTCAACAACATAGGAAAACTGTATGGTTGCTTTAAATTGACAAATATGTGCACACTGAATATTACAGTCTAGCAAGTACCATTCTACTTCTGTAAGTGAGAGGTGTCGATTTTAATTCTGGGTTTGGAGAACAGATTTCTTGACAGGACCTCATTAAATTTCCTCAGTCCCTTCAAGTAAATGTCAGGATAACACCTCAAATTATGCCATGACCAGTTTCCACATACTTTCCAGTTAATTTTTCAGTGATGAACGTATCATTCGATACTGTATAATCTTAGACAGAATTTAGAATTCTTTACTGGAATCTGTAGTAAAACAACAACGTAACGGTCAAGGTTAAGATTACCTTAGCTACATGTTTTGGCTTTTAAAGCCATCGTCAGGCAAAATACATGGTGGCCATATTCACACACTATTGAACTGCATTTAATAGTGACAGTAGAACTGGATACTTGGCAACTATGTTACACTATAAAATACAAGGTATAAAAATTAAACAAATTATAAGATATAAGATATATAAGATATAAGATAAAACGAAAGTTATGTAATAAAATATGGTTAAAAACTCTTCATGTGATATTTCATATCATGAAGCCAGTTGTTGCAATTTTGTTATATTCCCGCGGACATAATGGTATATTCAAGACTTGTGTACGTATAGTAAACTGTTTGGAGGCAGTGTTATAGGTGTAGTATTATTTGATATTAATTGTTTGGTCGGTGCCTCATTTTACAATGTATTTTGTCCGCTCTGGTGGGAATACCGATTGCAGTCGGTCTCAAGAGGAGAAGAATGCATATGTTTAGAATAATTGTTTTTCTGATCCTTTAGATTCCATCTGTAAATGGTGAGTCGGATTCGTTCAACACAGGTGAAGAATTGAACCGAGATATTGAAACTGTGGCACGGGAAATGAAAGGACGGGAAGCCATAAATATAGTGGATCTTTATAAGACATTCCATGCATGCAGGAAACCTGAAGTCAGGGCAGTTAATGGTGAGTTGAACAAATCTCCTACATAATGTATATTCACTTATAGAAACTATGCTTTATATTTTCTCATATACATAATATGAGAAAGTATTTAGACGAAAAAAAAAGGTTTCTCCCAAGATTCTTAAGGATTTACACATTTTTGATGCTCCTATACATGAAAAAGTGGATTTTGGAATGTTGTCTATCTCTATGTCTGTGTATATGTATACCTCAGTAGTGCCTGTAAAGTGGGACAAATCTTATTCATGGATTTAAGGATTAATCTGTCATAAGCGAGCGCCTGGTGAATATGAACATTTATCTCCCCCCCAAAAGGGAGAGGATCATCTCATGAGACTGCAAAAACACATTTGCACTTTTCTCAAAAATTACCTGAATGGTTTTGATTAAACTTCGGTAGTTTAGAGAGACTACCTCATTAAATAAAACTACATAGGTGGTATCTTCAGAAAAATGACAGAGTGCCCTCTAGCAGCTCAAATATGTGTTATGCAGCGGTCTGGTCTTCTATCCCACTGCTATCACCTACTGTATGCCTTGTGGCAAAATTTTAGCTGGCTCAAATACCCCGAAAACCTTTGTCTGCCGAAAGGATCAGTATGGACTGGAGGTCCTTCAAGGAAGGTAGCTCTGGGTCATAGCCAAATCTAATCTTCACTCAGTACTGATGTTAACATTACTAGTCTTCAGAGATTGAGGATTCTCAGGAATAATGTCATAACAATTGGGTCTGCCATCGTCCACATTTATTTACATCACTAACATAATAATTAAGGAGTGAATTTAGTTACAAAACATGGTTATCTAGCCTTAGGTCAGTCCCTACATGCAGCTGTCTGGTTTGACAGCAATACTACATGGATCCACTTACTTTGATTTCAAAGAAGTATGATGACGCTGCAGCTCCTCCTTGGTTTCATGGCCCTCTTGGTGCAAGACACACGTAGCACTGTCAGTAGACTAATGGTCGTAGCCTCCCATAATACTTTTGATCTTCAGTATGGTCATTGTCATTACCGACCTCAAGACTGTATAATAAAAATCGCTGCTAGTCGGCACTTCCTCGTACTTTCCATCAATATTAAGGCTACTGCACTGGGCACATCCACTGATTCAGTGTCAAAAGCAGCAGCTCACTTCATGCCAGACAAGTTGTGTTTGTTTCCTGGTTTCTTCATCGCAGTAAACTGACTAGGCTTCATTTTTTAACCCAGGGGTGTTGAGTCCCTTTTTTAGGTCTGCAGGCATAACAGTGTGAAATGTCAATTCTCTCAAAAATAGGAAGTCTATTATACATCAAGCATATATGGGAAAGTATATGGAATATTTCTGAACCCGTTTTTTAAATATTGTTCGGTCATAAATTAATTTAATGTTTATTTTCAGTGATTTCAAGGTGGTAATGTCAGCCCTCCATTTAAGATCTTACCTAGTTTTATGATCAAATTCACTTCTCCTCAAAGATACCTTACATGGACATTTCACTGTATAAATAATAGCAAGGGAGGTAATTATGTATATAGTCTAATTTATTGTGCTTAGCAATGTCAGTAACTAATTTTAAACAGATTTGTGTGGATTCTAATTTTAATCCAGGATGAAAAGAGATAAAGTCCTTCACATGTAGTAGATTTGTTTATACAATTGCCTAATTATTACAGGAAGAACGTACATACACATATGAAGCTGTCAAACATAACAATACAGAAAAAAGCAAAACACCTAATAGAAGACACTCACTGGATTGCTCTATGGCAGCACAAATGAACCTGATTCAGGGATGTGGCTGTAATATGAAACTGATTCAGGGATATTGCTGTAACATGAACAGTGCTGGAATGACACAACAAAAAACATGATGTAAAAGCGATTACNGTGTGTTGGTATGTGTGTGGGTGTGTGTGTGTGTGGGGGGGGGGGACGTGAAATGTGTGCAACCTGTCAAGTGTTTTATGGCAGTAAAATTCATTTTGCTTACCAGACACAGAATATTAATTTTTCAAATGTATTAATGTGAACGTCGATTAATTGAATATTTATGAATGCGAGATATATTGTAGTCAAACTAAGATTTTCACATGTCTGAAACAAGTAATTAGTAGGTTCTGACCTGCGTACCATGGCCTCGTGTTTAACTTGTACTTAAAACGTTTCAGGTATCAACTTAGCAATTTATGAAGGTCAAATTACAGCTATTCTTGGTCACAATGGAGCAGGCAAGACCACGCTTTTCAACATTTTGACAGGACTTACAGCCCCATCTGCAGGAACAGCTTTTATATTTGGATATGATGTTAGGTAAGGAAATATACTCTAAGCTTTGGATGGCAAGCTAACAATGTAAACACGTTTATCATAAATAATACAATTATTTATATGAACTTACGTGTTTTGGCCCTTTGGGGGTGTCTTCAGAGGGACAATGGTAAGGGGAACAAGTCATTCCAAGATGAATGGAACTGTAACGGCAGAGGTATCCACATTAAAACAGATATACTGGTAACAGGCTGCAGATGCTGACAGGGTTGTGAGATTTCAAGGCTCATACATTGTTCAGACAGTTGGCTCACAGATGGCGGGGAAGTTGTTGGCCTCACGTGCCAGCTGCTCTTTACCCCCAGGAAGATTCCTGGCACTGATTTCTGTTAGAGGTTAGTTAGATATTTATTTAGTTATTTAGAGAGGGTGGGTTTCCCCATGCACCGCGACCAGTTTGATCTGTTGTGCTTCCCTCTATGATATTCTACCAGTCTCTTTACCCTACCGATAAATGATGCGTACCATCAGTCCCTCCGAGCAAGCGAGTTCAGCCACTTGATTAGCGGTGTCTATAATGCTTCCCCCATCTATCGGAGGCCTTAGAGGCTATTGTTGGGCGGGAAACATCCTGGAATTTGGCTCAGTGATCCCCTTTGGGGATATGAGGTTTTTTACGTGCTGTAAAGTTACGACACGGACACACAGCTTAAAGTCCTTCCTGGAGGACTTGTTCCCTGAATTTTTCTGCCCTTAAAAATTCGACAATCTCCGCCGGGTATTTGAACCCGCGTACCACGAGTCATGAGGTGGGAACGTTACCTCTAGACTACGGAGGCCGCTTTCTGTTAGAGGATAGTCAACCCCAGAGCTGGAAGGATTCGGTCAGTTGAAGAAGGGCCTGAAATGTAGCATGCATGGGAGAGAAGAGGAATGCATACAGGGTTTTGGTGGGAAAGCTAGAAGCAAAGAGATCACTAAGAAGACTTAGATATAGGTGTTAACATAATATTAAAATGGTTCTTAGAGAAAGAGGATGGTGTGTTATGGATTTTTCCAGTTTAGGGTAGGAACTAGCGATGGACACTTGTGAACATGATAATAAACCTTCAGGTTTCATAAAACTCTTTGGATATTTGTGTAACTGGCCGACTGTTGGCATTCTCAAGAAGGACTCAGCTCCATGGAGGTAGTTAGTTAGGTAGTAAAGTAAAAAAAGTAAAGGTATCCCTGTAACAGGCCTTGGAGGCCCTTAGGGTTGTGAGATGTTGAAGTTTCCATATTTTCTAAACAATCGACTCATAGATGGCAGCAAGGTTGACAGCCCTACACACCGACCGCCCTTTACCCCAAGAATATTCCTGGTACTCATTTCTGTTAGAGGACGAGTTGGCCCCAGAGCCATAGTGTGGCTAGAAGGATTATTTAAATTGAAAAAATTCAATGACCTCATCAGGATTTGATCCCGTGACTTTCTGGCTTGTAGCATAGTGCCTCAACCAACTACGCTACCATGTGCCCCTAGTTAGCTAGTTAGTTAGTTGGATAATTGTTTGGTTGGTTAGTCAGGTTGAGGCATGCAGTGTACTGGAAGATGAACGAATTTGACAGGTTTGGTGGTATGTATATACTGATTTCCTGAATAGGTACTAGCATGTATGGGTTGAAAAATGTTCTGATTATGTGTGGAAAATAAAAATATAAGATTTTAACATGCAAATTAAATGCAGTGAAATCTTGGGAAGTCATCCAGATCTAGATGACAAAATTACTTAGCATGACTGACTGTCCAAGAAAACTTCACTGCAAGGAAAAAGTATAATTCTTCTGTAAGACAGACATTTTTTAGATTAGTTGAACATGAAATGCATGATCATAACATAAAATATCTCTTCTGTATTATTATTAGGGATCCTAATGACATGCACAGAATCCGCCAGATGACTGGGGTATGTCCACAGCATGATATCTTGTTTGATATGTTGACACCTCGTGAACATCTAGAGTTCTTTGCAGCTGTTCGGGTGAGTGTTTCTCTCTATCAGATTAAAGTCAGTCACAAACAGACTTACAATGCCAAAAATCTGATTTATTTATAAAGCAAACATTTCAGTTTAGAATCATGTGATTTATAAGGGTTGAAATTATGCTCTTCATCAAGTTTAGTCTCTTTCTCTCCATTAATATTCATGAATTGTGCATGATCTATGTCAAGGATGGTGAATTTAAGATTTGAGGTGTTTGCAGCAGTTCAAATCCACATTATTGGGGTTATAATACTACACATTCTGGTAGGTAGGTACCAACATTTCAGAAGAAACATTGCTACTGAAACATAAGTACCCATCTGCCAGATTGGTAGTAAATTTGTGAACTTATATGCCTAAAGAAGTTATTGAACCACACCATTTTTCATGTATATTAGAATGATGGATATCAAATTCAGTGGCATGGAGAGACAACCACTTAAATCTATAACAGATGTTTATTACTGTTAGAATGAATATTACAGACGAGTATGGAAGCAGAGCGTGCCTGATGAATACTGGAAAAAACTCCCTTTGTAGCAGGCTATCCTGAGCTAGTGACGGTGGTGATATTAGTGTCCCTGAAAAGAACCGTTTGTTGGGAGCTGGACACATCTGCTGGATGCCGGGCAATACTCTTGTTACAGCAGGCTAAGCGGTGCTAGTGTCAGCATTATTCCTTCCAGCAGCTGTGGACTGCAAGTCAGCATTCCTGCGGGATGCCGGGTGAAGCTCTTGCAGTAGCAGACTAGCTGGTGCTAGTGGCAGTGAGGCAGACTGGCTGGAGTGATGAGCTCTGTCAATCACTGGCGAATTCAGCTGCAGTGCTGCTACTAGCAGACTTGCTGTTGCACAGTTGTGATTGATGCTAGCGTGTCAAAAGTCTGCATGCTTATACTTTCCCACCAATGGGCATTGGAGATGCCATGGTGAGCGCTGATTGGGTAGCGCTTGCTTCACTGTGAGAGGCTCCCACAACTGTTTAATAGATTTCAAACTATTCAACAAATACGACTGCTTTCAAAAGTTTATTCAGATCTAACCAACAAAGCCGATTCTGCTGTAGCTTCAGGCACCTAAATACCATGCCCTGAAAATGGGAATAATTTGGGTAAATTTTTGTACGTTTTTAACCCCTTGAATGCTTAGGTGAGTAGTGCTGAACCATAAATGAATAATGAATAGGGGCCTGTGGATTGAAGCAGTTATGGCCTTACTAGAGGTATTATCATGCCATTTGCATGGAGTGACTTGGGAAACCCATAAAAGAGCTCAGTCAAGATAATTGTTGTGCAGATCATAACTCAGACTGGGCGCTTCCTGAACACAAGTTAGAAATGTTAACAGGCAAGCCAACTTTTGGTTTCTGAATATGGTGGCAGAGGGGAAACCAATTATGGGAAATGACTTTTGGCTGCCCAGCCCTTAGCCATTTTATTAACAGGTATCACAGCTTACTAAGGTAAGTCAGTAAATGTCTGATTAGTGATTTATGAACTGTTACAGGGAATACATTCATCCTTGATTGAGTGCGAAGTGTCTAAAACTCTGCGAGATATTGACCTGATTGACAAAGCAAACACCTTTGCCAAACATTTGAGTGGTGGGGAGAAGAGGAAGTTGTCTGTTGGCATTGCTGTTATTGGAGACCCAAGGGTTTGTAGTCACCTTGTATTAAAATAAAAAGTTAATTTCCATAAGTGCCTTAAAAATTTGACTTTATGAATCCTTGAAGCTAACTCACTCAAATTTCCTGTTTTTTATATGTGAAGATTTATTATCAAGTTCACCTGAGCCACCTACTGGACTCTCACCAGTCCTCATCCTTACAACCTACTTTTTTTTTAAGATCCATTTGATATTATCATCCCTCCTATGATTAGGTCTGCCATGTGGTCTCTTTGCCTCAGGTGTTCTGACTAGAAATTTGCATGCATTCCTACTGAAGAAGAATAGATACTACTATATGTCTATCTTCTAAATCCATTTCATATTTGTTGTTATGTAACCTGCATTAGGAACTAGAAACTCATTCTTACTAGAACAAAATCTGCCAATGGGCATAATGCTGGACCAGTTCAATCTGGCCCATGCTATTAAAATCGGGTTCCTTGTGGACTGTTTTAGTATTTTCATCTAATCTTCATCTTTGTGTTTTAAATATCTGCTTTGCAAGAGGTTTCCTACTAAAATTCCATACATATTTCTTATATTCTCTTTCTGAGGCACATTCCCAGTGAATGACCTAGGGAAGTAAATGGTTTAACTAAATAATGACAGTTGTTGTTTTTGAAGGATCAGGTAAATTATAGTCTTGTGTGTGATTAATAGGTATTTTAAAGGTAAGGAAAGGACTATCAAAAGCTAGAAGATCCCAGAAGATATGACACCTGTTTTGGCACATTCACAATGCTAAGTTCAAAGACTAGTCCTTTTAGTTTAACCATGTTTGTCCAAGCATATGAGTGCGGGAACCGTTAAATGAATGTTCATGAAATTTGTTAAGTTTTACTGAAGTTTGATGATACATCTGACTTCTGATTAATGTTGGAAAGAAAAAGAAACTTAATTTGTATGAAAACTTACACATGTTGCTATACATATCTCATGCGTAACTCAACAAATGCTTGTATTTATTTAAATAAAATATTTTGAATAAAAGTTATGAAGAAAAATGAAACCCATAATTTATGACCAATATATTTTTCCATAAGTTTTATGACATGTTTAAATAGATTTTTTTTTCCAATTTTACAACTTGAGAACTATTGGGCATAGGAAATTCACCAGAATTGTTATGGTATGTGTACAAGTAAAAAGAAAACGATAAAGTTGTCCCTGTGCTTAATTAATTAAACACTGTGTCATGAAGACATATGAGCGAATGGAGGTATAGCTCCACCATTTTTGACCTAAGGACTAGATTATGGTGGGGATGCAGCTTCATGCCCTGAGCACTTCACCCCAGGGAAGGAACATTAGTACTCATTGGATAGGAGGCTGAGTGAGCCGCAGAGCTTGTCTGGAAGCTGTGGAGCAGAGAAAAATCTCTTGCCCATGCTGGGAATCAAACCCTGGCCATTCAGCCCTTAGCCTATCACTATGCTGACTGCAATATCCTGGCTCTTTGTTATACTGTGCACATTTCCTAACTTGTTTCCTCCCTGCATAAAGTGCTGATTAATGAAACAATTATTTGTAACAGTGATTGAACATGATTACAGATTATTATCTTGGATGAACCAACAGCTGGTGTTGATCCATACTCTCGGAGACATATGTGGTCTGTCCTTCAAAATAGAAGACATGGAAAGGTACAATATATTTTAAGGAAGTATGTGAAACACCATAAATGTGAGATTCGACGTTCTTATACTAATGATGATGAAGCTTGCTCTCATCTGTGATGTGGCACCTTATATTGTAGTAGATATTAATAAGCATTTCAGAGGAGCTGACTGGTCAGTAATTGTAGGGAATGGAGGATGAGAACTGAGGCTGAGGTAGGAAAGCAAGGAGAATAATTAGCAGTCTGAAATTGAAATCAACAATCAATTTCTCAGTACATAAAATTTTAATATTTTTTCACAACTTCTACGAAATAACCATTTAATTGCATTTTATGTCATAAATTGTATGAACTCGCTCACTCATGGAGCTGAGCCCTTCTTGAGAAGCCGCCAGTTGTGCAGCCACTCAAGAACTTCCTAGTATTTTATTGAATCCGAAGGTTCATTATTGTGTTCACAAGAGCCCTCCACTGGTCCCTATCCTAAGCCAGATCAATCCAATCCATACCATCCTATCGTATCTCTCTAAGATCTATTTTTAATATTGTTTACCCACCTATGTCTTGGTCTTCCTAGTGATGTCTTTCCTCATAACTTTTTCACAAATATCCTATATGCTGTCCTCTTCACCAACTTCGTGCTACATGCTACATTTTCATATGGTATTTACGGAATTTATCAAATTCACGTTTTACTTCTTCATAGAACCTCTCCTTTATATCACCAGTTTTATCTTCTGTTGGGGCATGAATTTTCAGAATGATGATTCACACCAATGACCTCTTATGGAAAAAAAAACCCTCCATAGTTTTAGTCTGGAAATGAAATATACCGATCAAGCGATCGCTACTTGTTGGCGAAGTTAGTGCCAAGTTTAGTGGATAAAGAGTGTCACGTGGTCAATGAAACGAATCCTCCATGACCGTTAATCTCGGTTTTCTCTGATTAGAGTCGCTATTTCCTTGAAATAGCTCCTCAGTTATCATCACGAGGCTGAGTGGACCCTGTTCCAGCCCCGCTACTTCTCAGAAAAAAATCTGGTAGCGCCGGGAATCGAACCCGGACCTCTGCATCTGTAGTCAGGAACTCTAACCACTAGATCACAGAAGCGGTCTGACCTCTTATGAACACTAAGACAAAATTACAAAAGCCAAAAAAGCATGCTGTTTTGGTTTAGAATTCACTATGCAAAATTGTGACATGGTGAAGAATCTTTGTGTCTAGATCTGGAATGAGCATTCAGAATTAATTTAAAAAATAAGTTTTCCTTTATGTTACCAAAATTTTGTTGAGTGTATTATCAGGGATGAATTAATTTCACATCTTGTCTTTTTAAGCAAACATCCTTCTCTGCAACTTTATATAATAATTGTTAATAAATTACAGGTAATTTTGCTTACAACGCATTTCATGGATGAAGCGGATATTCTTGCAGATCGAAAGGCTGTTGTTTCAAAAGGTCGTCTCCGATGTTGTGGATCTTCCCTGTTCTTGAAAAACAAATTTGGTATTGGTTACCATCTAACGTGAGTATTGGCACATATGTGAAATGTTTTTGAAAATTCTTAAGGTACTAGTAAGAGTTCTTCTGGACTGTAGTGACAGTGCATTGTCACAGATTTATTGAATAAAAAGTATTGAAAATATTGCAGCTTGGTTCTTAGATCAGATTTTAATGCTTTTGGTATCCCATCACGTTGGTCCAGGTTCGATCCCGGGGTCTAGTCAAGTGGGATTTGTGGTGGACAAAGTGGCGCTGGGGTAGATTTTCTCCAAGTACTTTGGTTTCCCCTGCCAGTCTTCATTCCACCAATTGCCCCACAATCACCCTCACCTATCATCTGGGGCTGGTACAATAGGCTAGTATTGGCCACAGTACAAGGAACTTAGTTCCACCCCACTAGCAATAAAAAAAATGAATTTGGTAGTATGCATATCTCTAAGAAGAATATCTGAAGATATTGCTCTGACTGACAAGGTTGTTGCTTATTTCTTTGGTCTGCATTCTTCTCAGATATTTTCTTCATCCCAGTGATTGATAAGATCCTTTGAAATCATATTCATTTTACAGACTTGTCCTGGAGGGGGTATCAAGGGAGCATGCCATTACACGTCTTGTGACGAGTCATGTTCCAAAAGCAGAGAAGGCTCGTCGCCATGGGAGGGAACTCAGCTTTATCTTGCCACACAATGCTGTGGAAAACTTTGCACCACTCTTTTCAGCCATTGAGCATGAGATTAACACGAGGGCTAGCCGATTGGGTATAAGCAGTTATGGCGTTTCCATGACAACGCTTGAAGAGGTGAGAAAGAACATTCATAACCTTGCAGGGATTATAACTGATACTGGAGTAAATGTAAAGGTAAGTTTTCCTGTGCTTAATTAATTAAGTCCTACACAATGAAGGTGTATGGGGGAGTGAAATTGTAGTTCCAACATTCTTGATCTTAGCACTAGATAGAGGTGAGTGGTTAGCTTTACATCCTGGCTGCTTTATCCCTGATGAAGGAGCCTATGGTACCCATTGGATAGGAGGCTGGGTGGGCACCAGAGCTGTTCTGGACGCTGTGGAGAACAGAAAAATCTTTTCCCTGTAAGGAATAAAAGCCCTGCTGCTCATTCTTCAGCCTGGTTCTAATACCAACTAAGCCATTCAAGCTCTGTTGGTAATAGAGTTGTTAGAGAAAAATGGAAAATTATTTGAAGAATTTCATTCCTTTTAATATTGTGATATTTTAAGACACTAAATCATGGTACAACTTCTTCCTTGAGCTGTTTTGTTATTCAGACATTCAAGAAATTCTCTGAACTTAGGGATTGGTCACAATTATCAGAGAAATCAGTTCAAAAAGGTTATGATGATGATGTTTAACATTTGGGATTACTGAATTTTTGGACTTCATTCATTTCTGGTCTGGCTCAAACCCGGGCTGCCGGTGTGAGAAGCCATTAACTAACTGCCTGAGCTATGGCACAGCCTTGAGGTTCATGTAAATGCAGGTTAGTTACAGTATCACAAAAATGGGAAAGAATAATATCAAGAAAATTTTTGCAATTGAGTTTTGTGAACAGTAATCAAAAAGTGGGTCAAAATGAATTGCCTCCAGAAATGCTTGAATAGCTCAAAAATGAATTATCTATTTTCTTACTCAGGGCATGACACTGACAAAAGTGGATTTTTCGAATATGATCTTGAAAGCAAGAGGCACAGTGAGGAATGGCACATGTCGCAATCTCCAAGACAGAAGGAAGTTTGCAAATCAATGAAGACAATGGTCATAATATTTTTCAATATTCTTGGGCTAGTTCATAAAGAATTTGTACCACCTGGTGTCACAGGGAATTAAGAATATCATCTAGATGGCCTGGACCATATGTGAAAGAGGGTGATGCGAGCTTGAATGGAAATTGCAGAGTATTGGATTCTTCAGGCTTCATCATGGCAATGCGCCCGCACACACAACACTGTCAGGTCGTGAATTGCTGGCATAAAGTGCATTCCCATGCTGCTGCAGACTCCTTATTCTCCATATCTGTCACCCTGTGATTTTTTACTTGTTCCCTAAATTAAAATAAATACTCAAGTTATATCTTTTTCAAACGCTTGAAAGCATTCAGAATGCTGTAACTGATGCCATCAACACCCTGACAGAAGCTGACATCCAGTGCTACTATACAAGTATATGAGGCATGGAAAAGTCACAGGGCCAAGTTAGTTGCATCAGAAAGATGTTAGTTTGAAGAGGATTATGATAATTTATGTAAGATTTGAGATTCTCATGGAGGTGACTGAAGAATGCCATCTTCTGGGATGTGGAGCTATGTATATCTTGTGTGAACTTGATTTAGGGGAATAATTTTTTTTTATTTATTTAATTAATAGCATCTTTACAATATATTCTCGATAATATGGAGTAATAAGTAAATTTGTTCTAAGTAGGTGTGTTGAGTGGAGAAGTCATCCACTGATAATACTCTGACAGGCCCTGTAGAGGAATGGTGATGGTTTTAATCTTCGTGGTAGGTCAGAAGGTCGCTGTCTACTCAGTCTTCTTCTTACATTGGGTGGGTTGCTAACTTCTACAACTAGTCTGTTCTTGTGTCCGAGAAGGCTTTGCTGGTAGATTGCTGACAATCTATGTATTTCTTCTACAATGAATGGGATTTGTAACTGAATAGTAAAGTATCGCTCTTGTAATTTATTTCCAATCTGGTGAATATTACAGGTTTTTCTCCACCTGGAACGTCTGGAGCGAGATGAGGAGACAGATGGGACAATGGACAACCTGTCAAAGAAGATGGTGCGCAATCGTGCGCTGAGCCGCTCTCTGTCGCTTCAGAGTAAGAGTACTTCATACCAGAGCCTCCAGAATGAGGGTGCTGTCATCACAACTGCCACGGGGCCTACGGGAGATGTGCCAGGGAGAGGTAGAGGCAGGTTTCAGGCCCACAGCAAATTTTATTCACTATTTGATGTCTCTTTATGTGGTATTTCTAGGCATCAGTGAAAAAAAAACTAATTGATTCTATGGGAGGATTCTTTTAAAAATAAAATGGCACAACCCCCTTCCCCTTCATTAGTACATATCTACCAACCTTTACAATTTAATTTATTTGATTAATTAACGTTACATTGCTCTATCTTGCTGTGAACATGATGGTCACTGGTGTGACAGTTGATGAGTGAAAGGAAATATCAGTTAGCTGGATGGAAGGGAGTAGAAAATAAACTAAGGAATATAATAAATTACTGTGGACATGATAGAATTTTAGCTCAGGATGAGTATAAAACTTGGTCTTTTTCCTTAATGGAAGAACTTTATACCGAGGATGAACGAGAATAGAGTGCTGAGGAGAAGGACATGAATATTATGAATCTGAAATTACAATGGATAGAGACATTTACATATATTTCTGTCTTTTATTGTCTTTTGGACCTTTTGATGACAACGAACTTATCGTGTCTTCTTCATCTGATACATTCTCATTGAACGGGTTTCCTCTAACACTGTGGATATACAGTAGTTAGTTAGTTATTGGAGAGCATGGGTTTCCCCATGCACTTAAACCTGTAGTGGTCCATTGTGCTTCCCTCTATGATTTCTACCAGTCTCTGTATCCTACCGGTATTGGTGCTTACTATCAGTCCCGCCCAGCCAGTGAGACCGGCTCTACTGGCTGAGAAGTATCTATAATGCTTCCCCCATCTACCGGCGGTATTAGTGACTGCTGTTGGGCGGGAAACGTCCACAATTTTGGCTCAGTGACCTCCTTTGGAGATATGAGATTCTTTTACGTGCCGTAAAGCTACGACACGGAGGATTTGTTCCCTGAATTTTTCCGCCCTTAAAAATTCGACGACCTCCGCTGGGTATTTGAACCCACGTACTACGAGTCATGAGGTGGGAACGTTACCTCTAGACTACGGAGGCTGCTTGGATATACAGTACCTGTGATGCATAAAATGGCTAATGGATCTAAAGCTTAATTTCTCATGTGTACATCCACTGAGCATGTTGACTCAGACAACAGTACTTCTGGTTTGAATTTGAGAGGTTTCAAATTTGAATCTCATCTAGGATGATTATCTTGATTCAGGTTCTTTTTTGTGATTTTTATCAGTCTCACTTGACAAATGTCTGGATTGTACTTTAAATTAGGCCACAACCACATGGTTTCCAGTGTATTATTCACTATTATCAAACCATGATATGCTACATAGTCTGAGTTAGGTGAACTGCACAGACATGGTGATTGATATGGAACAGGGATGTCTTTACATTTTATAGGTTCTGTTTTCAAATCAAGGCTGTGTTCTCACGCTTTCCAGTTGTATATATCCTACATAAATATCTCAGGACATTTAATGTTCGTATGCGTCATGGTATGTGCCTTTTTGGTATCATGTGTTGTCTGTTTGTTGGTTTATTTGGACTCTGTTCTATAGCATTGAATGGTAGGATGATTGATGAATAATGAACTGGAAAGACTTAGGAAGAGAGAGAGAAGTCATGGCCTAATCAAGGCATTATTCTGCATTTGCCACAGAGACTGAGAAAAACCATGAAAAATCTCTGTCAAAATAGCCAGGTCCTGGCCAAAATTCAAACCGAACCCCTACCAAATTCAATTCCACATCATTACTGCTACACCATCCTACTCGGTTATATGTTGTTCAATTATAAAGATACTTAAACAAATTAAATTTTAGTTAGAAGAAAATAGATATCCTGATGGATATTTTCTTTGAAATTCTAAAGGTTGGCAGGTATTCTAGAGAATCTGTGTCACGCAGTAGCAAGTTTCTCTTTGATACTCTACTGCATTTGAATATCATTGTCTGTTATTCTGTGAATGTGACTTATCTATAAGACTTACCTAACCTTCACTGGGGTTCCTTTCTTTCTCACATTGTTCTGAAATACCCTTAAGCACTGATCTGTGCTGTATCAATACAGTTACCCAAATCAAACTGTAATAGTTTAGCTGTTCCTTACCTGAATGGTTAGTCATTAGCTTCTTATCACAGAAGCTCAAATTAAACAAAAAATAGTTGATGTGAAGTCTGTAGAGTACAAAATCGTAATTGTTAAAATTTTTCCTCATAGTTTATTAGTTTTCTCCAGCCCATAACTATTCTATTAATTTTCCATGTTCATCACTTATTATAATTAGGAGCTGGTTCAGTAGGCTCTCTTGAGGTATCAGTGCTATAAACACAGTATTACAGAATCTTTGTCTTGATGAAGTGTACAGAGGAAGTTGGCTTGGATGGTAACATTTCTGACTAGCATTTGGCAGGTGCCCGATTCAAATCTTGTCTGGGACACTGACATTCCTGACTAATGACTTTCATAGTTTTCTTCAGTGCCTCCAGGCAACTGCAATGATAATACATTGAGTTATGTCATGACTGCTACCTTCCTCATCCTTTCCAATTCATTATACATTAATAATTCTACCATTCAGTGCTGTATACAGTGGAACCCCCATTTCATGTTTTTGATATAAATTTTTCTCTTGTTTAATTTTCAGTTACAATGATGTGAAGTCAATAAACTGAGTGTTAAATTATCTCCATTTAAAATTTTCTCTAGTTTAATGTTCAAAACCACTGGTCCACAAATTAACTTTAAATAGGAGTTTCACTGTAGTCTGAACTACTAGCAATGTCATGAAATAACTGATAAATATATACAGTAGACCCTCAATATAAATCAGGTGTCAGAGGACAGTTTCAGCATCTGCGTTGAAAGGTACTCGAATTATAACTGAAATTGAAATTTATCTAATTGTGGAATCTCCATTTTATTACATATACAGTATTTATGCAGTGACTGAATTGCAAGCATTAAGTTGAAGGTACATTTTTGGCCGTGGTTGGGCAGGTAAAAGATTTACTCAATAAATTTTTCTGTTTGAGATAATCCAAAGGTTAGAGAAATCAGAAACACAGAGATTATTTACAGCTAACTATGAATTTTACCCCCTCTACTTGTACGCTACTGCAAGCAGTGTTGCAATACATTCTCATAGTGCAACTAAAATGATTCACAGGAATCTGCATGATATAAAATATACATGATTGTGTTGGGGTGCATGGTCAAAGGAGCAGTATAACTGAATACGTGGCACACTGAGGTGTCAGATAACAAGGGCCTACTGTTAATAGATTAAATGTAAAAGTCATATCAGTTACAGTATTTTAGAATGATCCTTTTAAATAAAATTTGAAGTTTTCATGGTGAGCAGTTGCAAAGAATTCTTGTTGGTCAGTTGGATGTGTCAAGATGGAATGGATTTCCATTCATTCCATCTTTATATGGATGATTGCCTGAGAAGATCCCACTAATTTGATCAAAGTGTGCCCAAATCTATATTATTTTTTATTATATTACATACATATATTACTTTTATTCTTGAATTATAAGGAATGTGCTTATAAGTAATTAGGATCAAATTAAATTTGTTTCAGTCTTGATGCAAATTATTCAATTTTAAGCTGTTACTTTCAGGTGTAGGAGCTGGGGACACACAAATTGATGGCATCATGAACCAAACAAATGAACATCCAGTAACTGGACTAGGGTTCAGCACAATAGAAACAAATCCAAATAAGTGGCAAACATTAGTAGCACTACTCAGGTTACGAATGTTGCGAATGTTTCGGGACATTCAGAGGCTATACTTCATGATCATCCTTCCACTGGGGTTTGCTGCAGGTGGGCTGTATATCCACAGCATCCAGTCAACAGACCCCAAGATGAAATCACTAATTCTTAATGCAGGTGACCAAATATTTTTCGTGTGTATTTTAAGTACCATAATTTAATATTAATTAGTTATGTTATTTTTTCAAACTCCATTTTTTTCTGTTATCTCTCTGACTGTTTGTCTTTCTTTTTATTTCAGTTTATTTGTATTTTTGTTATGTCCCAAATTCAGCTGTTCATTTTATTAATATTTGATGTCTTTTGTGATGTTCAATTTTATTTTGTATTTTATCTTCCCTTTTTTCCTTCAATTCTCAGTTTATATCTTTTGTTTGTATAATTTGTTGCTTTTATTTCTATGAGGTTCTTCTTCGTTTGAAATGTTTAACTTTCCTATGCTGTATGTTTGTTCTATAGACCTTATTTTTTCACAATTGTTTTTTCCTGAATTTGCTCTCCTTCGCACCTACTTTCTTCATTCTTCTTGATCTGATCATGACTTTATTGCATCTCATGTCTGCATATTAAGCCTTCTCTTTTGTGTGTGTTTGTGCTTTTTTTTTCTATCAGTCATATTTCTAGCAGTATAATTAAAAAAAAAAAAGCTTGATAGTTGTTATAGTATTATTCAGTAACCTGATATCTGAATAGAAGTTTACAGTTTTATATCATATGTAATGTTTGTTATTTAACAGAAAAGAATGACAAGATAAAAATAAGCATATTGCACCACTATTATGCAGGAAATTATCAACTGTCTGAAATGTATTACTATGTATATGTATGAGACATTCCCAGGCATTTGTTCTGTATCTGTGTTCCTTTTAAAGGTTTAAGTAATTAACTTTCGATAAAACTGGTATTTTGACCCTTTTCAGACACATACAAGAATCATACAAGGATTGCATTCCACAATGCGACATCAACATCTCTTGATGAATTTGTGCAGTCTCTAGAAGAGAATGGATCATCATTTGTGGATCTATACAATGGAAACTTCTCACTTCTCCTTGACTTGGCTCCACATATGGCTGCACTGAATGTGAATGTGTGGGAAATGCCTGAAATTAACATTACTACCATATACAACGACACAGCACAACATTCGCTACCCATAGTAATTAATCTTCTAAGTAATGCCTTCTACAGGTTAGAGAACTACATATTACTATACTATTTTTGCTGAGATCTGTTTGAACCTGTATCAGAATAAAATTTCTACTGTTTCCTTGCCCATCACCTTGCAGGTTTGTAAATCACGTTATGCTTAACATCCTGTCTTCAGCCATTGTATTTGCATGGCCTTTCCATTTCTGTCTTTATCTAGCAGTCTCTTCTGCTACATTATCAATCAATTTGTTTGTTCCAAGAATCCATATTTGGTAATACAACCTCTTGATATAGAACAGGTCAGTAACTACATATTAATATAACATATATGTTGTAGATGAGTCAACTATACTATAAAAATTAATTACCTGTAGATTTCATACACATCAATCATACAATACATCATTCCACTTGCAACAATTCAATAACCAAAGGAAACCCTGCATCCAAAATTTGTTTATAGATTAAGTGAGGACAAGATATTTGTCATAACATAAAATCATAACACACTCACTTAAAAATTAAAGGGACATAAATTCATCAATGGAACAAATAGAAGGTTTCAACAGAAAGGATTTTAAGTCCCTTTTAAAAGAGTTAAAATTTTTCATAATTTTCACTTCTCTCCTCTGCATCCCACATAACCTAATTAGCTTATCTTCTTTAGTATGATCACTGTAATAACATTAGTGGAAGAGTAGAAATTATTAACCTTCTTGTTACGATGCTCTCTCTAACCTCCCATTGCTTCCTCCACCTAAGGTCCAGATATTGTCCTCAACACCTTGTTCTCACTCTCAGTCTATTGAGACTTTGGTCTTCTAGGTTGTTATGCTGTGTGGTTCGGAAGAACATGTTGCCTACATCTGGGCCGCCATGGTGGAGGCCTGGTGACTAACTGCCTGAGCTATGGCATGTCCTTTCACCTTTTAGTTGCAAATATATGATATGTATTCAAAACATAATTCAATACAGTATGCCTCTTAAGTGCAAAATTTCATTATCTTGGAATCTGATTGCAAAAGGTGAAGCTACCTGAAAAGGGTTAACTCAAAACTATGAGGAGTTCTTCGACATTTCACTGTGCCTAAATGTCCTGCCCGGTGGGTTCCAAGCGATCTTACCTGCGGATAAAACGGTCAAGAAGTGCAGCTAGCCACACACCTCCATCTAGTGCTAAAGGTTAAAAAATACCGGAATTATGCCTCCTGTTTCCTGTATGTCATTCCTACTGTGGAGCATAATTAATTAAGGACCGGCCACCTTTTTTACTGTTACCATTTTCCTTTTTAATAATCTCTTTCAGGATGTTGATGTCTAAAAGAGTGAAGAACGAGCCTATTGTTGTGAAGACACACCCCTTCCAGCAGACTTCACAGCCAGAGGAATTCAATATGGGCACATTCTCATCAGCTATTTTTATCGGCATGACTTTTGTCCTTGTGCCTGTCAGCCTTGCTGTTGATATGGTGTATGATCGAGAGGTGAATATTTATGTATTTACCTTATACATAAAATCCAGTTGTTTTTTTGTTATCTATGTATCATCAGAGGATGTACTATTTTCCCTGTTTGACATTATTAATTGTTTATGGGTTATTTTATGATGCTTTCAGTAGATAGAGTGTATAATGTTAAATGGTTGGATGATAGTCGGTTGGTGATATAGAAAGAATTTGTAAAGAAATGGTTGTGGCCTAATGAAGCGCTATTCTGACATTTGCCTGAAGGACTGAGGAAAGCAACAGAAAAACCCCAATCTGAATAACGATGTCCTGGCCGAGATTAGAACCAAGTACCTCCAAAATATGTGGCTAGATTGCTACTACTTAGCCAAGCAGTTTAGTGACAGATGTTGCTATTGTCATTCATATTGGCTGGTGTTTACTTAAACTATTTCATTGTAATGCAGATTGTATTTATTTTGCTTTTGGCATCAGTTACAAATTTTGTTCTAAGAGTAAATACTATATTTGTTTTAAATTATCGGTACTTGTGCCTGTATCCAGTTTTTATAAAGATTTCCATTTGCAAGTAGTTACTATAGGATTCTGACGATGGTGTATAACACACAGAGATATTGGGTTTTCGGATTTTATCCATTGTCCTGGTTTTTAAGATAACTAGGAAAAACACAACGTTTCGGAAACTGGATCTGTTTCCATCCTCAGGTGAGGGAAAACACCTATTCTGTTGAGTCCCTTAGAAAGAGCTAGCCTAAATCACTGGACAAACTTTTTACTAGCATGGATCTAACTTTCCACCTGAATTCCATGCCCTTAGTCTGTGGAAGCTTTGAAACAACAGATTCCACCGTAATGCCATATCCAAGTTCGAGTGTGGACGTGTTACTGAAAAATTCAAACCCTTCATAAGGACTGCTTCCTCAGAGTCCGTTAAAATATATTCTGATCAATTGAGGATGAATTTCCATTTGCAATTTAGAAAGTCTGGTTAAAGTTTTTCTATGTATAAAATAGAAAGAGCTTCATTAAAAGAACTGTAGCAAGGCGAAGTGCCAGACACTTACAGTTGTAGTTTAGAAAGTTTAGTTAAGATTTGTCTTTCTATGATATTTATCCAAACTATATGGATAGATAGGAATTGGAAGAGGAACGATGATATGACAGAAAAATAAAAGGGATTGGAAAGAAATATGGGGGATAGGTGTGAGGGATGTAATAGTGGGAAAAAATATGAGACTTTGTATTGAATTTTTAACAGGCAATTAAGTAGTTCTGTATATAGAAAGAAGATTACTATTATGATATTAACCATTGTTTAGTATAGATATGAAAGGGGATCTGTTATGGTATTAAGGTTTTGGGAAGAATATTCTGGACATAGGAAAGATGAATTGACAATGGAATGGAGAATATTTCTTAAAAGGAACTCTTCAATAAATACTGTTAGGAGGTGATAGTTATATTCAAGTCATGTTACATATTTATAAACCCATTGAAACACCTTGGAAACCTCATTGCTTGGGATTCTAATTAAATACTAGAAAGTGTAAAAGAACATAGGAGAGGTGATTCAGGTCCATGAGGTAGTTTTTGTTCCTTTCACTGTGTCCATGGTTAGACCTGTTATCAGCATGAAACTGATTAAAGAATTCCAGAAATTGTGCATGTGTCTCATGCACAACGTACGGGATTTAAATCATGACTTTTAGCTTGCCCCATCTGCAATGTGTTAAAAGAGAAGAGTATATAATTCTGGATTGAATGAATAACTCTACAATGGTCCCAAGTCAGACGAATGCTAGATATTTCGTGCATTATGTTATGAATACATTCATTTGAAAACAGTCTACTTATTTTTAACGTAACAAAGGTGAAAGCATCTTTGTGTCCAAACACCAGAGCATGAAGCTGAACTCTGTATATTTAACCTTTTTTTTTATTGCTAGTGGGGTGGGACTAAGTCCCTTGTACTGTGGCCACTTCTGGCCTATTGTGCCAGCCTCAGATGATAGGTGAGGGTGATTGTGGAGCAATTGGTGGAATGAAGATTGGCAGGGGAAACCGAAATACTTGGAGAAAACCTGCCCCAGTGACACTTTGTCCACCACAAATCCCACTTGACCAGATCCGGGATCGAACCCGGGCTGCCGTGGTGGGAAGCCAGCGACTAACCGCTTTAGCTATGGCGTGGTCTATATTTAACCTTAGTAGTAGATGAGGTGAATGGTCAGTCTTATATTCTGGTCACTTTTCTCCCAGAAGGAACCTGAAGTATCCATTAGATAAAATGCTTTGTGAACTCAAAACCAGTTGGATGTTATGACAGAGAGAAAAGTCCTGGTCTGTTGGGTATTATACCCAGGCACCCAATCTGTATCAACTGGCTTCATAAATTAAGCAGTCCTGTGGGATATGAGGTCCTCATGTTAAGGATTATAAGAATATTTCCATCTGGAATATGAAAACACATAGTTTTGTAGTTAGTTTATTTCTTGTTCTTAATATAATTTTATTTTATTTCTCTCTTACCCACATTCCACTCCTCATGTTTCTTTTTTGTTCTGTTCCCCTTAACGTTCACCTTACAAATGGAATCCTCCTGTTGGTGCCACCAGTTTTTATTGTTTTACTCAAGGCCCTGGCATCAATCCCAAGTGATAGTCCTAGTCCTCCCTTCCCTTCAGGGGTAGGACTTATTTTAGCCTACTTTCCTTATTTTGAATAAATGAAAGGAGGCTTGTAAGATCACTTTACTGTCTCTATGTCTGTGTCTCCCCCCTATCAATAATAGGCAACAGCTCACTGAACACGATCCAGCAGCAATGAATACACATATAGAAATAGAGGAATAGTTCGTGGTGTTTTCTATGTGGTCCTTGTCATATGTAGTGAAAAGAAAGTAGGCAGTTAGTTCTTCCCAGAACCTCTTGTTTCAACTGGCTTGCTACTCTAACCTGAGGACAGAAGCAACAGCTTCCATTGAAACACTGTAATTTATGTACCAAACCAGTGTTTTTGTGTCTTGGTGTCATGATATCATAACACGGAAGGTAGTAATCTTCAAGCTATTCTGGCTACAAGATTTGCTTAACTCTTAGAATTGTATGGTAACAATTAGATTCACAATTTATTTGGGTAAAAGAATGATGACGGGGAAACTGAGAACAAAAAATCACACTTAAATAACATATTCAGTAGAAGTTTGCTGAAATTGGTGCATGCTGCAGAATTCTGATCTTCTATATGATATTCTGTTAAATTTTATATGAGTGCGTCCCTTCATAGATTGCTGTGTCATGTTCTACATGACTTAACTAAATTATTCCTCTTTCACAGATAAAATCTAAAAACCAACTGCGGGTGAATGGGCTATCTCTCCTCATGTACTTCTTCACTTACTTTGTGGTGCTTGCTGGACTGATGCTGTTCATCTGTATAGCACTACTAACACTCATTTTTCTATTTGATCTGCCATCGCTGCAAGAGCCGCCTGCATTTTGCACCATGGGCATGCTCATCATACTCTACTGTCCTGCTTCCATCTTATTTGCAACCTGTGTTTCCTACATTTTTGACAAGATGGACTCAGCACAATCCATACTGCCCAACATTGTAACATTCCTTGGTCTCATTCCTTTTTTGTTAGTTATGTTCCTTGATATGTTAAGAATAGGTAAGTGTAAAATGTTTAAAATGGAATCAGTAGGATTTCATTAGTGATATTTATGATCTACAAACATTTTAAATTATTAAACACCATTACAAACTGTCAAAAAGGGCCTCAGGCTTGGAAGTATAATTTAACCTACATGAAGAATTCTGTCCTCTGGGCTGTAACATCATGTGCTTTGGTGTTATATCCCAAAATATATTGATCTTCAAAGTCACTGCTGTGAGAATCTCAGATCTAATATACATGAGATTTGAGGTTTTCATGGCAGTGAAGATTTAAATACTAGTTGTCTGGGTTATAACACTGTATAGTCTGGTAGGTGGTTGTACATACATACATACATATTTATTTCGTTCCAGAGATCTACAATTGGCAGTGCTGCCTTGAGATATAGAACATGTCAATAAAAAGTACATTTAAAATGATAAATTGTTAAAAATTAAATATCCAAGACATTTAAAAAGGCCACATATAATTGTAGTACATTAACAGTTGTAGAACACAAACAAGTAACACATCAAACCAAATCACAGACACGACACCGAAACAAACAACGTCAAAAATCAGGTGCCATTCACAACAATTATAAACAAAAACAGACAGATAATATTATATTCTAGATGTGACAAATAATAGGCGCAATCTTTATCTATAGGAAGCACAATCATTCCTTGATTTCCATTCATAATACTCATGTAAGGAATAAAAAGAGCCCACCTGCAAAAATTTTTTTAGGGAATATTTGAATTGTTGTCAGTTATGTTGTCTTCATTTTCAGTATAGAATTAGAAGTACAAATTGAACTCAAAAGACTAAGGTACGTACCTACTAGAGTACACAGTGTCATAACTCTAAAGACTATGTGAGTATAATTTTATGTGTTACTTTACGTAGGTGCTGCATTTGGTCTTTTTCCCCAGGGTAACTGGAGAGTGATTATATGGAGAAATAAAGGTGGCAGAATTCTTGCAGCATATTACAGTATACATAATAAAATCAAATTCAGATATTTATTTTATACTGATGTATATATACAGTAGAACTTGGTTATAACGTCATCAAAGGGACCTAAAAATAGTGTCGTTACAAACGAATGTCGTTGTAACCGAAATGGGCACTTCCACAGTAGCCTTATGTTAGTCACGTAAAAATCTACCAAAAACCGAGTTAAAATGTTCCATTTTTTTTAGTGAAATACGTAGTTAAGTACAGACTAACGTAACATTAACGTGGAATTGCCCAAATGTGTAATATCAAAGACATATTACAGCGCCTTTCACTGACAGTACACACCGCACTAATACTGTATATTAAAGGTAGGCCTACTCACCAAATTACAGTAGATTACATCAATTGTTGTGCCTTACTGTACCTAGATACGAGTACAGTAATCAGTTATCTTCATCTGTTTCCTGTTACTTGCCCAATACAGACTTTCTAAATTACGTTCAATGTCCATATCAGAGAAATTCAGGAATGAAAATGACGTTACATACGAGGTTGATGCATTTGTGCATGTCGTACTAAGCAAGGTATAAAAACAGTTGCTTTATGAGGAATTAGTTCGTACCATTGAATATTTGACGCAATAGACAAGGTGTCGCAGAAATCGATGTTGCTATAACAAAGTTTTACTGTATATATATATATATATATATATACACACACACACAACAGTTGAAAGTATGCATAACGTAAAATATACTAGAAAGCCAATTATTCTGATACCTTCACAGATTTATCTGTTCCCTAAAAATGTAAGCTGAACTTGAGTCAGGGAAAGAATAAACTACCCCACCCACTTGCCTATCTGCTGCCTCCTCTCTGTTTATCTCGCACATCCACCAGTTGTGATTTGTATTCTGGCTATTATTGCAACACTCTTTCTGAATTCTCTATATTGTTATTGGTGTTAAAGAGTCGGGAGGCGTGCAGTTTACTTAGGGTTGGGTAACAGGCAGCTGACTTGGACCCACGTCATCTGTGTTCATTCTTTGCTTGAACAAAACATAGTAACTTACTAATGATCTCCTTATTGATGCCAGGAGGACGAGCAGCTTTGGCACTGCATGTTGTATTCTCCCTGCTCAACACAATGTATCTACCCTATGCCGTGGTGTACTTCGTGGACAGAGTTTACCTGATGTGTCGTGTCAACCTTGCCTGTACAAATCTCACATTTGCTGACTACCTCACTGATGAAATTATTGTCATGCTGGTTAGCAGCCTTCTTCAAATCCCCATCTTAATGTATGTTCTTCTTGTACTTGACATCAAGAAATCTGGTGGACGGGCTAGTGATGTCTTCAAACATTTCCTGGTAATTATCTTCTAGATTATGTGAAAATTATTAATTTTTAGCTACCGTACATGGTAAGTTTTGTGCATATGTAAGATCTGTGTTTGTTTGCATGAATAAATAATGTGTATACTCAGACGTGACAAAGGAGGTTGTAATTGTTAGGTTTTGGATGAAAATTAACTTACAAGCATAAAAAGTAAATAAGAGTTTATTCTCATTTCCATTCTTGTTATTCACGCATTCACTCATTATTAGTAACAAAAATGTTTGTTTTTGTGTTTTTGTAAAATCTCCTGTGTAAGATATAAATAATGCACATTAAACGTTAAAGTGTATGTGCTGAATTGAAGAGAAAATATACTGTTAGTACTGTCTAATGGTAAGAATGAATGAATGTATAAGGGGTGGGCCTTCTCGGTCCTTGCACCGCGACCTACAGTGATCTATTGTACTTTGTCCAATGGTATTTTTTTTATTGCTAGTGGGATGGGACTAAGTCCCTTGTACTGCAGCCACTTCTGGCTTGTTGTACCAGCCACAGATGATAGGTGAGGGTGATTGTGGAGCAATTGGTAGAATGAAGATTGACAAGGGAAACTGAAGAGGTGGTGAAACACCTGTTGTGACCGAAATTATATGAATGAGATGATGAAAATTTTAGTAGCCACATTGATAAGAAAAAGTTTTTTGAAGTGCTTTTAGCACTCACTGTGCCAATCTACACAGGTGATATTCAGCAGCTGTTTAATGCAGCTGGTTGAATAGTAGGTTTGGAAGGAAAGGGGTGAAACCACGCTTTGCTTTGTCTGTGTCTGTTTTCTTGTATAAATAATGGGGGCATCTTGTTGTTTCACTGGCTTCCAAGATGGTAAAGGAAAGTGAGCCTGGATGTTGTCTGTGACCTCTGTTCTGTCACATATTAATGTTTATTCATTCATTCATTCATTTCCTTTATTTTCCATATGTCCATACAGGTAAGAAACCTAGGATGTGGAAATAGTCCCTTTGAAAATAGATATGTGTATATCAATATACACATGCATATACAAAATTGCATGAGTCACATAATAAAAATCAATTACATTAACCAATTAACATAACTATATTATAAAGTAAAATATTTAATAAGATAATTCAAAATAACTTACTATAAAACTTGAATTAATACAATTTCATTTAAATTACCTGTATTAACTGAATTGAGGTGGTCAGGTCATGTAGCACGAATGGGGAGACTAATGCATATAGAATATTGGTGGGAAAGCCAGAAGGAAAGAGACCACAGGGAAGACCAAGGCGTAGGTGGGTGGACAATATTAGAATGGATCTTAGAGAGATAGTATGGGATGGTATGGATTGGATAGATCTGGCTCAGGATAGGGACCAGTGGAGGGCTCTTGTTAACATGGTAATGAACCTTCGAGTTTCATAAAATGCTAGGAAATTCTTGAATAGCTGCAGAATTGGTGGCTCCTCCAGAAGGGCTCAGCTCCATGAGTAAGTAAGTAAGTATTAACTGAATTAAATACATTACAAATTTACACACTTATAACCAATTATGTTGATAATATTCATTCATGGAATTAGCCTCAGGATTCCACTCCTGCTAATTGCTGGTTCTCCAGTCTGGTACGCTGTGAAGATAGCAACTGCAGTATTTGCTGAAACAATTGAAAATCTTCACTGTTCTACATAGATTTTTCCCACAAGCTAAAGTTATATATTATATTTTTGTTGTTTACTCCAATATTTTGCATTTACATTTGACACTCGCTTCTCTAAATTGCTAGAGTAACATAGATAATATATTCAGTAGCATACTAAGTTTTCATCTGATAGGTGTTAATATGTTTCTGTCTTTTGCCATTCTAGAAAGACACAGTGATTTAAAAAAACTTTTTATTTATGAATTGGACTTTCAAACCATATGAGAGTATCAGGGATATATAAGCACAATAGATCATGTAGGTTGGGGTGCAAGGGCCGAGAAGGCCCACCCCTTATACATTTATTCATTTGTTCATTCATCAGTGATATATATTACTTGCCATATTCCAGTATTCCAAATGAAATGTATAGATAATTAAGAACAACATTTTGATCTTTATATAATATTTTTCTGAAGAGTAATTGTTTTCAGCCAAACAGCAACAATATGACTGTGGAGGAAGTGGAGAACAATGATGTTGGAGAGCATGAGGATGATGATGTTAGGATGGAACGACAGAAAGTTTCTGACATATTATCAAACCGGAGTGCAGATCCACCTGTTGTTATAGTGCAGGTAATCTATGGTACTAACCTTGGAATCATGATGATTCAGAAACCCAGTCTCTTCTTTGTGCCACCTCAAAAACCCCTTTATTCTATCTCTTTGGATCCTCTCTTACTCTTTGTTCCAAAGGTTTATGATTCTATGCTATTCTCAGTCACTGTCTTCATCCAATATGCTTATATGGGCTTCCCATCTTCCTGCATATTTAGTAATCATGTTAAATATATTATTGATCCTTTTTATATGTTTCTCAGCATTTTTTTTTTTCAATAATTTTCTCATTTCTACCATTTCCTCTGTATTTCTGTCCGTGCTTCACTTCCATTGTTCACTACTACTTTTACCCAAATTGGGTGGCATAGCAGTGATTTTCTAGACTCATATTTGGGGGAGGGGATGTGTGCCCAGTTTGGGTCTTAGCTTGGTATCAGCTATCTTGATGGAAATTCTTCATGGTTTCCCCAGAGTTCCTCAGGTAGGTGCCAGGATTAGGCCATGACTACTTCCTTCAAAATCTTTTCTAACTGATTGTTCATCTGTTATCCTACCATTCAGTACTAGCTACTGACGACATTGTAATGTGACAGCAACAACAATGATGATGATGATCTGCATTTGATATAGCATTGTTAAATAGCCTAAAACCTAACCCACTTAGAACAGAACCCTACTTTAAAATGCAAGCTACCTTACCCTGCAGCTACATTTCAGTAACAAAATTGACAAGACTATCTCGAAAATATAGGTGAGTTGGAGGTATAAGATAGATTCCTGTCCCACACGTGAAGCTTATTATTACTACACAGGGGTATAAGAGTTGTCAGATCCACTGATGTATCTAGTCAGTTCAGTTGCTGTTCCATAATTCAGTGTGTTTTAATTCTAAGGGATTGTGACAATGGTATATTAATTACAATTAATGTTATTGAGTTTCTGGACTTTTGTCTGTCTTCTATTATTCTAAACAGAAGACACCATTTCCAAAAGTGAACCAGGTGCAGTGACTTAGATTAACTCTTTCTAAGGGGCTCAACTGTGTAGGTGCTTCCCAACTTTTATTTTTCTCCAAGGACAGAAATGGGTCTAGTTTCAGAAATGTGCTTGTTCAGTAAGGACAAGTCCAGAAATCTGACAATACTAATAGTCTGCTTTTTTTCAGAGAGATAATGGACAGTTGGTTTGTATATTCTGAAGAACCCACTTCTTTCCAGAACCTGCGCAAGGAGTACCAAAAGGTGACGAGGGTTTGCAGTGGGAGCACTGATGGCAGTTGCTGCTGTATGAAGGGAGACAGTGATCATGATGTCCATAACAAAGTGGCTGTGCATAACCTTTCGTTAGCTGTGGATGCAGGAGAAGTATTTGGATTGCTGGGGCATAATGGTGCTGGCAAGACAACAACGATGAAGATCATGATAGCAGAGGAAGCAGCTACAAAAGGCAGAGTAAGTGTTTTTTAACATATTTATTTGTTATATAATTTTCTGACACAGTTTGCTTTTCAGTCTTTTTCTTTACTGATGAATGCACTTTGTGTAATGGTACTATGAAGTTGCTTGTTTCCTTTTCTATCAGCAGACCTGAATGTGTTAACTGTTATCACCCAGGAATAGGAGATTTTAAATTCGCCCATATTATGGGGCTATTGCCCACATTTCAATTCAGTATTAAGAGTATTAATATTGAAAGAACAGAATGCAGGGCCAGTTGGAGCACATGTTTATTTTGTTATGGTAGAGGAACATACAGAAAGTAAATGTTAAATCTGTAGGACAGACAATGTTCATGCAGTCTCTATGAGGATTATGTATCCCTCTAACTCACTTAATTTTTTTATGTAGGTGGAAATTTAAATCGCTCAACCAAATGCCCATACCGCCTATAAATTTCTTTACACTGTTTGTTTTTAAATTCATAATTCTGGGCCATCTTTTTCATTAGAATACATGACCTCAGAATCATGATTATTAACAAATTTCCAGAATTTCCAATTCTATCCTTTCTTGTTTTTACCCTCTGTATTTTTAAAAAATTTCATATCCATTTGCCAGATTTTGCTTTTGTTTCTGTCTCTAAAGACCAAAATTTAAATGCTATATCTTCTTATCAGTTTAAAATATCTTTATAGACTTGTCATTCTTTCTTTGTTTTGGGATTTCTGCCCTCTCCCCTGGATTTTTTAAACTAATTTAAATCAAGGAAAACAATGAAATATACCAAATATTAATAATATTGTGACATGTTGCGCAACGGAGACCCCCCCCCACCAGCAGTGACGCGGTGGGTGAGTCAGCGCTCCGTCATCCCCCCTCCATACGGTAACGTAACGCGCAACGCGCGGTGACGTAAGATGGCGTGAGGTAACAGCGTTGCTACGTAACAGGCACACACAGCCACTATATAAGAGAGCTGCGCTGCCTGTGAGGAGAGTTGTAATGTGGCCATCGCTGAGTTCAGTTCCGAGTTAGTTCCGAGCAAGCCTATGAGTGAGTGTGTTAGCAACAGTTCTCCAGTCAGCAGACTACAGTTGGAGTATAGCAGCCGTCGCGGAAAGAAGAACCGGACGTGTGTGTAATTGTGTAATTGGGAGTGTGTGATACAGTGATACATAGCTCCCCTACTGTAAACGTGTAGACTACTGAAGCCAGAGTGAATTGATTTGCGAATAGGGTTATAAATCGTGAAACCCTGCAAAAGTGTAAACAGATTAATGCGATTAGGGTTATAAAGTGTGAAACCCCGCAACTGTGTGATAATTAATTGTAGCCGTTACTTGTAGGTTGTTGAATAAACCAATTAACAATCCGAACGGCGTCTTCAGTAACTAAAACACGTTACAATACAAATCAAAAGAATTTTTAAAAATAGTGTCAAGTGTCCAGGATTCTGTGACTAGTAATAATGGGTTCTGGGTTGGATGACTGGATTTACTGATACCTTCTTTTACAATCACTCTTAATTACATTAAATTACACTAGCTCACAATCACTCTACTGCTGAGAACTCACTCCATTCTCATGTTTCAATTTTCTTACAACTTCCAATCTCAACTACTGAACTAAATGAGCATATGAGTCTAAGTCTGAGCCTTATATTACAATTGATGGTCAATTGGACAGTCTGTCTTGGAATAAAGCACCACCTGGGGCTTACAACCAGATTTTTATTACTGTCAGACAGTTGCGAGTTTGTTGATGTGGGGCGCTTTCTCTGACTCTAGGATGGGTCTGTTGTTTACCATTGTTGCTGGCCCCTACCTGCACAGTCAATCTTGGGTCTGAGTCCCGTGGGACTTGTGGCCATATTTTGCTGTCTCAGATTCGAGACTTCCCTTTTTGTAGCCTCCTATGACTCACAGGGTTATGGTGGAAGTATTTGACCCTGCCTCCACTCCTGATTAACTGAGCATTCTCACATGTCCTCCCTTTGTAACTTTGGGAAGAACTGAATAGAGATCGCCACCTCCAACATTTCCTTCACTATTATGTGCTTGTTTGTTGCTGTTGAAACATGTCTAGCGATCTGCTATCTGTCCTTGTACTGTTGAGAGTGTAACTTCATGAATGTGTTTACCAAACCGTTGCTAGCAATGGTCATATGCATCACAATATATTCTCTTGTCCTTAATACTATAGGTCAGTTGGTAAGAATAGCATTTGAACTGTTTTGATTTGATTTGATTTATTGTTACCTCAAGCAATCCGTACAGGCAAGACAGTCACCACAGATATAGAAGCAGTCCATTTATATATATACTAAAATAAGATATAAAATGAAAAGTAAAATATAACAAATAGATAAAATATGGTATGATGTGATAAAAGCAGCTCTAACTCACAACTTTGTCAACTTACATACAACAAATGAACAATTTTCGAGTCACAACAATGATGTACAGATACAAAATACGCCCATAAGTACATGTTATCACAATTACACCAATATGAATTTCATTCAAAATAAACCTTAACTATAGATTTATAGACCATTCCAGGTATTCATTTATTGAATAGATGGATTGCCTTAAAAGGAAATTTTTAGTGACTAATCTAAATTTCTTAACATCGTTATATTTTAGCGTCCTGTTGCACTGATTTAAGTTCATGATTTGTTTATTCCGTCTTGCAGTGCATACACTTATCTATCTTCTTCTCTCACTTTCACTACATGTTTCGGCATAAGAATGCCATCTTCAGGTGCTACTCAATTCACGTCAAACTAGTACATTGTATGCCTTGTCTTCACTTTAAAATAACTAAAATATATGTCCATCATATATATTGACAAATGTCAATCGTAAAAATATTAAAACTGTTCAGGGTTCCCGATCGCTACGTCGTATCTTATTACGCCAGTCCTGTTCATCCTAGTCTGTTGGAACTCTTCTTCCCTATCGTGTATATTGTGTTTCTGTTGCGTCTTGTTCTCGCGACTGCGAAGAAGATAGATAAGTGTATGCACTGCAAGACGGAATAAACAAATCATGTTCTTAACATCAGTTGATAATTTTCTTATGTTCCATGGTAAATGATTAAATATTACAGTACCCATATAATACACACCCTTTTTGTACTTGGTCAGCTTTACAGATGGTAAGTGTAAGTTGTAACTCTGTCATGTATTTATAATATACATTTCAGTATAATCACAAATAGGTGCATATTTTTCACTACCAATAGCAATAAAGAGAATATATATTGGGGATAAAAAGGCAGTATATTTAAACGTTTAAAAAATCCCCGACAGGATTCTTTAGGATTTGCGTTCATAATAATTCTTATAATTCTTTTTTGAATTATAAAAATATTTTTACTATTTGCAGCATTTCCCCAGAAGGCAATTCCATATGTCATAATAGAATGAACATACGCATAGTATACAATTTTTAAATCATCAATTGTTACAAGTGATTTAATAGATCTAATAACAAAACAAGCAGAGTTTAATTTCTTACTCGTTTTGTTTATGTGTCCTTGCCAAGATAACATCAAATCCAGTGTCACTCCTAGAAAGTCAGTGCAATGGGTACTATTTATTTGAGTATTTATATACCTTATTGGCGAGTTATCAGTTTGATTCATTTTTGTTTTAAAATACATACGTGTTTTATTAACATTCAAGGTCAAAGAATTAGCTTGAAACCAATGCATTATCTTCCCAAAGATAATATTAAAATTTTCTTTAAGCTGCCTATAATCAGGAGCAGTTAATATTAAGTTAATATCATCAGCGAATAAAGTAGGTTTTGATATGTCACTTATTAAAGCTGGTAAATCATTTATATACAATAAAAACTTGTAAGCAAATTTTCTGACTCCCCCCCCCCCAAAACTGAGTCTCCATAGAAAAAAATTGGCAGGCAGTGCCAATGAATAGAAAGGTACATGCCCATTTAGTCTCTCACTCAATATATTATACCTTCAGTATATCATATTGCCTGGGTAAAATTATTGTCATATTTGCCAATGTAAACTACAGTTTCTCACCTATAGATTGAACCCTATAAATCACTCTGTATACTGGTGTAAAAGATGCACAATTATTTGAAAAATAAATGCTCATTATGAAGATTACTGTCTTCTGGACCATGATGCTGCACAGTCTGGTCAAAGGTGCCAACATTCCAGTGGAACCTGCTATCTCGTTCTTCATGGTAGGACACTTTTCAGTCTCTTCTACCCTGAAGATTGAGGCAGCAGGTTCCTCCAAAATGTTTGTAAACAGCCTCACATGCCATCATACTCAGGAAAATAACAATATTCATACTCACCACTGTGAGAAATAAAACTCTCAAATACTTATTTTCTTTACATCACAAACCTTTCCTGTGAAAGAAGCAGTATGATTGTAGGGGATATTTTAGATAGAAAAGAATGTGTCCTGAGTGTTATGAAATAACGTATAAATTCAATTTTATCCTGATTCTTGGTGTAATAAAATATGATTGGTTAATTAGGTTCAGATTGCTGGACATAACATTACTTCCAACACTGCTGAGGCCTTCCAGCTGATGGGGTATTGCCCACAGCATGATGCACAGTGGAAGAATATCACAGTAAGGGAACATCTCGAATGTTATGCAGCCATTCGTGGTGTTCCACCCAGCGATATTGACAGGTAAGTTAACTGTGCTTGCTTAACTTTGTAGTTCAGGGAATTATAGAAGTGCATACCATCTGCAGGCTTTAAGCACAGCTTCAAACATCTATGTATATAAAAGCCTAAGGCTTGCTCAAATGCTCTGATTATATCTCTAAAGGTATGCTGTAGTAGTACTTGCAGAATTAACCAGCAAGCAGCAGTGATAGAGGTTCCTCTGCATTATGTTGGTATTGCATTATTTGTTTTGTCAAAAACAAATTTCTGTCATCGATAGATTGCTCAGTTGTTCAATTTATTTATGTTCTGTAAATCCAGATACAGGGAGACACCATAGGATATGGAACAAGTCAAATACAATTCAATGATATTGTCACATGTTTGGAATGTCATGCCACAAATAACTTTACGGGGGTCTCAGATTTAGCGAATCTTTATTGAACATTCACTCTTACACACTGTACAATTATTATCATTTGTAGTGTCAGTTGACTTCTGGCCTAATACTTCCACGCAACGTCTCAACTATCCTTGGCCGTGGCTGGATCTCAACTGTCTTCTGTCTGTATCGTATGGCGATGAGGTTCCGACTGTGTTCTTGCTGTCTGTAGCTCACGGCTTATGTAGGTGTTCTGCGGACTCAGTAGAGGACACCTCTCACCACGGTTCAGTCTCATGTGTTCGGCAATCTGTTGCTTCAGGAACGCTCTTTATACGCTGGTAACGAGTTTCGTCTCATCTGTTGTTACTCAATGGCCTTCTGTTGTTCATCTCCGGGGAAACGCTGCTTCGTTGATTCTGCAATTCCTATGCAACGGCCCACTATTATTGCGTTAGCATGGAAGTATCTACTCCAAACACGTTACAATATCCTGAAATAATGTATCTAAGAGTGGGTTGTTGGGGGTGTTAGCTGTAGTAGCAGTAGCTAGAGATGGGGGTTCTAGGCAGTAACAGCAGTACATTCTTATTCTGACAGGTCTGGTGCAGCAGTACAAATGCAACTGTCACCCCAAAAAGTTTCTTCAAGTTACTGATATTTTTGATGATGTTTGTTATTAACAATTTCCCATTGAAATTTCAACTGACTGTGTACTTGTATGTGTTTATGTGTTTCTGTGTGCTTTTATGTATTTGTATATTTTTCTTTGTGTGCTTGTACCTTCTTATACATGTTTGTGAGGCTTCCTGCTCTGTCATTATGTAGGGGTCATTATTGATTAAATACAGGTAGGNAGAAACAGCAGGCTGGAAGGCTTGGTGGGTGCTGTGGTGATTTGTGAATTTTGGACATTAGAGGTGGCTTTGTAATTGCTTGTAGTTATGAGTTGTATGTATAAGTGGTCAATAAATCCATTCTCCAATCCAAACTCCATCTATGGTCGCACACATACACATGACAGAACTTTTCATTTTTGTGACATGAAATATTTCTTGTAAAAGTTTGTTTTAACAATTTCATGTTTAAATTTCAACTGGCTTTAAGTTACCAGGGATATATTTGAAAAGAAAGGGAAATAATTAAGTTGATGAAATGTGTTTGTATTGCAGGGTTGTAGACTTGTATTTAGCAGGGCTGCAAATACAAGAGCATGCAGGGAAACAGAGCCAACATTGTTCTGGAGGAACTAGACGCAAACTAAGTTTTGCCATGGCCATGGTTGGCAGTCCTTCTGTAGTCCTGATGGATGAACCTAGCACAGGCATGGATCCTCGATCAAAGAGGTTCCTGTGGGACACTATCCTTGCAAGCTTCCAGGTAAATGTGACACAGAACATGAGATTCTCAAGAGAGTGTCTGTAAAGAGTACAGTCTTCTTGTTGCTGTGTCTGTGGTAAAAGCCTACTAATGCTTTGGAGGAATGTACTGCCTTCAGAGACATGTTGGCTTGCTGATTGGTACTTTCTTACTTACTTGCTTGCTGGCATTTATAGAAGAACTCCGTTCACTTGAATTACCTAGTGCAAAAAACTATTATCCTCCCTGTTGCGCTGAGGAGAGTGTTTAGGCCTAAGTGGGATGAAACAATAAGTGGCTGGAGAGAATTGCACAATGGGGAGCTTCATAACTTGTACCCCTAACCAGATATAATTAGAATGACCAAGTCAAGGAGGATGAGATGGGCAGGGTATGTAGCACACATGGGAACGAAGAGGAAGGTATACAGGATATTTGTATGAAAACCAAAAAGAAAAAACCACTAGAAGGACCTAGACATAGATGAGAGGATTCAGTCATTCAGTATTAGAGGGGATGGGTTTCCCCATGCACCGTGACTAGTAGTTTATTGTACGTCCCCCTTTAATTTCTACTGTCACCATACCCTACTGTACTGGTGCTTGCTATCAGCCCTTTTCTGCCAGCGAGGTCAGCCCTCTTCTGGCAGTGGTACCTGATAACTTCCCCATCTACCGGAGGCATTGGAAACTACTTGGGCGGGAAACTTTTTGCCTAATTTTGCTCAGAGGTCTCCTAGAGACATGAGGATCTTTTACGTGCCGTAAATCTACGACACGGGACCCACAGCTTGAAGTCCCTTCCAGAGGACTTGTTCCCTGAATTTTTCCGCCCTTAAAAATTCCATGACCTCCACCGGGTTTGAACCCACGTACCTTGAGTCATGAGGTGGGAACGTTACCCCTAGACTAAGGAGGCCGCTTTAGATGAGAGGATACTATTAAAATTTATTTTAGAGAAATAGTATGGGGTTGTATGGACTCGAGTCATCTGGCTCAGGATGGAGATCAGAGAGCAGCTCTTGTGAACATGGCGATAAATCCTTCAGGTTCCACAAAGTGTTCAGTTTGAGTGGCTGAGTGGCTGAGCTGCTAACAGCTTTTCAAGAAGAACTTGGCTCCATGGTGTTAGTTAAATTTTATATCCTAGTAACATAAATACAACTCTAGCAGGCCTTTACATCTGTTGCAACTGGAATGCTTGGTGTGAACAGGGTTCCCGTGGTGCCATTCTCACAACACATTCCATGGAGGAGGCTGATGCCCTGTGTTCTAGGGTTGGTATCATGGTGAAGGGTGAACTCAGGTAAGCATAAGAATTTTATTTTTCTGCTCAACAACCAAAATTAGCATTGATTTGGAACATACACTTATAATTGGCCAGAAATTAAGTGTATTCAACACAGCTTATTTAGTTCCAAAAGGAAATGCATGTAAATTTTACCAGTTTTAAGGGCTATTTTTAATCTGCTATAAAACTTATACAGGATAATTCATAAGTCCTTCTGGAATTTCCGAACTTGGCAGTGCACCAACCAAAGGAAACACCGCAGAAAGGAGCATATCAACAGGCAGAGAATTATTCCAAATTTGTTTGGGTAATAGACGCCATGGCGTACTTGCAGGTTTTACCACTAGGGGGAAGTTGTGATGAAACATGGCGAGGACAGGTGATAAGAAAGAGCTCTGTGTCTTGGAATTTGCCAAAACTGAGTCAATTGTGATGGTTCAATGGAGATTTTGAACCAAGTATCATACAGAACCACCTATGGGCAAACACTTCGTGAGTGATACAAGAGATTCCAGCAGAGTGGCTGCTTGTGGACTGCAAAATGAACAGGCCAGCTGGGGCCATCAGCCAAGGCCATTTTTCTTTGTAGAGTTAAAATGGAAGTGTGACACGACTCCAGCTTGTTGCCAAATAAAGTCCTTCCTGTCTTCCTGTATTTGTGACATTAGCCATAGTTGCAGCATATCCAGGAAGTTGATACAGGAAACAGTGGGCCCCACAATTCTGCTGGAATTTCTTGTACCACTCAAGAATTATTTTGTCTGTAGGTGGTTTTGTGTGGTACTTGGTCTGAATCCATGATTGAACCCTCGTAATTGTCTGTTTTGGCAAATTCCAAGACACAGGACTCTTTCTTATCCACTCTCCTTGCCATGTTTCATCACAACTGCTCCCTAGCAGTATGCCATGGTGCCTATTACCCAAAAAAACTTGGGGAGATTCTCAACTTACTGATATGTACCTTTCTGCAGTGTCTATCTTGGTTGTTGCGCTGTCCAGTTCGGAAGTTCCAGAGGGACTTACGAATTACCCTGTATGTGGAGAATGAAATGTGTTTGGTGTCTGAAGTGTGGCCATATTTCTTCTGCTAAGGAACCAGTTCAGCTGCATACTAACGTAAATTAAGCTGTATACTGGCAGTAGTCTGCAGGCTGCTATTGGAGGGACACTGTGTTAGTCTCTTGGTATATGTTCAGGTTGAGCTCTAGCCACAGCCACTGATGCTGAGATGTGTACAAAGAGGAGTTTAATGTCTAATCACTTTGATGAGATCCAATCACCTGCAGACAGGAGCAGGGAAAATTCCCAGTATGTCATCTTCTATATATTTTCAGACTATAAGATGCACATTTAATGCTTACATCTTTTTCTTTTTCAGTTTGCAAATAACCAAAATATCTTTCAGTTGCTCTGTTTCCATTTTCTTTACTGCAATTTGAACCTTGTAGTGTACAAATATTCTTCCGTGAACCTGTTACATTAAAAACACAAAATAATGCTAACAATAACAGCTTCAGTACAGCAGTCATTGCAATTGCACAGTGACTTTTGGGAAGATTTTTATGTGTTTCCATTCTCTTATGCTGTACCCTCAGACTATAAGACGTACTCAGATTTTATGTGGTGTTTTCCAGAATAAGCAATATACTCATATTCATATTCATATTCATATTTATTTCAAGTTCAGTTGATCCATACATGAGTTGAAAGTACAAACTGTTGGATATAGAACGTGTCACAAAGTAAATACTAGTCTAAGTTCCCAATCATTGGAACAGAGTCAAAATACCCGATAAGAACGATATATGATACAGTACACACATTATTAAAATTTCATTTAAATACAATAAGATAAAACCATAAATTAAAAGTACCAGTAACATATGTATTCAACAATGACTTTAACATGAAGTATAAAAAAAAAAAAAAAAACTAATTACCCTGAGGAAAGTGTCACAACCATCACTTAAAAGCTACAGTATACCAAAGAAACAACCTATGACCACACTTCACATCCAACAAATTGGTTATACCAACCACTGGTCTATACAATACATTCCCAGAATCATGATGCATAACAATAGTACTGTAAACCGTCCTACATGTACCAGCCCCACCAATCAGCCCACAATGCATACAACAAAATGTAATAAGACATCCCACTTCCTAGTATGCCTTCTATACAGGACTTCAATATGCAAAGGGGTGAAAATCACCCCATTCACCCATCAAATAACTCCCGTAGTGAGTAATAGGATTTCTCCAAAAGATATCTCTTTAAAGCTAATTTAAACTGTTTCTTCTTGTTTACTAGATCCTTTAATGAGGATGGAAGCAGATTAAATACTAGCAGAAGTATCCCTTTTCCCAGGACATAATTTTTGTCCTTGTCATGTCAGTATATATTAGCTAAAACTTTAAAGAGGGAATAACACTTAGATATTCTGTTCATTATTACTTAATGTCTTGTAGTCATATATTACTCTTTTTTATTAGAAATGAAAGGTAATTTTCCCATGTGTGTCTTTGGGTTTATACTGAATATTTTATTGCATATTTTACAGAGAACTATAACCACCAGCCTGAGCACTTACCACTTTAATTGGTAAGATACGGTATAACAATTAATATATTCAAACACATGTTTATGGTAAAGAAAGAATGACCATATATAATGATAGAGACAAATAAAATAAAAGTCATGTTATCACAAGGAATAAATATACCTCATTGTTGACTATAAAATATAATTTTGAAATTCATTCACAAAGAAAGGTTTGGAGTATGCAGTAAATTACGTATGAAACCTACAAACTATTTTCTGTGCTAAAGAAAATAATGATGACTGAAGCTCATTCATGGGGAAATTCTTTTTTCATGCAGCTTCCCACAGCATTTTGAATAGGTGGAAGAATTATTTCTCTCAGCTATTACGTGTACATAGGGTTAGTGATGTTAAGCAGATGGAAATACACACAGCTGAGCCATTAGCAACTGAGTCTAGTCCTTTTGAAGTTTAAATTGCTGCTGTTGAATTGAAAAGTTATAAATTGCTACATACTGATCGAATTCCAGCAAAACTGTTTCATGTAAGATGTGAAATATTAAATTCTGAAATCAATAAAGTCATTAATCATATTTGGAATATGGAAGAATTCTCTCAGCAGTGCAAGGAGTCTTATTATTGTACCAATTTATAATATAGGTGATAAAACTGGCTGCAGTATTTATCAAGGCGTATAACTGTTATCAACTTCATACAAAATTTTATTCAATATATATGGACAAATACCGTCTTAAGTGCAACAATTTTATTGTAGTTTTTACTTCTTTTTCCTCCTCCACACTACATGTTTCGGCCCTAAATGGCCATCATCAGGTGTGTATCACTCACCCAACTGTTACACTGCTTGTTAAAAATTTTAAAACACCAGTCTTTCCAATGGTATAAAATCTTTGTCAATCTACACGCGTCAATTTGATCTTTAAATTAGCACTTTTTAAACCCCAATTCAAGTTAAAATGTATATTCTTTTTCAAATTTTTCAATTAAAGTTTTTCAGGGTACATGCCCTATATCTACGGTGCTGCAGCGGCCACTTCTTGTTTTTATCGCCGTTCATGTGTTGTTCAGTGTAGGCGCTCTCTGTGTGTGTCGCTGCTTATCTTTAATACGTGTATTAACAGGAGTGTAACAGGATGCTGAAATATAATATTGAAAATTTTATTCAATATCTTGCTGTCAATGTTAAGTCCACACATAGAAGAAATTATTGGAGATCATTAGTGTTGGTCAGAAAACCAAACTATTTCTTCTTGTAACTGTTAAACATGTGTTAATGTGCAGGTGTGTTGGGTCCACACAACATCTGAAGAACTTGTATGGAGCAGGTTACACTTTAGAGATGAAGCTTAGGGGAGGAGATCGAACACCGACGACACCATCATCTGATAGTCACAGTGATCTGAAAGAGTTTGTTGCTGGACTATTCCCAGATGCAACTCTAGAAGAGAGTTTTGCAGATAGGCTAATGTTTAGTGTTCCCCAGCATGCTGTCACATCATTGGCTAAATGCTTCTTACAGCTTGAGACAGGTAAACAATTGAATAGATATTAGTAATTTGTTATTTAAAAGGAAACAGATCACAAGGAGAGATTTTGGTAATGAGAAATAATTACCCTCTTCTGGAATGTAATGCTGTGCAGTTTGGTAGATAGGTAAACATGTTTTGAAAAAAAAAATGTAGCCTTGGCTTTAGCTGTATCATGTATTGAAGCTGCTTGTACATTTTGGCATACACAGTAATCACCTGCAATGTATACTGAGATGTTGGAATAGCTTCAGTGCATTGGTATGTTGAGTATGTTGATGCTATGGGGCTAAATTCATGAATGTGATTTGGTCATCAGACATTCCACAAATACTAGGGATAAGAAATTAGTTACTCTTAAAAATTATGAAGTTTTCACATGAATAGATACTGATTTATTTAAATTACTAATTTATTTTTCAGCAAAAACTGAACTGAACGTTGAGGAATACAGTTTCAGTCAGACAACTCTAGAACAGGTGTTCCTAAAATTCGCTCACTATGACGAGGTGAATGGTGACTAAGGGACAAGAGTGTAATGTTTTAGAATGCAGATAGGTTTCAAGGTGGTTGAAGAAGTGGAGACAGTAATGGATATCAGAAATTGTGTTCAACAAGAAAGCCGATTGTTGGAAAGAAGAAGGCAGTGGATTGATTCCGTCTACCTCGTTGTGAACAGTGCGGTTATAAATTATAAAGTTAATTTATTTGCCAGTGGATTGAAATAAGAGCAAATCTGTTTGACAAATATCTTCTTCATGTTTATTTAGTGAAATTAAGACACGTGATATTACATGGTGAAAGATTTAGAAAGGAACAAATTTTGTTTCTCTCTATATTTTTAGGCCTGTTTTGCGAACAGTGGAATGTAATAGTTGGGGTTGTCTAGTTTGTCCTAATTTTGTTCAGACTCTGTTTGGCTTGTTTCTCATGGAGTGAGTTATAAGATAAAAAGATTAAATGTGCATATAAATGAGGCAGCCCCTGGAGCGTTAATGTATGCTTGATAATTTTCCTTACTTTGCTTATATGGCTAGTGCTGGTGTATTTTGTATTGACCTCATACTTAAAAATGGAAAGCCTTAAATATCTCCCCTATGATTCACATGCCTGACTATCTATGGAACAAAATATTTCACAGAAATATAAGGGATTTTATGAACATGTAAAAGTAGGGAAGTTTCCAGGAATGAACCTTCATTTCTGTAAAATTTATGTTGCAGTTCTTCATGTCATTCAGTTTAACTCTTTCTTATCCTATACTGACAGTCTTATGTCATCATCATTCTTTCAAACAGGTCCAGTGTTGAAAGTCTTCTACCACCAATTTACTAATTTACTGCCATATTGTTGTCACTTGCTGAGTTTATGTGTTTGGTCTTCGTATTGTCTGATGTCTTATCTAGTAGTTAGATATAAGAACAACAGATGGCAAGACTTTTATATTTTCCCATACATAAGGACTTTTCTTTAAGTTTTTGTGAAAATTAATTTGTAGCCTGTAGGAGTGAGGTTGAAAAAAAGGATGGAAATGGTTAATCTTTTAAGGTCTTTAGGACTCAAAACTCACTATTCTTGAGACCGTTATTAGGCCCTAAATTGTTAGACACCAGAGAAATCCTGACATTCATAACAGGTTAAAAGTGAACAACCTAATAGAAGGCATGAAACTATATTTAAAGAACTAGCTAGACCACCTGGAAAGAATAGACAGAAACTGCTTACCCATACTAGCTTTTTGATATCACCCCTGAGGATGACATGATGCTGGAAGTCCTAGGAAAAGTGGAAAGATCAAGAACATCTTGAGCTTTGAAGGAGCAGGCCTTAAGGCCTAACCTTTGTTTATGTTCATGAAGAAGATGGGTTCAAAATTAGATTGTTCATTGAACTTAAACATGGAAATTATAAACCATTATATAAACTAATAGAATTGGAGCTTGGCTATATGCTAAAATGTCAAAGCAAGGTTTTTTCCATTTTTGAAAATGAGGCAATATGGACTAGTGTCCTGACCAGCATGAAGGTCTGATACACAAAAGAATCTGCATAAAACTATTAATGAATATTATCTTCAGCCAAAAAAATTAGCTGTGTACATGAAAATTCCTTCAACACATTCTGTTTCCTTGGACATCTTTGGACCCTTACACTGGTAGGTGTGCAATTTGCCACATATAAAATTTGCCTTAGATTGGAAAAGTTGAATACAAGACATAGATACTGTGCATTAAGGAGCAGGAAGCTCCAGTCTTGTGTCTGAAACTGAGACTAGTTATTTGGCTGCTCACTGTAGCCAAGAGCATTCCCTGAGTTGCTATCAGCCTCTCTCATGTTGTTCCCTTCCATCCTGGGATATGCTGTGCCTGGAGAAGAATGGTCATTTTTAGAGGGAAGAACTTGTCACATTCTGAATATGAGAATTTGTGTCATGTACAAGGAAATCTTGCATCATAATGGATGGAATACATTTGTTATTGTTATATATCACATTATAATATTCTTTTCTGAGTATATAATAGGTCTCATTATTTTTATATACCAAAGAAATAAATGGTAAAAAGAAAAAAAGAAATCCCTTTAGATAGCGGAAGTATCTTTCCTAAATTAACTGAATATTTAATGAATATCTAATAAAACTATGCCTATAAATCTTAATTATTACCATAATGGATTCAGATATAATCCACTGCCAGTTGTTGGTTGTTTGTAAAGCTTTGCCTACAGAATTATTTACTTTCATGATGCTTTAATGACAGCACTATAAGAAGAACTGAAATACATTTATTAAACATCGGGCTTAGATTTAAGGCAGAGCAACCAGGACAGTTGCACTGGGGCCACTGTGAAACAGAAATAGAGTCTATGTATTTTGTTGAGACATTTATTTCTCTAAAACCACCAAAAGTTTGTATGTATTTTTGGTTATTATAAGAAATAATAATAAGAAGAAAAAGTTTCATAACCTAAATTTGTTGTTACTGAGAGGGACCTCCACATTTTGATTGATCCTGGGTTCCCACAACCGTGTATCTGGCCCTGTTGAGCAGCTAAGGAATAATCTAAGACCCCTCATTCATTGGCAGCAACAATAGAACAGTACCAAGACACATTGTGGAGTGACAGGACTGTTGAAAATTCTGTCACACACAGCCCAGAAGGTTAAATTATAGATGAAAATCTCATCTTTTTGTAACAATTTAGCTATGTATTATTTTTCTGGCATGTATTAGGGCATCTATAATCATTTAATCATTTGTATATCAGAAGTTCTGGGAAGAACTAATCTCCTACTTTCCTTAGACATGAAGCAGACCACATAGAACATGAACAAATTTATGGGAGGAATACGCAGACATGCAGACTGATGAACAACAAAGTCATCTCATAAAAGTAAAAAGTAAAGTTATACCTGTAACAGGCCATGAAGGTCCATGGGGTTGTGAGATGTCAAGGCTCCCACATTTTCTCTAGACAGTTGGCTCACAGATGGAACTAAGAATGTCAGCGTTATGTTCTGGTTGCCCTTTACCCTCCAAGAAGTTTCCTGGTACTCATTTCTCTTAGAGGCTTAGTCAACCCCAGGGCCATAATGCGGCTGGAAAGATTAGGCAAATTGAAAAAGATCCACCTCATTGGGACTTGAACCCACAACCTTTCAGCATGTAGCATAGTGCCTCAACCAATTGCACTACCGCGTTCCCCAATGCATCTCATAAGCTTCCTAATAAAAATTAAGAGGGATACACAGACAGAGAGCAAGGTGATCTCATAAGCCTAAAAAGTTTAGGGTGTGGATGCACAGACAGATGGGTACACAGAAAGATGGACAGACACAGACAGTACACACAAATAGGTAGATAGACAGACATCTCATAAGCTTACTTATTTTTTTCAAAATTAGGAATATAGGCTAGAAAGAGTAAAAATGAATGGCTTTATGGATTTCAAGGAAACTAAAATAAATTACTTGGAATATACTGCCATGTTTATCATGTTTTTGGAATAGCCATTATCTCATTGTCAGTAGCTACTCAATATCTTGACATACACTTGTTTTTGTCCATTCATTTTCACAAGTTTTTTAAAAAATATCAATGTCTTGCAATCCCCAATACACAGGTGTTATTGTATGTTTTCCTTTAATTCTTAAAGCAACCAGAAATAGATTTGGAAATTTTGATATATATATCTGTGTGTGTGTTGAGTGTGCATATGTATGTGTATGCACATGCGTGCATGTGTGCATATGAATGTAATGATATGCTTTATGCTGGAATTGATTGGTTATGAAACTGAGTCATAAATAAAATATTGATGAGGCAAAATTAAGGTTACAGATTATTTGTTAGGGAGTTGAAATATCCCATGCATCTTCATTGGTGCTACAGTCACTCAGGCTCATCAGAAGACATTGACCGGATTACAGATTTGATTTCCCCTTTACAAACCTTATATCACAATGAAGGAAGCACTTTCATAAATCCAAACATTAACATCTCCATCATCTTCACAGATTAATTTCTTGGCCTCTTCTAGTTACTAGGATTTAAACTGTCCTGTACAAACTTTACATTAAATAAAATAATAAATTTTAAAAGAGGGGGAGCACTTACCAGAGCACAGGTCTGGTACAAAGTAGAATTACAGATTTGTTGTTCTATATTGCTACTTTGTTTTAATAGTTCAGTAGGAATTCTATCAATAAATTACATTTTTATTATTTTGTGTTTCTTTTATTTTTTCTTTCACTTTATGTGTTACTTTTAATACAAAAACAAAAACCATTCATAACTGCATAGGAATTCTAGCAACAGATGGTGCTTTTCCATTTATTTCTTTTTAATGATATCATCTATTTGATCATATGTCACAATAGTTGTACTGGAAGAACATAATATCATTTGAACACCTGATAAATGGTAATGTATTTTTCTACGGGACTGCTACTAAGCTTATGATTTAATTTTACTTATAATTTATTATTCAGTAATATTTATATATATCATCATTTACTTGGTTTACACTGAGAAATTTTTCTGGTTACACATTACAGACAACTTGTTATTGGGACACTTCAAGAAGTAAACAGTTTTTTTTTTTCAGCTTTGTGCATTAGATTTTCTGATCTGTTCCAATTTAGAATTAATTTACAAAATTATGAATATTTTAGACTTTTTGTAGGATTTCTTGTGTGGGGAATCAGCCAAATCACTAGGTCTTAGTCTGCACAGAACAACACAGATACAGAAGAAAAGAAAATATGCATGCCCTGCATGATGTTAAATCCCACAATCACAGTGTTTGAAGATATGACACATATTAGATTGAGCAGCCACTGTGATCAGCACATGCACAGCATTTCTGCGGTTATCTCTAATTGTTGTTCTGTACCACTTCTCTGTATTTGCTCTTCTCTTTGACATTAATGTATATTTTTTGCATATGCAGTAGTTAATATTTGGGTTTTTACATGTATTTCAGTAAAAGTGAAGAAAACATATTGATATTATGGCTCAGTTAAGATAAAGTAACTCACATAAATATTGGTAATAGACTTTGAAGTTAGTCACTAACTGTTTGATACACATGAAACTCTTCTACTGAGGATGTGACAGGAAATTCTGCTAGGTGAGTTGTCATCTCATTGCCTGAGGAACTTCATATGTGAACAGAATAGTTGTTATAGCTATGGCACTTTGCTCTGAAGTTTTGTAGATAAAACAAATTTTCACATACTCTGTACATATCTAGGGCCATATGTAGTTTGTGTTTAGAAGAAAATCTCTGATTCTAATGATGGGTCACATATATCAGGTCCAATATTTTACTCCTTATTTTAAGTTCAATGTGCTTCATTCTATAAAAATAAAATTGACTGCAGAAGTGCAATAAGTATTCTAGGTTAAGATGACTTTCTTCCAGACAAAAGCAATACACTATGTTATAGGACCTTATCACATGAGAAATATTTCTGATAAAAATTTGAGAAAAGTCATGACTTTTGACTTTATTATATTCAGAAATCAATAAATAATCTCATAGCTTGCTGATGACCCTTGGTTAATATAATGCTAACATAAACTTAAATGCAAACAATTCTCAAACAGTGAACTGAGAAATTTTAGTATATTCTACAAATCAAGCCTGATCATACCATAGTGTTTGAATGCTTTAAATATTACCATTGAACCTTCATTTAATGGTCTTCAATTTAAGGTTTTCCTTAATTTAATATTCAGTTTCAATGATATTATGTAAATTATTCTCAGTGATAATTTCCCTGTGTGTAAGATTTTGAGCTGTTTAGTGCTCAAATTAACTGCTCCTCAAATAGATCTTAAAATGGGAATTTTGCTTACTGTAATCAAAGACCTGTTAGGTATAATTTTTTAGTAACTGGTTTCTTTTTTGTTTTCAATGTATAAATTGTATATAATTCATTATCTTAAAAATAGGAGCTATTGTGTACAATTTCATTGCTGTTACAATCAACAAACATTAATTAGCATGAAGACCTGTGCAATCAGATATTCTATCTGTATTCCAAAGCAAACACAGACTTCAGCAGCAATTGTACGAACAATTTGAAGAAAAAACTCAAATTGTCAGAAAGTTTGCAAAGAAGCCTAATCATATATGTCACTGGTGGACACTATGTTTAAGGGTAGATGGACTCTGTTCATGTCGTAATGTTTAAATAAATTCACGATGTTTTTTTTGGGCAGGCATTTTCTCACATTCTTTCCATATGAGGACAAAAATAGAAACCATTTTTGAAATGTTGGTGCATGGTTTAAAAATTAGAATAATGAACGCAGTCCAAATAAATAGCTGTAAGTATAATCCTGCTCTAATGGTGCAAATAAATAAGTCTTTATTTGTGTGATTAATATACTAATTCCAGCAGGACTGGAATGTATGCGTACTTCAGGAATTGTGTAGTGAAGACAAATTATGTCATAATGAGAATGAATATGTTGCTGAAAAATGTTACATTTCCTCTCTCTTTGCTACTGTTATGATTGTATTTAATTGTGTTCCTTCATTCTAGAAAGAGGATGAAAGGCTGAAAGCATCTGGTATCACTTTTATATGAATGTATATAATATCATGTAGATAATATTGTACATAAGTGATGCAGTGTGAAACTGGCAAATGTGAGTAAGATAATGCTACTATTATGTGCATATTGCAAAAGCACACAATCCTTGGTCTAAGAATAAAAGTCCAAACAAAAATATATGATTTTATCTCATAAAAATTTTAATTTGCTATAGTGTACAGACATAAATTTTCTTTTGTTTTTCAAAACAAAATTGCATCTACATTTGGGAACACCATACTAACATGAACTTACAGTGTACATGTCTTACAGACTTCTAGACACACAGTTTTAATAACCTTATTTATTTCTAGAAAACTAATTTACACTACTGTGTAATTTACACCTTCTTATCTTTTCCAGTGTTGTTAAGAAAACAATAAATCCTTGAAGCATTCCATTCTTATAACAAAAACGAAAAAGTTTCGATGCCAAAGCTCAAAAGGATAACAGCTATGGCATGATGTCTGAATTCCGAGACTGTAGGTTTATCTTTGAATCTAGTGTTGTATTTTCTCGAAAACGTTATTTGTATAGTTCTTATGAAAACATGTTGCAGAATGTGATGAAAAATAATAAGTGCATGAAGAACTTAAAGACTAAAGTACCTTTTGTCCCAGTTAGTGCCCATACAGGGCCTTCAAAGATTTTGAGCAAGAATATTTCATTTTTGTATGTCAGTCAAATAGACAATGATGTTTTACCTGACAAGATTATTTTTGTAGATCCTTTCTTAAATCACATATCCAAGTTTCCTTATCACAGAACTTTGGAAGATAGTTGTATGAATTACATGATATCTGGCAAAGTATGCTATGTTTAATAAAATTTAATACCATGTTGTTGTTGTTGTTGTTGTTGTTGTTGTTGTTGATGTTTAATTTTTTTGTTTCTTCTGAGTTTCAGAAAATTGAGAATGGAACTTTCAATGATTTTGAAATAAAGCAAGAAAAGAGTAACATAAGCTGAAGTTTCAGGGGTTTTCATTGAAAATAAATAGTTTAGAGTAAGAAGCTGCAAATATGAGTAGTATACATTCAAAATAGCCAGAGTGGAGTTCTTCAAACACAGAAGAAGCATCTATGTGCTATATGTTAAACCTCAGAATTTCTGTTCTTTTATTCCTTCTATTTGAGAGCTAACTACAGGAATCTTGCGATACAATTACAAAGGTAAACTGTAGTAAAATAAATAAACCGTGCAGCTGTGTTGTCATATATCTGTTTTGCAGAAGATGTACACAATACTATAAACCATATTATGTGTGCTTTTGTCGTGCAGATCATGGTTCTTCAGTCACATCTCCCTCTGTGTATATTCAATATTAGGTGAATAATTCAGGTGACACTCAGTATCTGTATAAATGGAAATAATGAAGCAGTTTTTCCAAATTGTCCGAGCTTGAGTGCTTTGTCTTTTTTTATTTATTCATGTTCTATTTAACTGCGTTTTCAGTTGCTGAGATTGTATGGTGTTAAAAGATATGATTATCTGTGAATAATGAGTTGGAGAGTTGTGAGAGGAAATGGTTTTGCCCCAATATAAGACGTTATTCTAGGATTTCCCTGGAGGAACAGAGGCAAACCAGGCAATGTCTCAGTCAGGATAATTTGTCTCTGTGCCAAGATTTGAACCTAGAACCTCGAAAGTAGGAAGCAGGTGTGTAAACCACTCAACCTTGATATTCTGTCGTTTTTTTGTCAAAAATTGATCTTTGATATTTGATATTTGATGGAAAACATCTGAAAGATGAAGTATAGTAAAAAGTGTAGAGTTTCTGTTAACATAACTTCTTCTTTTCTGTTGCCACTTTTATATGGGTCATCCATCTTGAAACCTATGTTACATTCAAATCCAACTGATAGTTTAATCAAAGATGCAAGAATGAAGTTGTAGAGCAAAACACATAGCTTTTATTTCATGTTATTTTTTGTGCTTAATTTATTCATCGTTCTGTGCCCATTCGAAAAAAAAACATATAACATAAATAATTGTAATGTTCTGCATTTTTGATGCTGTGAATTCTTTTATCATGAATTATAAGGATTTTTGCTGGACATACTTCATGGCCCAAGAACACTGCTGGAAAATTAAAAGCCTCCAATCCTCTCATCTTCTTGGTAATGTAGAAAACAGAAAACTGAAATAAAAATTTTATCACATACTGGAACTTGGCATGCATCTGTTGGGGGTTTATAAGTAATTGATTCTAAATGGAAAATATGAAATGTAGAAAATTCAAGGAAATTGTTATAACTGTATGTGTTTATGTGTGCCTCAGTTAAACATTTCTACAGCTGCAAAGAAAGTAAATGTTTAGACTGAAAATTACCATATTGGCTATTAAGTACACTTGTATTCTCAAAATATTGCTGTCAGTAAGTGATAAAGCATATGTCTTAAGTTTTAACAAACGAAGAATCTATTTCTATTTTCACTTAAATGTGCTGAATTTTTACGGTATATTAGAGTATCAACATATACCTTTATAATTTTCGTTTCATGCATCCTGTTGTGTTATAATATACAATTTCTTTATTAAAACCATCACAACACAACTATATTAAGGTCAGTCCCAAGTTTGGCTCTGCTACATGTTTTGGCTATTAAAAGCCATCATCAGGCAAATACATGGCTAATATATATACACTACTGACCTGCAGTACTAGTAAAATTGGATACAATAATATTAATTATATTAAAATACTTGGCATAAAAATACAATAAATTAGACTATATAAAACAAAAGTTATAGTATAAAACAAGAATAAAATTCTTTGAGTGATGCTTTACATCATCGAGTTAGTCATAGTATGTTTTGAAAATATGGCACAGTTCAGATATTTGGGAACAACGATAACAGATTGAAACCTGATTCAGAAGGAAATTAAGAGGAGATTGAACTCGGGTAATGCTTGCTACCATTCAGTCCAGAACCTTTTGTCTTCTCGCCTGCTGTCCGAAAACATAAAAATTAGAGTACACAGAACTATAATTTTGCCTGTGGTTCTGTATGAGTATGAAACTTGGTCTCTGACATTAAGGGAGGAACATAGACTGAGGGTGTTTGAGAACAGGCTATTGAGGAGAATATTTGGACGGAAGAGAGATGAAGTGACAGGAGGTTGGAGAAAACTGCATAATGAGGAGCTTCATAACTTGTACTCTTCTCCACATATCATTAGAATGATCAAGTCAAGGAGGATGAGGTGGGCAGGGCATGTAGCACGAATGGGGGAGATGAGGAATGCGTATAAGATATTGGTGGGAAAGGCAGAAGGAAAGAGACCACTGCGAAGAGCAAGGCGTAGGTGGGTGAACAATATTAAAATAGATCTTAGAGAGATAGGATGGTATGGTATGGATTGGATTGATCTGGCTCAGGATAGGGACCAGTGGAGGGCTCTTATGAACATGGTAATAAACATTTGGGTTGACTTTAAAGGTTTCTGACAATGGTGTATGCTGTACAGAACTATAAGTTTTATTTTGGACTCTATCCATCATCTGGTATATAATAAGACAAAAAACCAGTCCAGTGATTGAGACTAGCTCTTTCTAACGGGTCAAACTGAGTAGGTCTATCTTGCCCCATCCACTTGAGGACAGACAGAGCCAGTCTCCAAAACGTTGTGGTTTTTTTGTCTTATATATATACCAGATGATGGATATAGTCCAAAATAAACCATATAGTTCTGTACAACATTCGGGTTGCATAAAATGGTGGGAAATTCTTGAGTAGCTGCAGAATTGGCGGCTCCTCCAGAAGGGCTCAGCTCCATGAATAAGTAAATAAGGTGTTCTGTGTTGTTACATTAAGTAGTGTGGTGATTATGTTAACTATGTTTTTAGGAACCTGTTGTCTCCCTCTTCAAGGTAGATCCAGCAGGTTCCCCTGTAGTGCTGGTATGTGTGTATTAAACTACACAGCATTGCATTTCAGGACATCATAATCTTAGTTAACTCATCACTATGAGAATCTTGAATTTAAAACAATTTAGAACTGATCAGATTGGCCTAGCATTAACACTCTTAGAGCTGTATTCAGGAAGTTTTTGGTTTAAATCTTAGCTTGGTCAGTGGGTATCCTGACTGAGATCTTCATAACTTTCCTGAGTCCCTCCAGTTGAATGCTGGGATAGTATCATGTAAGGCCATGGCTACTTTATTCCAATCCATCAATCATCCTATAATTTGAAACTTGATATTCCAGTAATGACAGAGAAAAAATTGTTTTTAATTGCTTAGACCAGGGAAGAGTTAATTATTCAGGATATTACACATTCATGACCAAGGATGCTGTACTTTTACATGTCACTTGTAGATTATGTTGTACTGCTGTACAGTATTATTTACTGTACTTGTTAAGGAAGACAGGGTGATTTATATGCCTAATATGGTTCCTCTTTGGACCATGATGAAATGAAAAGTTGGCTGGGTTGAAGTTTTCAAGTCAGAAATGCTGACATGTTTTGTAACTTTTACTGCAGTCATATCATACAGTTTATTTTAACCAAGGTGTTAAATGCTGTGTGTGTGTGTGCATGTGTGTAATTTTATTCTCATAACTGCTAACTTTAATTCTGCAGTTGTTTGTTTTGTTAATGTAACTGAGTCTTATCACATGGAAATCTCTTGGATAACGTTTGGTTTGAAATGCTGTTCACAGGGCATAGGACTGTGTATAGTGTTTTATGATTAAATGTAAGTTAATTTGAAGATTATTTTTTATTTAGATACCATATTGATAATAGCTTTTATATCTGTTATTATTTTATTTTCACTCTTTCGTCTTAATTAAATATGCATATAAGACCAGGGCAGCCATGTTGTTGAAACTAATTTCTTTTTACTATATTTCATACACAGATGTATCCATGACATTTGTGGGTATATTTATGGAGAAATGAACATGTTTGCCTAAATGTATGTATAGTGTCTCTTCTGACAAGTATGATACCCATTTAAATATGAAGTTAACACACTAAAGACTGAGACATGTTGTAAAACATTAAAATAAATGCAAGAATTATGGTTTTAGACATTACCCATCTTCTTGCCTTTATCTAAAAACCATCCTGTTTGTTTTCCAAAACACATCGTTCCCTATCTTAGGAGACAGGGACTAGCTCTATTGATTGGGCTCAACTGAGTAGGTTTTACCCAAAGACAGAGACAGAATCCAGTCTCAAAAACGTTGTCTTTTGAAAAATAAACAGGATGGATTTTAGACAAACACAAGAAGATGGATAATGTCCAAAAACGTAATATTTGTACTAATGTCCCATTATCACAAACTTTTAGATCTAAAATAAATATATGATAATCCAATTCCCTCTTTGAAGGAATGGACAAAGATTCACAGTTTGAGAACATGTAATTACATAATTAGCATGAGCAGGGCTGTGTGTGTTGATTTGTTGTTACATCATTCTCATGCTGTTTCCATTTAAATGAAGTGTGAAAGTGAGCTATATAACAAAGTTTTTATTATATTGTTCCTTATCAACTAAAATGAATTTAAGGCAAAGGCTGGGAAGGCAGGTTTTAATATTTATCTAAACTATTCGACACAAAGAGGGGTACACAGTAGCGTAGTTGCTTGAGGCACTATGCTATAAGCCAGAAGGTCACGGGTTTAAGTCCTGATGAGGTCACTGTATTTTCTTTTATTTTACACAAAGGAGAGGGTGGGAGGAATGGGTAAGGGACAACAATAATATGGGCAGACTGGAATGGAGTACATGAGAGTAGAAGAAAGGAAATGAAAGTATAAAACTTCATGAGACAAATGAAGAGACTTTAAATTGAATTTTCAAGGGACATTACACTAGTAATTACATATTCTAAATAGACTTACTTCATTTTGTGGGCAATTTTTCTGGTCACATATTGATAATGACTTCATTATAAACTCAACCAAAAGAAAAAAAGTACCCTATTCATTTTTGTTTTGAAGGGAATACTAATTTTTGTGCTTTGTTTGTGTTCAAAGAACTCTGCTTTTCATTTAAATTTTGGAATTCAGGAGGAGAATATGAATATAAATAAATGTTCATCATCTGATGAGAGCTCGAGTTCTGATATATAATTTTACTGCATAAACAATGACTGTGTATTTGTAAGTTACCAGTACTTCTCTGCTTTATGACACTATTATTGTTATTTATCTTATCAATTTGTTGCTTTACTTGTGTGCTTCATATTTTTGGATACATGAATTTAAGCTTTCAGAGCGACTGTGGCAATTATAAACACTGCATGAGTACTGGCTTTGTGCAGAAGTTGTAAAATGATGGCATACTATGGTGAAGGTATGTGTTGAAAGGAATGGTCGATACAGAGTTGAAAAAGGAGGAGGATAGTATAATTGCAGAACATTGTTCATATTTTGAGTATCTTGCCAATATTTACATTTTTATTGACATAGCAGTAAATCATGATTTTTTTTAATGAGTAGCTGGGAATGTGCAGCAAAGAAATAGTAAGGAATTATAAAATTATTAAAATATACAGATGTTTAAGAAATATGACTTTTTAGGTACAAAGCTAATATTTACCCTGTTAAAATTCAGAGACAAAGTATTGTAGAGGGGTTGCTATTCTAAATCATCCAAACTACAAGCTAAAGTTGTACGCATTGTGAACATGTAAAACTAGTTTCAAACATTTCTGTTGGTTTTATGTGGACAGTATAGGCCATTCAATAGTAACACAAATTAATAATGAAGTATAACAATGGAAAAGAAGATGAAGATTTGTGAAACTAGCTAGAGTATCAGCAGCATATGGTACCATCACTCTTTTACTATTTGATCTCAGTTATTAACTCAAGTAGTGAAAGAAAATGCTCATAGTCTCATATTTTAACTTATGTTAATTGTTTATAATCGATATTTTGAAAACTATGGTTATGTAATGAACATTTGTTGTTGTTCTACAGATAGAATCATACAAGTTAAAAGTAATTTCAACTAGTTCATATAAAGAATCCTTGGGTAAAAAAAAAAGAAACAAAAAAGAAAAAAGAAAGATTGTAATATTTTGCAGAGTGTATTAAAGCTGCACATAAATGTAAGTCATTTTATATTTAGTTCTTAATTTATTTAATGATGGTAATATTAATCTCAAGCCACAAGAATCAGAAGTCCATAAAATATATTCACTTCAGCATCTTGTGATATCAATTGCAATTCATAGTTCATGCCAGTTTCTATGCAGTTGATTTTTGTAATGTTATAATTAGTTTATGATACATAGAAAGAGCAACTGTGAGTAGAACTGTGTTCTGTGTATCATAAGCTCCTTTTGTTCTATAAAAATATTACATTTTATTTATTTTCTTAAGTTAAACCTTTATTGCTCTCATCTTTTGCTTCTCTTATATGATTAAAAATGTGCGATTGTTGTGGATACAAGAATATTGGACCTGTGGGGTTAACTATTTGGAATGTAATATATTAGAATAGTTTTACTCATGTTTCAGGATTACAGGCTGATCGTCTGAAGAGTATTTATATTCAGATATGATAGTCATGATTTGTAAAATTGAATTTTTATAGTAATTATGCTTATCATTTTTTTAAGAATTACATATTGGTTTTTTAATACAATTATGATGTAGTTTCATAAGCACAAACTATGCCGTTTCTTCATACCTGAGCCTCATCTCCATCAGAGTGAGATTAACACCTATCATTTTGCTTCCATGATTTAGTTTGTTTAGGAAATATCCCTTATGTCTATGTGTTTTGTTACACCTGGCAATTCCAAGAATTTATTTTACCAGTCTTAAATGTTGTTTAAGACCTTCATAGTACTAATTTGTCTCTTTGCTTTCCTTATAATAACACTGTTTTTTTTTTAACCAGACAGTAATTTTTTAATTTTTAATTAGCTTAGTGGGGGTGGAGTCCAATTGGGTCCACTTGGCACGGCGGCCACTGATTGGTCTATTGTAGCCTGCCCCAGGTGATTATGATGATGGAGAATTTGGTGGAATGAAGATTGGCAGGGAAAACCGAAGTACTCGGAGAAAACCCGCCCAGCGCCACTTTGTCCACCACAGATCCCACTTAACCAGACAGTAAGTTTCGAGCAGAAGAGTGGGGTGCTTAACAATAAACAAATTTCAGTTTCAAGATTATTTCTTGTAATTCTTGTAATTATCACTTCAACTTCTTTATAAATTCATAGCAGATGCAGTTCAGCTTGGCAGATGTCTTCTAATACCTAAGAAGCCAATATATATATGTAATAGGGAATTTACAAAGAAATGACTCTGGGAAGTGTAGATGGTCAATTACAAGAAGTAATCTAAATACTACATACCACAGATATGAATTCCGTCAAAATTTGAAATTATTATACAAATTGACATAACCTTGGTCCTACACAAGCATTACAACTGGTTGAAATATTTTCAAACATATCCTACCTGAAGTTTATAATAAAAGAAATGACTTAGATTGAAAAGCATTTGTTCTCCAAATAATTTGTATGTTTAAAATCAAAATGAAAAGGTTTTCATTCAAACTCAATAAATGTGCTTGTCAACCTGCTTCCATGTGTAAAAATAAATTACACCTTTATTTTCAAGAGAAGAAGAAATTGTTATAGCTTGAAAGTTTGAGATCTGATAGAGAAATCATATGCCTTAGAGCAATTTTGGAAGGTAGCATATGGAAAAGAAGTCATTCTGTAAAATGTAGTGATATCATGAAAGAGAGTTTTAGAGCTCAAACAGCTGTATGTGGCTGAATAACAGCACAATTTTGTAGTTAAGTCATGAATCATAATAACTGCTTGTAATCATGTGCTATTTACTTGTAAATAGTCTTCATTATTCTTCATCCCATTATTATGTTACTCTGTTGCAAATATTAAAAAAGAAAAACTTTAACATCATTTTACAAATTTTCCTAAGCTCCCATTTCCAGTATTATACTTGGAAATTTAGAGGTTGAACCGATCAGTGTTTTTTTTTTTCCAGTTCAATTCTATCAATGTATAAAGTATACTATTTGAGAAATTTATAATCCTGCCATTATTTTTTAATTTATTCCTTGATTGAAAGGGGTTCAATGCCAATGTTTCATGAAGCACATTTCAAATAGTATACATCTTCTTTTGTCATTTTTCTCTACAGGATGTCCCAGAAGTTTGGTGCCATACTTCAGGAGCGTACTGAGGGTTCCCAATAGAATAACTTTGAAATAGGAACCCATGTCCGCAAATGTAAGATAGCAGCACTAGGGCAGCATTTAAAATCATTTCGTTTAAACTTGGCGCCTCAATGTCGGACTGCATTGCATAGAGGAACAGCCATCCACCAGCACTCGTGCCATTGCCAAGATTGTGGGGACATCAAAATCAAGTGTTTGGAGTAACGTGCACCACCAGCAACTTTATCCGTATCATCCGACATGAGTACATGACGTAGGTCCAGCTGACTTTGTACCACGAATTCAATTTTGTCAGTAGACACTGAACCAGTGTTTACATCAGCACAACTTCCTGAATCACGTGTTCTTCACAGACGAAGTGCAGTTTACAAGGGATGGCTGGTTCAACTGTCGAAACAGCCACGTCTGGGCTGACGAAAACCCCAACGTTACTGTAGTTGGTTACCACCAGGCACAATTTTCTGTCAATGTCTGGGCGGGCATCGATCACTTAATTGGGCCTTTCCTCCTACCACCGCAACTCAAGGGTCCCTTTTACAAGGTGTTCCTGGAACGTATCTTTCCAACTTTGCTAGAAGACGTGCCACTGATTGTGCGGAGGCAAATGTGAATACAGCATGACGGAGCGCCGACACACTTCAGCATCGTATCACGAGACTACCTCGATGCTGCTTTTCATGGTCGTTGGATAGGTAGAGGAGGCCCAGTGCCTTGGCCACCCCGATCCCCAGACTTGACACCTCTGGACTATTTCGTCTGGGGCCATGTGAAAAGTCTGATCTATGACAAACCTGTGGATAATGAATTCGAGCTGATGGCCGGAATACTTGTTGCAGATGACGTGATCCGTGAGACACCTGGAATATTTGAAAGGGTGCGCATTTGGAAACTTTAGTCGCTACTTTATTATCGATACAGGTTCCTAGGTATCGGTATTATCAGAAGAAATTTATCGGAAGCTCAAACTTCACGGGGAGCCCGTGCAAGAATTACCTGTGCAGTCGGTGGTACTTATGAGTGCTTTTGGGAACATGACTTTGAGAGTAAGTAGTCAAGCACTAATTCCCTTTTGGATTATGATAAAGAGTTGGAAAATAATTTTCTTATCTGCACTCAGCTGGTCAGTCCGGCCTTATTGGGTGCTGATTTTTTGTGTGCTTATAAATTTTCGATTAGTTTTTGAGCAAGGTGCATGGCACGGACTGTACTAGGCGAAGAACTGAGGATAATTAAATCCTCATTCGTGCAAAGCCTTTTTGTGGCTTGTTGTACCAATCCTAGATGATGGTGATTGTAGAGCAATCGGTGGAACAAGGATTGGCAGGGGAAATCGAAGTACTTGGAGAAAATCTGTCCTAGCGCCACTTTGTGTCCACCACAAATACCACATGACGAGACCTGGGAAGCTAGCCCAGGAATTGTGTAGTTCGGAACAAGAGACAATTAGTTCTGTGTGAACAATACAATGAGGTCGCGGGTGCCATGAAATGGTAATTTCTTCAGTCACTGAACAGCTGTTTGCAGAGAGTCAGCACAATGAACTTGGTCCTGATGTATGCCATCAGTGTAGAATTCCGTACCTGTAGGCAATAATGAATTTCATGGCCGTAAACGTACAGGTGAGCGGCTATAAGAGGCAGTGGAGATTTCTCTGCGATCACGGTCCATAAAACAGTGCGTATAAGTTCAAATTAAAATTTTCGTTAGTATAATCAAGCCTGTTAGCACATTTTTGCCGAGAGACTTATGTATCTCTGTGGAAACAGAATTTTCTTTCAAGTTTCCCCACCTTCAGCTTTCCTAAATATAACTATTCCATGTTTGTCACAGTTCACAATGTTCAGTGCCTTTGGTTAGAGAGGTGTTTCATGTGAAAGAAAGGTTATGATTTTCCAGGCACTGGTGACAAACTTTCTCCAGATAAATAATTTGCAACCTAATCCCTTGTACTCCAGAGGTGCAGAGGCTCCTACCTCGGTTTTTTTTTGGAAAGGGGATGGGGGACCAAGTTTAATAGAAATTCACTCAAATCCAACCCAAAGGATATGGGTGAAGTGATATCGAACTTCCTTATGGAGCTGAGCGAGAACCTGTCAATTGTGCAGCCACTCAAGAATTTTCCAGCCTTTTGTAGAACCCGAAGCGTCATTACTGTGTTCACAAGAGTCCTCCACTGGTCCCTATCCTGAGCCAGATCAGTCCAAACCATACCATACCATCCTATTTCACTGGGATACCATTGCACCATTTGCATCGCAATACATATTTTCATTGTTAATATTTGTATTGCAGAATAAACATCTTTTTTCATCAAATATTGACTCTCATGCTATAAATACCAGACATAGACAAGATCTTTATCTACCTCAAGCTAACTTAACTAGTTTTCAAAAAGGAGTTTACTACGCGGGTATAAAAATGTTTAATAAACNTGACTTTCCCACCAATATCCTATATGCATTCCTCGCCTCCCCCATTCGTGCTACATGCCCTGCCAACCTCATCCTCCTCCTCGACTAGTGATATTCTGTGTTCAATATCACTAGTCGAGGAGGATGAGGTTGGCAGGGCATGTAGCACGAATGGGGGAGGCGAGGAATGCATATGGGATATTGGTGGGAAAGCCAGAAGGAAAGAGACTATGCAGTACAAGAGATGTAAAGTAGCATACCTTCTTACCGATTGTGCTCTCGGCCCAGGAGGCCATTTTTATATTTAGTTCCTGTATGATGAACATAGATGGAAGCAGCATTCCACCGTGGTGTAATGGCGGCCATGTTGCCAACCAATAGCATGGGAGTTTCACGGGGCTGTTCTGTATGGCTGGTAGGTAGAAGCCAGGAGTAATGTAACAGAATTACAATCGTACGATAGTATTTTTAATATCCACAACATAGCTATCATTCTTACTGTGTCCTCTGTTTTTGGTTATAAGAAAATCGACTGCAAAATGGTAAGTACGATTGTGTTTGAATGGAAATATTTCTGTATGTGTTTGTTATATGTCAAATCATGATTAAGTGACATAACCCTACTTTTTAAAATTCCAGTTTGGATTTAATATGTTTCCTGATATACCACGTCCATTCAACACACAATATAAATGCTATTCAGTGTCAATGTTTCCTGGAAATGAGCGACATGATGTTGAAAGAGGCGGAAAAAGTAAGTTGAATATCTCGCAGCATATGCATATTTTAATCATGTTTGTATTTCGTGAGTGCCGTGTCGGTGTCGAGATGCTTCATGAGATATAATATGTACGTTAATTTTTCACTAAGCAAACCCCTGCCTTTTAGGCGCCTGTAAGCAATTAACATCGTACTTTTCTTTTGGTATTACAATTAACAGCTTTTGCAGTAAAGTAAGTGCATTTGAATACTCTCTTTGTTGCAGTCATAATGCCCCCGTCAGCATTGGATCAGTTGACACGTCTGAACATAGTATATCCAATGTTGTTCAAGTTGACCAATAAGAGAACAAATCGCATCACACATTGTGGAGTGTTAGAATTTGTAGCTGATGAAGGCAAAGTGTACCTTCCTTACTGGGTATAATATTTATATTATTTAGTATAAAGCAATAATTTTGTTGGATACGTATCTTAACGTTCTGAATAGTAGTTTCAAGATATTGTAGATTCTTGATCAAATAATCATGTTTATAATTTGGAAAATTTACAGATGATGCACAATTTGCTTCTTGAAGAAGGAGATTTTCTGCAGATTGAGAGTGTATCACTGCCTGTTGCAACATTCTCACGTTTCCAGCCACAATCAATAGATTTTTTGGATATTACAAATCCAAAAGCTGTTTTAGAAAATGGATTGCGTAGCTTTGCATGTCTTACAACTGGTGATGTGATTGCTATCAAGTATAATCAAAGGATATATGAGCTCTGTGTTCTGGAAACAAAGCCGGGGTCTGCTGTCAGTATCATAGAATGTGATATGAACGTAAGTAGTGAACATGTAGTAATTTGCAGTAATGAGATGATTTAAAAATGTTTCAGTTACAATTTGCATTGGTTTTGTAATGCATATTATTTACAATTTAATACTTATGCATTGTACATACTTACAAAGAATGTTTATTGCAATGGCAATTGCATTGTACATACTTACAAAGAATGTTTATTGCAATGGCAATTGTAATGTAGTAGGTATAGTTTGGACGTAATAAAATGCTGAAGTTTGTCTTTTCAGTGGGACAAATACTGTAGCATTCATCATATGTGTGTTTGTCTGTAGTAACTTTTGAACCTATAGACATACTTTAATGAACATTTTTATGGCCATTATGTCACTGGAACCCATCACACATTCATACTTTGTAATTTCAGTTTCCTCATTGTGCAGATAGATAGGAGTGTATTGTGTATTGCTGTAGGTTGAGTTTGCCCCTCCAGTTGGTTACAAAGAACCAGAGCGGATTAAGAAATCGGATGAGGAAATGGTAGTAGATCCAGCTGAATTGATGCCGGAGCCTACAGGCTTTGTTGCTTTCCGTGGAGAAGGAAACAGGTGTGTGGTTTTTGTTGCAGTTCAGATTCCATGATCGTGCCTTAAATTAGGCCATGACCACATCTTTAACATCTTTCCAGTTCTTTATTCACTAATTCTATCATTTGATGTTATTTAATCTGAGTGACTGAAGGTATTAAGTAAACCATAAGTAAAGAAATAATCTTGCAAACGTTAAATCAAAATTTAAGAAATTCTTATGCGTAGAAGTTAGGAAGCGAAGTTTTCATCACTTAAACTGAGATATACCTGTAGAGCCATTTCAAATGGGTCCCTTGTCAGCACAGCACAGCGCGTCCTCAGGTTGCGAATGGAGGAGACAGCCTCCAGATATGGAGGGTAGCTGTGAATATGTTGAATAAGCAGTCATGGGTAGCTGGAAAAGGGTGGTCCTCCAACTTGGGTGTTGGACGTGGGGCTATCAACTCCTGACCATAAAAAATAAGCATATTACGGAATGTCACATAGGGTCTTGGAGTTGGGCGGGCTGTTTGGATAAACGACCTAAGCCGAGGAAAATGGTCATGAGATTTGGTATATGGAATGTTAGAAGTAAGTACAGGGCAGGTTCACTCAGGGCAGTGGCAGAAGAAATCTCAAAATATAAGTTACATGTAGTGGGAGTACAGGAGGTCAGATGGGATGGAGGTGGCACTGAACCCGCAAGCGAATGTAGATTTTTCTATGGAAAGGGGAATGGGACTCATGAATTTGTTAATTTTTCTTTGTACATAAGAAAATCATATTGTCAGTTAAGAAGGTAGAGTTTGTTAATGATAGTGTGTCATACATAATACTAGGAGGTTGCTGGTATGATATTTCTGTTCTGAATATTAATGCTCGAAGAGAGGATAAAATTGATAATGTGAAGGACGGCTTCTACGAGGAACCAGAATATGTATTTGATAAATTCCTGAAGTATCATATGAAAATTTTGTTAGGAGATTTTAGTGCCAAAGTAGGTAGGGAAGACATTTTCAAACCAAGAGTTAGGAATGAGAGTTTACTCGAAATTAGTGATGATAATTGAGTTTGAATTGTAAACTTTGCCACATCCAAAAATATGATTATCAAAACTACAACGTTCCCACATCATAACATACATAAATTTATTTGGACATTTCCTGATGAAAAGGCTCACAGTCAAATTGACCATTTTTTGATAAACAAGGGACAGGATTCAAGTGTACTTAAAATGTAATCATTCAGGGGCTCAGGCTGTGATAATGACTACTCTGTGGTGGTGGCAAAAGTTAAGGAAAGACTGGCAGTAAATAAGCACAGATTTCATATGGAGAGATTTGCTCTCAAGAAACTAAACAAGGTAGAGGGTAAAGAGCAGTATTGTGATGAAATTTAAAATAGGTTAGATGCTTTGGAGAAGTTAGATGCTGAGGTGATTATGAATATAGCTAGGGACTAATTCCACATCAACTGGTCATTATTGTACCACTAAGGATCAACGGAATGTTTAAATAAATTGAATTGAATTGAGAGAATATAAAACTTAGCCAAAGAGAGCCTAGGTTATTATGAATTGAAGAAGCATAAGCCATGTTTCGACATAGGATGCTCAAAATAATTACATCAAAGGAAACAAGACAAATTGCAGTCGTGGGGATCCAAGTGTAATAAATTGGGATAATCTGAACAGGACAACATGTGAAACCGGCAGGCATTTCAGGAACAAAAAGAGGTAATATCTGAAAGACAAAATTGATGAGCTTGCAATGAACAGTAAGAATAAGAACATTAGAGACCTGCATAGAGGAAAAAATGAATTTAAGAGGGGTAACCAACATAGAAGTAACTTAGTGAAGGATGAAAATTGTGATCTTCTTGCAAATTCCCACATTTTGAATAGATGGAAGAACTACTTTTGTCAGTAATTGAATTGTCAGTGGTGTTAGGCAGAAAGAAATGCAGCTGAGCCATTAGTATCTGATCCCAACTCTTCTGAAGTCGAAATTGCTATTGCAATTTGCCACCTAGTCATCAAATTCTGGCAGACCTGATTCAAGCAGGAGGTGAAATGTTATGATCTGATATCTATAAACTCATTAATTTGGTTGAAGGAGTCTATTATTGTACCAGTTCAGAAGAAGGGTAATAAATCAGACTTTAATAATTATTGTGGGATGTCACTCTTTTAAACTTTGCACAAAATTTTATTCAGTATCCTTCTCACAAGGTTGTCCTTATGTAGACGAAATTATTAGGGGTCATCGGTGTGGGTTTCATCATAACAGATGAACTACTGATCAGAATTTTTGCATTTGTCAGATACTGGAGAAAAAAATGGGAATACAATAAGATCACACATCAGCTATTCAAGAAAGTCTATGATTCAGTTAGGAGGGAAGAATTGTACACTATTCTCATAGAGTTTCTGGTATCTATGAAACTAGTTAGGCTGATTAAAATGTGTTTTAATGAAACGTATAGTAAAGTGTGTATGGGTAAATATTTGTTTGACAAGATTCCTATCCAGAATGGTCTAAAACAAGGAGATGCTTTATCACCACACCTTTTCCACTCTGTTTTAGAATATGCCATTAGGAAGGTCCAGGAAAACCAGGTGGGACTGAAATTAAATGGGACACATCAGCTGTTGGTGTATGCTGAAGATATGAATCCATTGGATGATAATACAGATACCGTAAACAAAAATACAGAAACTTTAATTAATATTAGCAAGAAGGTTTGTCTAGAAACAAACGCAGAGAAAGCTAAGTATATGCTGCTGTCTTGTCACCCGAATGCAGGGCAAAATTATGGCATAAATATAGTTAACAGATGCTTTGTAGTGTGGCTCAGTTCATATATTTGGAAGTGACAGTAACAAATCAGAATTTCATTCAGGAGGCAATTTAAGAGGAGAAGCTTTTGTCTTCTCGTCTGCTCTCTAAAAACGTAAAAATTAGAATATACAAAACTATAATTTTGCTGGTGGTTTTGTATGGGTGTGAAACTTTGTCTCTGACATTAAGGGAGGAACACAGACTGAGGGTGTTTGAGAACAGGGTGTTGAGGCGAATATTTGGACTGAAGAGATGAGGTGACAAGATGTCGGGAGAAAACTGCATAATGAGGAGCTTCATAACTTGTACCCTTTGCCAAGTATAAATAGAATATTCAAGTCAAGGAGGATGAGATGGGCAGGGCTTGTAGCATGAATGGAGGATAAGAGGAGTGTTTATAGGATATTGGTGGGAAAGCCGGCAGGAAATAGACCACTACGAAGACCAAAATGTAGGTCAATGGATGATATTAAAATGGATTTTAGGGAGATAGGATGTGGTGGTATGGACTGGATTGATCTGGTTTAGGATAGGCAGGGCTCTTGTGAAGACAGTTAATCTTCGGGTTCCTTAAAACTTCGTGAAATTTTTGAGTAGCTGCAGAACTGGCAGCTTCTCAAGAAGGGCTCAGCTTTGTGAAGTTAGTTAGTTATGCTTGTGGAGTTAACTTTCATGATTTAAATTCAGAATTACCAGTAACTGAGATAACAGTATCAAACAAGAGGAAAAATAGTTGATGAAAATAAAATATTGAATTATTCAAGTTAATCAAGGAATACTTTTACCAGATCTAGCAAACTAATTTCATGGTACATGATCTTTGTAAAGCTGATAGTCACTCAGCCATTTGAGAAATTTAAAGAACCTGAATGTTCATTGCTGTGAAGAGTTTTGTCTTCTGGGCTATAATGCCATGTAAGGTAAAGTTGTCCCTATGCTTAACTAATTAGACACTATGCAATGGAGGCGTATGGGGGAGTGGATGTATAGATCCACATTTTCTTGATCTTGACACTAGCTGGAGTGAGTGGTCAGCTTCACTTCCCAGCTGCTTTACCCCCAGGGAAAGAGCCCTTGGTACCTATTGTATAGGAGGTTGGGTGGACCCCAGAGCTGGTCTGGATGACGGGGAGAAGAGAAAATTCTTGACCCTACCGGGACTCAAACTCCAACCTGTCGGTCGTCCAGCCCATAGTCAGTCGCTATACTGAATATGCTATTCAGGCTCCCTATAATGCCATGTAGTCTGTTGAAAGTCAACTTATGTCATGGAGGAACATTACCTCCGTGTTGAGGGTCAGAAGTAAGCAAATATTCACAGTTAGGAAAGTCAGTATTACAGTTGAGATTTTTACTAAACACCTCAAGAATACATGTGTAGGGAATTATTGCCACACCGGCCTGATTGGTTTCCATCTAATGCCTTTTAACATAGATGTTTTGATTGATGAAATTAATTATTTGTGGGCATTGTGTGAGTCATTAGACAGGTATGATATATAAACCTGACGGATGGTTATGTACTGCAGGTTGGATGGTAAGAAGAAGAAGGACATATCCACTAGCAGTAAAACTGCTGTCAAAGTGGCCTATCAGCGAGGAGTTCCAGATTACAATTACAGAATAGGAACTTTGAGATTCATAAGAAATTCTAGACCACCATCAAAAGAGGTAAGTAAATCACTGCCAATATTTGTACTTTAGTAGACATCTAGCTGTACTGACTCTTAAATATTGCCAGTAATTATGGCGGTGTATAGAAGTATTGGAGCTTCGCACCGGGTCATTTATGTACTCCATCTGCCGTGGGAATGAGGATGTGCCATTGTCAGCTAGTGACATAGGCTGTTACATCAACATTAGAAAGTTAGTGAATTCTATTTTGGCTATACCATAGCTCAANTGAATCCATTGGATGATAATACAGATACCGTAAACAAAAATACAGAAACTTTAATTAATATTAGCAAGAAGGTTTGTCTAGAAACAAACGCAGAGAAAGCTAAGTATATGCTGCTGTCTTGTCACCCGAATGCAGGGCAAAATTATGGCATAAATATAGTTAACAGATGCTTTGTAGTGTGGCTCAGTTCATATATTTGGAAGTGACAGTAACAAATCAGAATTTCATTCAGGAGGCAATTTAAGAGGAGAAGCTTTTGTCTTCTCGTCTGCTCTCTAAAAACGTAAAAATTAGAATATACAAAACTATAATTTTGCTGGTGGTTTTGTATGGGTGTGAAACTTTGTCTCTGACATTAAGGGAGGAACACAGACTGAGGGTGTTTGAGAACAGGGTGTTGAGGCGAATATTTGGACTGAAGAGATGAGGTGACAAGATGTCGGGAGAAAACTGCATAATGAGGAGCTTCATAACTTGTACCCTTTGCCAAGTATAAATAGAATATTCAAGTCAAGGAGGATGAGATGGGCAGGGCTTGTAGCATGAATGGAGGATAAGAGGAATGTTTATAGGATATTGGTGGGAAAGCCGGCAGGAAATAGACTACTAGGAAGACCAAAATGTAGGTCAGTGGATGATATTAAAATTAATTTTAGGGAGATAGGATGTGGTGGTAAGGACTGGATTGATCTGGTTTAGGATAGGCAGGGCTCTTGTGAAGACAGTTAATCTTCGGGTTCCTTAAAACTTCGTGAAATTTTTGAGTAGCTGCAGAACTGGCAGCTTCTCAAGAAGGGCTCAGCTTTGTGAAGTTAGTTAGTTATGCTTGTGGAGTTAACTTTCATGATTTAAATTCAGAATTACCAGTAACTGAGATAACAATATCAAACAAGAGGAAAAATAGTTGATGAAAATAAAATATTGCATTATTCAAGTTAATCAAGGAATACTTTTACCAGATCTAGCAAACTAACTTCATGGTACCTGATCTTTGTAAAGCTGATAGTCACTCAGCCATTTGAGAAATTCCTTCCATTTAAAGAACCTGTATGTTCATTGCTGTGAAGAGTTTTGTCTTCTGGGCTATAATGCCATGTAAGGTAAAGTTGTCCCTATGCTTAACTAATTAGACACTATGCAATGGAGGCGTATGGGGGAGTGGATGTATAGATCCACATTTTCTTGATCTTGACACTAGCTGGAGTGAGTGGTCAGCTTCACTTCCCAGCTGCTTTACCCCCAGGGAAAGAGCCCTTGGTACCTATTGTATAGGAGGTTGGGTGGACCCCAGAGCTGGTCTGGATGACGGGGAGAAGAGAAAATTCTTGACCCTACCGGGACTCAAACTCCAACCTGTCGGTCGTCCAGCCCATAGTCAGTCGCTATACTGAATATGCTATTCAGGCTCCCTATAATGCCATGTAGTCTGTTGAAAGTCAACTTATGTCATGGAGGAACATTACCTCCGTGTTGAGGGTCAGAAGTAAGCAAATATTCACAGTTAGGAAAGTCAGTATTACAGTTGAGATTTTTACTGAACACCTCAAGAATACATGTGTAGGGAAGTATTGCCACACCGGCCTGATTGGTTTCCATCTAATGCCTTTTAACATAGATGTTTTGATTGATGAAATTAATTATTTGTGGGCATTGTGTGAGTCATTAGACAGGTATGATATATAAACCTGACGGATGGTTATGTACTGCAGGTTGGATGGTAAGAAGAAGAAGGACATATCCACTAGCAGTAAAACTGCTGTCAAAGTGGCCTATCAGCGAGGAGTTCCAGATTACAATTACAGAATAGGAACTTTGAGATTCATAAGAAATTCTAGACCACCATCAAAAGAGGTAAGTAAATCACTGCCAATATTTGTACTTTAGTAGACATCTAGCTGTACTGACTCTTAAATATTGCCAGTAATTATGGCGGTGTATAGAAGTATTGGAGCTTCGCACCGGGTCATTTATGTACTCCATCTGCCGTGGGAATGAGGATGTGCCATTGTCAGCTAGTGACATAGGCTGTTACATCAACATTAGAAAGTTAGTGAATTCTATTTTGGCTATACCATAGCTCAAGTGGTTAGTTGCTGGTTTCCCATCGTGGCTGCCCGGGTTCGATCCCGGGTCTGGTCAAGTGGGATTTGTGGTGGACAAAGTGGCACTGGGGCAGGTTTTTTCTGAGTAGTTCGGTTTCCCCTGCTGATCTTCATTCCACCAGTTGGTCCACAATCACCCTCACCTCTCATCTGGGGCTGATACAATAGGCCAGAAGTGGCCGCAGTAAAATGGATTTAATCCCACCCCACTAGCAATAAAAAAATCTATTTTCAGCATATGTCTGGTATTCATGTTGTCACTTGTATAAGTGATTATAGGTGGGGTTCGGATTGGTAATTGGATTTATTGAACACTTATGGATCATAATTACAAGTAACTATGTCGCTATTGCTAATTCACACACTCTGCAGTTCACTCCAGCACATGATAAGTCTCAGTCTGCCGTGTCTTCATCAGTCATTGTCTGATAACGCCTTCAACAGCGGACGTTCCCCTTCATCTGGGTTACCAAACTGTCCCATGCCTCAGCTGCCAGCTTCACCACAGCAGTCCTCTCACTCACCAACCAGCTTGCTCCACTCCACTCCACTCCACTGCCCTGCCTTGTATTAATTATACTGTACTACACTGTACTGACTACCTTAACTGTTACCAGCAGTAGTTCAATTGTTGTCTGTGGGTCACTGCCTAGCAGCAGCTTCGGTACTATTGCATATTTTTGAAGCTGTTGTCTAGCAGTGATTGTTGTCTCATTTGTTTCATGGTCGTTGCCTAGCAATGGGTCTATATGCCATCATATGCCAATGGGGAATTCAGATGTACTTACACAGGACTTTTGTTCTCTGAGGTTGCTTACGCAAGATATGATGTACCCCCGCACTAATTATAGTGTTTAGGTGATCTGGATAAATAATGTAAGATGTTCTGAGCTAGTACTGCTGTGGAAGTGGAGTTCTTCCCAGTTTCTGTTCCATGGCAGACAAGTCTCTTGCACTGATTTTTTTCTCTCAAGAGGATCTGCCATGTGGATGTATGCCTTTTGTCAATCCACTTGTCTCTAGTTATACTCATTTTGACCAGTCTGATCTCAGTGTTTTCCATACCAAAACTTGTTGCAGTATGTTTAGTTACTTTATGGTTTAATTAAAATCTGCTTCTGTGGTCTAGTGGTCAGAGTTCCTGGCTACAGATCCAGAGGTCTGGGTTCGATTCCCAGCACTACCAGATTTTCTGGGAAATAATGGGCCCGGAACGGGGTCCACTCAGCCTTGTGAGGGTAATTGAGGGGCTATTTCAAGGAAATAGCCGCTACAGTCTAGAAAACCAAAATTAACAGTCTTGGGGATTCGTTGTGCTGACCACGCAACACCCTCCATCCGCTAAAGTTGGCACTAACTTCGCCGACAAGTGGCAGTCGCTCGGTCGGTATAGTTTGCCTGCGGACTAAAACCACGGAGTTTATGGCTTATTTAAGAATGCTGCCATTATGTCATGTTATTGCTTGTATTGGCCTCTGTCATGGAGAGTAATACCTTTGTAAGTCACTTTGACCCTGAAGAAGAAAGCATGTTTCTCTTAAATATTGATATTGTCCACAGTTTTAGACATGTGGATTTGGTGGAGTCTGCTAACTGAGATAAAGATTGTATGGCTTGTATGTGTTATAACAGGGAACAGGACCTTAATTACAATATAATGCCTCCCTCCTCACAGTGCACTGCAACTAATCCCACTACTCCCTGCCATATTTCTCCTTATGTGGAATTCAAGAGACCTATCTGCCATACTGCACAAAGACTCTGATCTTTAATATCATTCTAAAGGGTTAAGTATAGGAAACTTAGGCACAAACAGATCTGCTGGTTATTCTGAAAAGTTTGGAAGTTTGAAGTTTGGAACACTGTTGTGAAGGCTATATGTTATGTGACATGGTTGAATTTTTTTTTTAATTTCTTTTTAGAACAAGGAACCAGTTGAAGAATTCAAGGCATTCGCTGGAGAGGGATTTTCACTTCGGCAGACTAAATCCAAGAAGTGATTATAATATGTATGAACAATTTAAAAAGTCTGAAGGTAAAAGAACATTCTTGAATGCACAGTACATTAATTGGAAGAGTATTTTACCAGTAAAATATCTTATGGCAAGAAAGAAACATTATGTACATTTCAAGTTTTGGATGACTCAGTTCTTCTTTTTTACTATCTTTATCATGAATGTTCCAGGGATGCATATTATTGCAGTCACACTCACCTCTCTAATATGATGACCTTCACTTCTTTTCTTACTTACTTACTTACTTACTTACTTACTCATGGAGCTGAGCCCTTCTTGAGGAGCCGCCAATGCTGCAGCTACTCAAGAATTTCCCAGCATTTTATTGGAACCTGAAAGTTCATTACTGTGTTCACAAGAGCCCTCCACTGGTCCCTATCCTGAGTCAGATCAATCCAATCCACAACATCCCATCCTATCTCTCCAAGATCCATTTTAATATTGTCCACCCACCTATGCCTTGGTCTTCCCAGTGGTTTCTTTCCTTCTGGCTTTCCCACCAATATCTTATATGCATTCCTCTTCTCCCCCATTCATGCTACATGGCCTGCCCACCTCATCCTTCTTGATCACTTCTCTGCTAGGTTTGTTTCTTTGAACTAAATCCCTTTATGAGTATAAATTAATTGATGTTTTATTTTGAGATTCTTGCTAATTGCCAAACTGTTTGGTGTGCATTTTTACATTTATACAGTTACATTAAAAATAACTGAAGTTGGTCCTCAGTTCATCTCATTTGCTTCTTTCATTATATATTTTTATATTGTTAGGAAATTCACAGATCCTGCCAGCAGTAAGTTTCTCATGTTTCCAGCTTAATTAAGTAGATTGACTTTGTTTTGTTTATTTTATTTCAACAAAGATGGCACTCAATGACATCGTGAAATGAAGAAAATGTAGATATCTCTGCATGCTTACTGAAGGAAACATAATGTAATGTTCATGGAACTGGGATAGTGCAGTCAGTATAGCGGCTGGTTATGAGCTGGATGACCGATGGGTCAGAGTTTGAGTCCCTGTAGGGTGAAGAATTTTCTCTTCTCCATAGTGTCCAGACTTTCTCTGGGGCCTTTCCCCGGGGGGTAATGCGGTCAGGGCGTGAAGTTGACCACTCACCTCCAACTAGTGAGGAGATCAAGAAAACATGGATCTATATGTCCATTCCCCCCATACGCCTTCATGCCATAGTGCTTAATTAGATAAGCACAGCGATAACTTTCTCTTCACCTTACATGTCCATATTAAATCCAGTACCATTTCATTTACACATATAAATTTATCATGTTTTTTTGGAAATTGTTGGTCATGTGAAAAGAAGTATCTATGGCGTTTTTAAGGCTGATTCGAACGCTAGTCCTGCATTAAAGGCAAGGGTATCTGTGGAGTCTTCTTGTTTGAGCTGGTCCTTACTTCTTCCATCGTGTAGTTCATGCTTCTTTTGTATATATGACCCTCTCCAGCTTTACTCCAGTTTATAATGGTTTAGATTTATACAGCGTGTCCCAGGGGAAAGGCCATTATTCTGGGAGCTCATAGTATTGGTCATTCTAAGCAAAAACCTGTAATGTACAGTGTGCTTTTCCAAATGGTTTGTGAGATAGAGCCGTTTCACTGTACAGTAGTTCCGATGTGGTGCCCAATGTTGTCCTTCCCTCTCACTGCACTGCGCCACTGTCTGAAGCATATGAATCAGTGTGGAGCGTCAGTTGGCAGTTGTGACTGTTGATAGTGGCACTGTAGGTGTGTTGTGAAAAATGGCACACATCTTCACAAATGCCAAATATACTGATATGCTGTATGTTTATGGCTTCTGTGATGGTAATGCCACTGCTGCTGTTGAATACCGTTGTCGTTTTTCTCTGCACAGAATTGTGGATCTTGGAGTGTTTTCCAAGGTGTTCAATACATAAAATGAAAGTTTTATGCTTCCCAGTGCTCATGTTTCATCTGAACGAGCACATCAACAGCATGTGTAGGAACAGGAAAACATTCTTGAAAAGGAATGGCAAAGCCCTACTACTAGCATACAAAGACTTCCTACACATTTTGGATTTTCGCAAACATACGTATGGTTAACGTTGTATGATGATGACTTTTACCCACTGACCCCACAGTGTGTGCAAAATCTGCATCTGTGGGACAGCACCATGTGTCTAGAATTTTGTCATTAGTTACATACTAATTGCCAGTTGTTTCCATTAATAGTACTCACTGATGAAGCTCTTTCAACCGTAATGGAATTGACAGCACATGTACCTCACATTGATGGTCTCACAACAATTCACATGGTACTGTGAAAACAAATTTTCAGTGTTGATTCTCTACCATTGTGTCATATGGTAGTATCATTGACATGTTGATTTGTACCATTATTTTAGATGATCATATGACAAGACATAATTACCTAGATTTTCTGCAGAATTGATTACCAGCACAACTTGAGGATGTTTCTTTGGCTACACAGATTGGTATATACTTTCGGCATAATTTCATTATACATGACTTCTGATGCAACATCTCAGTGACACTTTCCCTAATCAGTGGAGTAGCCTTGGCAGTACTGATAACTGGCCATCAAGATCTCTGGACATAACCCCATGAGATTTTGTTTATGGGGTTGGATGAAGAGTAAACTGTATAGAAGAAAAGTGGAGACACAAGACAAACAGCTCGATCTGATAGTGGATGTTATTGCTTACATAAAGGAACATCAAGATGAACTAAGACAAGAAACATGCCATGTCCTTGTATGAGTTGCAAAGTGCATTGATGTTGATGGTGGAATTTTCAAAAATATATTATACTAGGTAAACTGTACCAACCTTGTCACTTGAACAATAAATATTTGTATTTTTGTTCAAATATGGATCCATATTTTCTTCATATATGACTAAAAGCTATGTAATTATTGCTTAGTAATAACCTCTGCTTTGTGTACTTTGGCTTTAAGCCGTATTGGTTTAAAATTAAATTAGTTTTTCGTGTAACTTGAAATTTAATTTAATTTTACATCAGTATAGCTTAAAGCCAAAGAGTAAAACAAAAATTCAGCAACTAATATAGACTGAGATAAACCTGGGATGACCCAGTAAGGGGCAAAACATGTTGTGTTCAACATTATTGTAAATAACCTTGTTACACTCTTACTTGTATTGTTGTGTTGACAGTTACAAATATGCTGTTATCACAATGTGTGTAGCATCAAGTCATTGGATGGTTGGTGAATAGTGGTGTAAGGAGAAGTAGAATTCTGCGAGATGCAATTATTTTAATAATTAAATAAATGAAGTCTTGTCTACCTCTCATGTTTCAGCCATTAGTGACCATCATTGGGGGTCAAACTAATATTATAGAGGGAATACTTTAAACCCAAAACTAAGCATTTAAAATCAACAAAAATAAATTAAAATTCCCTGCTAAATTGGTAGGAGAAGGATGTAATGACAAGATGAGGNGGGGGGGGGCTGAGCGATTAGCAGCTTCTGAAGATGGCATTGTTCCATGGAATTGGTAGCCCAGCCCTCTAAGCTTGCACTCTGTATGGTAAGCGATGGCTTTCCACCTGCTTCTTGCTGGCTACTAGTGTGGCTCGCTTTTCAGCTTTGAAGATGGAGGCGATGAATATGTGCCTCTGAAAACAGTGCAATTCTACTGCGCTACACAGCGTTGCATCCCAAGAGATGGTACTCTTTATGCGTGATATTCTTAACACATAATCTGTTATGAGCAGTTTTCATGTATGCATGTAGTGCCCAATTATGGGATGTGTATTATAGCTTGTACAGCGAATGCGTTATCAAGGAAGCTCTGGATGGGCTTGGAGACTTCAAATTAGGAGGGCAAATTATTCAAACTGTGAAATATGCAGATGACTGTGTGTTAATGGCTAAGGAAGAAACTGTGATACAGGGTATGATTAATAGACTAATCGAAATTGGANTAGGGCAGTAGATGAGAAACACCTGGAAAGCTTCGAAATGTGGTGTTGCAGAAGGATGGAGAAGATCAGTTGGACCGATTATGTGAGAAATGAAGAAGTGTTATTTAGAGTCAGTGACCAGAGGAATATCCTACACGAAATAAGAAAATGGAAGGCTAATTGGATTGGTCATATCTTACGCAGTAACTGCCTTCTAAAATAAGTTATTGAAGGAAAGATGGAGGGGCGGATAGAAGTGACCAGAAGATGTAAGAAGATGCTGGATGACCTTGGGGACAGAAGAGGATATCTTCATTTGAAGGAGAAAGTTCTAGATTGCATTAAGTGGAGGAACTGTTTTGGAAGAGACCGTGGACCTGTCCTCTGACAGATTACTGATGAGTGAATGAATATTATAGCCTATATATCATCATCATCATCATTGGAGTAACAGTCCTTTTTGAGCTATAGCCTTCCTTAGAAGAAATATATCTTGACCTTCCAGTTTGTGGCATAATGCCTCATCGAACTACACTACCACATGCCCCCATATATGTATATTCCCTATGAGACTGTTGGATTTTTCAGTTGACCTAATCCTTCCTGCCGCACTGTGACCCTGGGATTGACTCAGAATCTAACAGAAATGAGTACCAGGAATTTTCCTGGGAAGGGGTAAAGGGCGGCTGGCTCATAAGGCTGACAACCTTACTGCCATCTGTGAGCCGACTGTCTAGAAAAATATGGTGGGATCCTGGACATATCACAACCCTATGGGCCTCCACAGCCTGCTACAGGGATAGCTTTACCTTTTATATATATGTATGTGTGTTCACTTATGAAATTGATGGTGATTCAGCTTGGGGAGTTTTAAATAATAATTGATTCTTGGGTTATTTAACTGAAGCTGCATAGGTTACATAGTGTTGAATCTCAGTATGACAGCAAATTATGTGTTTGAGAGAGAAAGGCTTGTGGCCTGTTTTAAGTTACTATCGCAGTATTCCATTTGGAGGTAATGAGGAAAATCACGAAATCTACTGTTATGATAACCGGTTTCCTGGCCCGGAACTGAACCCAGTACCTCCCCAATTACAAAACGAGTGTCTTTGATTATTGACTGCATCCAAACGGGCTCTGTCAACCACCTAGCCTATCCAGTGGGTACTTGGGCTCCTTCCCCTGGGTAAAGCAAGGGGAGCCGTGAAGCTGACCATTCAGTTCCATCTAGTATTGACATTAAGAATGCTTGGATCTATATTTCCATTGCCCCACGCGTCTTCATGATATGATGCTTAATTAAGCACACAGACTTTTACGTTGCTAGTATGCTCTCGATGGTCCAGAAACTCTGAAAATAACAAGTAATTTGTGTAGCAATAAATATGATACTCGTACAAGTGGATCATTTTGAAGATGTTCAATTCGCAGTCTATTTAAAGAACAGTATGTGCGCAAACTTGGCCATTTTTTTTCGGATTCTTAACAAGACTTTGATCTCAGTCGTGGTAGCGTAGTTGGTTGAGAGGCTATGCTAGAAGCCGGAAGGTCACGCTTTCAAGTCCCGATGAGGTCATTGGATTTTTTTCAATTGACCTAATCCAGCCGCACTATGGCCCTGGGGTCGACTCAGCTGCTAACAGAAGTGAGTACCAGGAGTATTCCTGAGGGTAAAGGGCGGCCGGCGCGTAAGGCTGACAACCTTACCGCCATCTATAAGCCGATTGTCTAGATAATGTGGGACCTTCGACGACTGTCAACCCTATGGACCTTCACGGCCTGTTACAAGGAGAGCTTTACTTTTATGACCTCAGTCGAAACGATGTCAAACTCTTTGTTGAACCTGTACTTCTAATTAATCGAGCGTAAAGTTGAGAGCCGTCTCCCTTCAAACCTACCACAGATTTAATTAGGCATGTCGCTTTATGGTTCCTTTTATGTACCGCTCTCCCCCTCTCAGTTGAGGATTTTATCAGCCTTTAATTGCATCTCTGCGTACTATCATCTACATGTTTCTCCCATCACAAAACATTCATTGTTCTTTATTAGCCTAAAAATTATCCCATTCTCCCTTTCGGCTCACCGCTTTCCTCCCCCCCCCACCTACCCGATTCAGTTGTGGCGAGAACTTAACTAGTTATAAGTCGAAACATTCCATCAGCTTTCATTTTGAAACATCTGCCTCATCAAATCACACGGGATGTTGGAAATCATTTTAAAATTTCGCGTCCTAAATGAAGAATATGCCGGTCACGGTAGCCGAGCGGTCTAAGGCATGTACTGTCTTCGCTCGCTTGGAAACCGGGATCGTGGGTTCGAATCCCATCCAGGGCATGGATGTTTAGTTTGTGTTTGTGTACAGGTAGAGGCCTTGCGACGAGCTGATCAGCCGCCCAAGGAGTCCTACCGAATGATTAAGATCTAGAAAAACCGAAGTGAACGGAGAAATTCCTGGAGGTAGGCCTAGGCCCACTGGGGCTGTAATGCCAAAGAAAAAAATGAATATGGCTTTTTAATTTTTAATGAACAAATTTCGATTATATATGATAATATTCAATGAAGAGGTGTGTCTTATTACTGACTGCAATATATTCTACATAAACATGTTGATGTTAAGTTTTAAATGTCTTGGGAAACATAATGAATTGTAGAATAATAAGTATTTGGGACTGGTGGAGGTCGTGGCCTGTTTTAATATACTGCCCTTTTCGCTTAGAGAAGACCACGAAGGTTTCGGTCAGGATTGTTAGTATTGCATCCCAGAACTGAACAAGATACAATCGACTAAAAGTCTAGCTCGCTGCCTGAACGTGCTCAGTCAGAACCTTAAGACAACAGAGACTCGAAGGAGAGATAATTCTGGAAATTACTCTATGGTTACTTGAATACAGTACTTTAATGCTACGTTAGGTACGTTACAGTTTACACTTTGGGTGCAAGAATGTGACTCTCTAGACCTACGTTACAGCGTCCCGCTTAAATGACTCTTCCTATAGTTATTGCACATTAGCAGTTTTTAATTATACATAATCTGTTGGTACCCCTGCTGATTACTACTCGTCTAAATTTATATGTACTTCACTCTCGTTCCTTTTTACTGTCATTTCCAATTATTCTTTATGTTTAATTTTATTTATACATATTTTCTGCCACTGTTCTTTATCCATGTATCACATTGTCCTAATACATATTTCAGTATTGATGTTCCCAGACCTCGTCTCTCCAAATGTTTTTTCTGTATGGCTTGGAACAGGGGAAAAAGGCTGGAAATTTGAGACGTAAAACACAATTACATCACTTACTCACTCGTGGAGCTGAGCCCTTCTTGAGAAGCCGCCTATTGTGCAGCCATTCAAGAACGTCCCAGCATTTTATGGAACCTGAAGGTTCATTACCATGTTCACAAGAGCCCTCCACTTGTCCCTATCCTGAGCCAGATCAATCCAATCCATCTCATCCTCTCTAAGATGTATTTTAATATTCACCCACCTACGTCTTGGTTTTCCTGGTGGTCTCTTTCCTTCTGGCTTTCCCACCAATGTCCTATATGTATTCCTCTTCTTCCCAGTTCGTGTTACATGCCCTGCACATCTCATCGTCCTTGGTTTGATCTTTCTAATTATACTTGGAGAAGAGTACAAATTATGAAGCTCCTCGTTATGCAGTTTTCTTCAACCTCCTGTCACTTCATCTCTCTTCGGTCCAAATATTCTCCTCAACAGCCTGTTCTCAAATACCCCCAGTCTATGTTCCTCCTTTAATGTCAGAGACCAAGTTTCACACCCATATAGAACCACAGGCAAAATAATAGTTTTGTATGTTCTAATTTTTTATGTTTTTAGACAGCAGACGAGAAGACAAAAGGTTCTGGACTGAATGGTAGCAAACAATTACCCGAGTTCAATCTCCTATAAATTTCCTCCTGAATCACG